GCCTATAATGTTTATTTGTTGAGGAAAAAAAGTTTTTGTTTGATTTAGTTTTCGTTGATTAAACTCATCTAATAACACAGCCAATTGCTAAATTGTTGTTGTTGTTGTTAAATCATATTTTACACTTTTGTGACACTTTTCTGTTATGGATGACATATGTGAAACTGCCACTTGTGTGACTTTGGTAAAACCAATATAATAGTTTGAAAGCACTAAGTATTTTTAAAGAAAAATGTAGAAATGGTTTCTTTATTTTGATGAAAATTTTTTTTTTCATGACAAGGTTGACATTTGCATTGGATTTGCTCTCATAATATTAATAATAATAATAATAATTTGTATTTAATAATAATTTGTATTTTAGAATAATAATAATTTGTATTTAATAATAATAATTTGTATTTTATAATAATAATAATAATAATAATTTGTATTTAATAATAATTTGTATTTTAGAATAATAATAATAATTTGTATTTAATAAAAATAATTTGTATTTTATAATAATAATAATAATTTGTATTTTAGAATAATACAAACTATTATTGTTAAATTTAAAAATATTTTTAATATTACTTTTCTATTTTGACTTTGATTTTAAATTCTTACTTTATTTTTCAATGCGCTTCTTTTGCTGACCGATCTATATTGACCATTTTCATAACAAACTTAACTTCGTTTTCTTATGATGCATTTTTCAATGCACATTTGTCTCAAACTCACAGCTTTTAATAAGCATTCATAATGTTTTCTGTTCTGCAGTTTTTCCTCATTTTGACTAATATTATTATATTTTATTGCTACCAATTATTTATTTTTGTATGTTTAGATACTATATATATATATAAAACATAATATTCATTCAATAAAGATATTTGAGCGATTCCAGCGTTATGGATGCGACATTTTAAGTTAAGTCTCAGAACATAAATTGACAGGGAAAGTATATGTTAACATTATATTAAAACATCTAATTATAGTTTTCAAAACTACTAACCACAGAGTTGTGGAAGCAGAAAAAAATCAATCTGTAATCATTTTTTTTATTTTAAATGAGGAAATAAACATGCGCAAGTTTCAGTATACACATACTTTGTAGAAATTCTGTGAATTAAACTGCATAACCCAAAATAAATAATGATAATCAAAAGAATAAGAATTAGCTCTCTATAGAACAAACATGATTGATTTTTTATTTTATTTGACATTTTTGCATTTATGAAGGAAAATCTTCGTTATGGATCACTTTTCTGTTAGATGTGACAGATGTGAAATTGCCTCTAATGTGACTTTGTCAATGTTTTTAAACTACTATATTAAATATACCGGAGACATTTTGGAGTAATTTTAAAGAAAAATGTAGAAATGGTTTCTTTATTTTGGTGAAAACTGTTTTTTTCATGACAAGGTTGACATTTGCAAGGATTTGCTCTAATAATAATAATAATAATAATAATAATAATAATAATAATAATAATTTGTATTTTAGAATAGTACAAAATATTATTGTTAAATTAAAAAATATTTTAATTTTCTATTTTGACTTTGATTTTAAATTCTTACTTTATTTTGAAATGCTTTTCTTTTGCTGACCGATCTATACTGACCATTTTCATAACAAACTTAACTTCGTTTTCTTATGATGCATTTTTCAATGCACATTTGTCTCAAACTCGCAGCTTTTAATAAGCATTCATAATGTTTTCTGTTCTGCAGTTTTTCCTCATTTTGACTAATATTATTATATTTTATTGCTACTAATTATTTATTTTTGTATGTTTAGATACCATATATCTAAATATATCTGATATATATGTATATATGTATATATATATATATATATATATATATATATTTATATATACCATAATATTCATTTATTTACTTATATTTGAGCAATTCCAGCATTATGGATGCGACATTTGTAGTAAAATCTCGGAACATAAATTGACAGGGGAAGTCTATGTTAACATTATATTAAAACATTTAATTATAGTTTTCAAAACTACTAACCACAGAATTGTGGAAGCAAAAAAAAATCAATCTGTAATCTTTTTTTAATTTATTTTAAATTAGGAAATAAACATGCGCAAGTTTCAGTATACACATACTTTGTAGAAATTCTGTGAATTAAACTGCATAACCCAAAATAAATAATGATAATCAAAAGAATAAGAATTAGCTCTCTATAGAACAAACATGATTGATTTTTTTATTTTATTTGACATTTTTGCATTTATGAAGGAAAAGCTTCGTTATGGATCACTTTTCTGTTAGATGTGACGGATGTGAAATTGCCTCTAATGTGACTTTGTCAATGTTTTTAACAGAATAAGAATTAACTCTCTATAAAACAAACATGATTGATTTTTTATTTTAATAAAAAATAATAAATAATAGTAAGTAAGTGAAATATGCTTCTTTTGCTGACCGATCTATATTGACCATTCTTATAACAAACTTAACTTAGTTTTCTTATGATGCATTTTTCAATGCACATTTGTCTCAAACTCGCAGCTTTTAATAAGCATTCATAATGTTTTCTGTTCTGCAGTTTTTCCTCATTTTGACTAATATTATTATATTTTATTGCTACTAATTATTTATATTTTATTGCTACTAATTATTTATTTTTGTATGTTTAGATACCATATATATATATATATATATATATATATATATATATATATATATATATATATATATATATATATATATATAAAAACCATAATATACATTTAATAAAATAAATATATTTGAGCAATTCCAGCGTTATGATGTGACATTTGCAGTAAAATCTCTGAACATAAATTGACAGAGGAAGTCTATGTTAACATTATAATAAAACATATATCTATAGTTTTCAAATCAGTTAGCCACGGAGTTGTGGGAGCAGAAAAAAATCAATCTGTAAACATTTTTTAATATTTTAATAACTTTAAAATACTTGCCAACAAAAGCTTTTTTTTTTTTTTTTTTTTTGGTGAAAAATGATTTTTTTTCATGGCAAGTTTGACATTTGCATGGATTTGCTCATTTAAAATTTTATTATATTTATTATCTGTTTTTTGTTCTATATCTGTAGTTCTGTTGCACTGTAGAAGCTCTATCATGAAAACAAATTCCTCGTATGTGTGAACATACCTGGCAATAAAGCTCTTTCTGATTCTAATTGTAACAAAAGAACATTTTAAATCTGTGTAAATGTATTCACTTAAAATGTGCAAAGACCTTTCGATGCACATTTGACTTAAACTCGCAGCGCTTGATATTGATTAGGTAAACTTTAATAATGTTTTCTGCTGAGTTTGCACTTTGTGACTAATATTAAATAACAAAATGTAATGAAATGACGAGAAATAATATCCTAGATCAACTTTATTCAATCAAAACTACCTGTTTGTGTATATTAACTTTTTAAAAATGGTTGATGTGTAATTTTTTGTACACCTGCAATAAATTATGTATTGTACTATTCATATTGCAATGCATACATATTATACATAGTGTTGGTGCTTTAATCTGCCTTTAAATTTGTCTTTTTCAATGTTTAAGAAAAAAAAACATTTTTAAACAGATTAAATTGATTTTTAAATTATAAACTAAAAGTAATATGTTTGGACTAACCTTTTAATTCTGATGGCAAACATTTTTAGTACATGTTTAAGGTTATTTATTATATACACAATAAAATTAATTCAGGAATTTTTATTTTTTTTATTATTTTTTTTTGAAATGTGTGAAATTTTGTTTGCTTCAAAATAACCAAGAGTGCAAATCTTTGTATGGCTGTGATGGTCTAGTGGTCAGAGTACATAGCATGAGACCATAACCCATCATGCAATAGCTGGGTTCAAATCCAGAGCATGCTACTCAACTTTAATAAAAATGAGAATTTAAGGGATTTTTAGTATTATTAAAAAAAATAATAATAATAAAATAAAAATTTAAAATTTTTTAAAAATTAAAAATTAAAATTTTTTTTTAATGTTACTTTTTCCAGGCTTGAGCTTCTCTCTCCACACTCCACCTCTCTGTTACCGATACTGCCTCCTCCTCCTCTCATTGTTCAGCCTTCACCTTTCTTTCTGCTTTAGGTATGTGGTCAGTCCGTGTTTCATCATCTCTGGTCCGTGTTTTGTAGGCCTATGTAGCCATTCTTTATTACCTCCCCAGATTGCAACCAGTCTCCACCTTCTCTGTCTGTTACCGCCCCAGGTATTTCAAGTTTCCACCTCTCCTTTTCACCACCGCCCCAGGTAACTTGCTGCAGCCTCAGCATTCTGTCTTTGGTGAGTTTTGAACCCATGTCATACTGTAACCTTGTCCTCAACCAACGTGTGTTAGCCATTAGTGCCATCGTGGCTTTCACATTTACCATTGTGATTTGGCGCGTATTGTTGGGTTCAAAAACAGGAACTGAACATAAGCAAAAATGGGAATTGAACCCTTGTCTCCAAGATGAAAGCTGAATGCTTAATCTGCTGAGCCACAGAGTCTGATGGGTAAACAAATGTTTTGGTTATGATATTTTTAAGATGTGTCATTTGAGGGAAAAAAAAACAAGCATGTGCTGGATTTGAACCCTGACTTACCTGCATTGCAGTTAAGTTTTTAACCGCTACACCACAAATGTTGTGTAAAGCAAGGTGTTTTGGATTGTTATGTATATATTTTCAAAGAGACTTGACTTAAACAAAGTGAGAGCCGGCTTTGAATCCCAGACTTCATGTTTAATGCACACAGGTTTATTCTCAAGTGCCACTGAGTCACTATTTGTAAATGTGTTTTTTTAAACTGTAGGATAAATTATAACAATTACTTTCTTAAAAGTGGTCTGAAATTTTGAGAAATAAGCAACTGCTGGAGTCAAACCCAGACTTTGTTGATTGTGGGATTTAAACCCTGATAATCCTAAACACAACAAGCAAATATCTATTCGCTGCGCCACAGAATCTGAAACTGTGTAAGAGTGTTTTAAATGGGGTTTTACACCTTTTTGGAAAGGAACTACTTAGTAAATATGAACTTTGAAGTTTGTGGGATTTGAACACAGTCATAGCTAGACCTCAAATGAAATGATTATCCGCAGCACCACAGAATCTGAAACAATGCAAGGCTATTTTAAATGGCGTTTTAGACCTTTTCGGTCCTGAATTGATTAGTAAACAAGTACTTTAGTGATTGTGGGAATCGAACCCTGATGTTTGTGAAACAAAATGTGAACACTTATCCACTGCGCCATACAATACAAAACAACATTAGCATGTTTTAAATGGGGTTTTAGACTTTTTTGGGTCTGCATTACTTAGTAAACTTGAACTTTGGTAACAGCAAGATTAGATCCCAAACAGCTCACCACCAAATCACTAACAACCATCCACTGAGCCACTGAACATGCCAAACTTTATTTCTCCAAATTGTCTTACAGACTTTCAGTTTAAATTGAACGTTTTTACTTTGAACTTAAATAATTGATCAAAACCCACTACAAGCTTCATTAATCATGGGATTTGAACGCAGACTTTCTTGTACCATGACGCAGAGAACTATCCACTCGACCACTGAATCAGTCATATCAGTTAATGAAAACACATTAAATGCTTAATGTTCATCCCCATGAAAAATAAAAAAACACTACAGGTTCCACTAAATCTGAGTTGATTGAATCTAAAATTTAGTGTAGCACTGCATAACTAACTCTAAACACAATGACAAACAGATCTGCAGCCAATTATAACTTCAAATCACTATATTTAATGTCTTTCATTTACATCCTGAACAGGCAGCTAATTGTATATTCATCACCTGCAGCCAATCAACAGTCAGCATGTGTCAGTGTTCAACTTAATACGAACTGTGTCAAACTGAAAGTCTATATTGATGCCATCCAGCTCAGTCAACACAAATGTTTTTCATGTTTTATCTGACACCTTTGATTCTGCTAACTCTCACAAATCTCTTTTCATGCAGTCATGATGCTATCCTGTGTCATTCTCACCAAAATGAGACCTTATGTTTCCCGTAAGCTTACTGAGATCAAGAGTTCTCTTCCTTGTGGACAATAAGTGTATCATTAAAATATGGAAAAGCAGTAGGATTCAAAATGAGGAGGTGTGTCAAATCCTGCTCCGCTTTCCTGAGTTTAACTACAACCTGATTGAAAACACCTGGGCAAATGAAGATCTTCAGGATTGAACATCCATGCAGGTTTGTGCTCTGTGTTTTTAACTCTTATCAAAGGAATTTGCTTTAATTAATAAGTTTTTTTTATTTGGATTTGACATGTAAAGGGTTAATAAAGATCATTAAATACTGGTTATGGGTCAGTTTTTTGAGTAATTGACATTTTTAATCAAGTTACTCAAGCAGAAGTACTAATAGACATACTACTAGACATAGTGAGGTTTTGTCATATGAATGTCCACAATTTCAAGTAAATTTTTAATGGTGTTGGTAATAAAAATCCACACAGGAGTAAATGATGCATTAAGGATCAATAAAGTAAATTTTAAGTGATGTAGTTCACAAACAAACCCTACAGGAGGGCACAATGTGAAAGATTAATAAAGGATTTTTTTGTGATGTAGTTCACAAAAATTACAACAGGAGGGCATATTAAATTAAGATTTAATAAAGTCAATGTCCTTAACAAATCACCACAGGAGGGCATATTAAATTAGGTATCAACAAAGTCAATATACTTAAAAATCATCACAGGAGGGCATATTAAATTAAGGGTCAATAAAGTCAATGTACTTAACAAAAATCACCACAGGAGGGTGCAGTGAAGTCAATTTGCGATGTAGTTAGCAAAAATCGCCACAGGAGGGCGCAAAGAAGTCAATTTGTAGCAATGTAGTTTACAAAAATCACTACATGATTCTACAATCAATTAGACAGCGTGTAGCTACACAGACTCAGTGGTGCAAGTAGTAAGGAACTGTGATTTAAATCGTGACGTCTTTAGTTCGAATCCAACTAACAATTATGTTAAATTGTGATCATCACATGCAACAAAATCACATAAATGCCACAGTAGAGAGTGAATTAATTGTGGGTGAGTGGACAAGCACGTGCTCTCTGAGAATAAGATGACAATGAAGACATGGGTTCACAACACGGTTACTTTACTGTTTATTATTAAAATCACAGCTCAGAACAAGTCAAACATCAGTTCCAGCAGGTGTTCAGACAGGAGATCTGTGGCTCTGTGGTAAGAGCGCTGCCCCACGGCTTCAGGGGTTGCTGGTATCGGTCCCAGCCAGAACTCTGCGATATGTGTGAATGGTGAGTGAGTGTGAGGCGCGCCTGAAGAAGGGGGGATACCAGTTCGGTCTCCCCCTGGAGCTTCCGGAGCCGTGTCCAGCAGGGGTTATACTTTACAGCCTGCCAAAAAATTTAAAATGAACTGTATAAAAATTTTGGACCTTCGTCCCTTCCCCACCCGCTTCGGTTACCATCATTTACTTTTCTAGAGGAGTGACCCTCCACAAAGCAAATGATGGTAACCGACATGTGGAACACACACACACACACACACACACACACACACACACACACACACACACACAATCACACACATGATCTACATCACCTGTGCAGCAGCAGATGATCATCATCAGTACAGTCAGTGTCTGTCCACACGTCTCTGCTTGTGTTCAACAGTCTTACAGTCCAAAACACTTCACTGATCCTGTAGAGCAGACAAACAAATACACACATTATTACACACACTGAATATCTGAGCTAATAATAGACAAATATCCAAATATTACATTTGTATTGAATATTGCGCCCTCATGTGGAGATTTCTCTGAACTACACTGTCAAATTTTGAATTTACTGAATTTAAAATATTCACCCTCTTGTGGGGATTTTTGTGCACTGCACTGCTGCTGTTTTAAAATACTGAAAGTTTCAGCCTCGTGTGGAGAATTTCTGAATTGCAGCGCTGCGAATTTAATGAATTTAAAATATTCGCCCTCGTGTGGTGATTTTGGTGAATTACACCACTGCAAATCTAATTGGATGAGCTTAAACATGTCGCCCTCCTGTGGAGATATTTCTGAATTACACCTTTCTGTTGATTTGAAAGTTTGTGTTGATGTTTTTCCTGATCTTCAGCTCAGTAAATGTAAAGCACTGAGATTTCACCTTCCTGTGGCGCAGCTGTAGTCATGTTCATTTTCATCCACTGATGCTGACAACCACAAACATTTTGTTGTGTAAAATGAAGCAGAAAATCTTGAGGTTAAAAAAAAGGTATTATTAATAAATAAATAAATATCATCAAACGCTAAATATTACAGTTTTTATGGGGATCTTCAGATGACAGCGAGACAGTAAACTGAGGTCATGGTGAACACAGTTCTGCTACATGTTGAATTGAGTCGTTTTCTGTCTTCATCTGTTCCAGGAAAGATCTAAATATATTCTGTTGGTGACTTTATTATTGATTATTTGAATCAGTTTTTAATCGTTGACATGATTTTGATCAGTGAATGAAGTTAAACATGACCTAATGTAGTGGTGTGTTTAGTTGAAGCGTCCATGTCTGTCAACTCTCTGTTTTCAGGATCTACCAAGCCAGGTCAGAGGTCATGGAGAGCTCTTGAGCAGAACTGGATTCCTGATGGATTGGAAACAACTGTTTCCTGAGTTATTTACCGTTTTCTGTGTTAATTCTGTTTAAAGTCATTTTCTTTGTGTGCAGGAGAGACTTTCTGTGTAGCAGCAGCTGCCAGTCTGGATGAAGATTATACCAGTATTCAACCAGTTTCCCATTAGACGGCTGAGAGTACAAGAAACAGCCTTGAGGATGAAACAGGTCGTTCCCTGTAGAGCGGCACGGTATTGGAAATATGTCACAATGTGATGTTTAGTTTTCTGTGATTTATACTGTGATAAGAGTACAATTTCACCAGATGACCTGAACGGCTCTGTGTGTACAGAATTGATCATTTTAGATTGATTGGGATGATTCTGTAGATTTATTATACACAGTATAATTGCTGTGTTTTTGTTATTGTAAGGCAGCGAGATCGGCCAGCAAACTCTATGCGAGTGTCACAGAACGGCAAACTATCTTCAGTAAATTCTCTTAATCTTACTGAGTCTCCAGCTCAGAGGCTTCTCTTAATCGGACACACCAGTCGTTTTGGTCTCACCTGTTAATTTCCCTCCTCACAACGTGTGTGTGTGTGTGTGTGTGTGTGTGTGTGTGTGTGTGTGTTTAACCACTTTTCACCTTTTAAAGCTTAAACTCAAACATCTGATCATTCATAAGGGATTATTTTAGCTGTTTTTATACAGAAATTCAGGACAAATTATTGATCAACATTGTGGAAATATCAAACCAATATAAATGTAACATAAAACGATTCCCAAAAGCTGATGACTACAGACTTGACATCAAATATCGATAAATGAAGTGCAAAACATAAATATTGAACTTTTTAGCTCGTGACTTTCTCACTATGATGTTCTTCACTCCAGATCGTCTTTTAGCCTGTATGTAATTAATGCACCTCTCATCAATAAACACATTTAATTTATCTGACGAGCTTTTATATTGGGGATGCAGAATGTTTTCATTGCTTACAGATTTAATTGACCAACAGAAATATGATCATAAAGGCCTTATGAAGATGACTGGCTGCTTTTTAAAAGATCATATATTGTAGTAAGCCATTCATCAAGTTTTGAATTATAAGTATTCTGTTGCTGTATAAAAACGAGTGGATGAAAAAAATCTTCTGAACTCAGCAAGAGGCATTAAAGCGCAGTTTCCATCCGCTCCACTAGGCGGCATCAGCGAGCTGCTCTTAGCCTGAACACCTTTGACAACAGCGCCACAGATCATCACAGGTACACCGTTTTACTGGCGTCAAGTTGAGCTCCAGCAGATGACAGCTCAGTGACAGACTCATAATGTCAGTCAACAGCACATATTACAGCCCGACAGTGATGAAAAGCAACACAAAGTGCAGAAATGGAGAGTAACGCGACTCACCTGTAAGTGACTTTGTTTCGGTGGGTTTGTTTGTAGTGATGTTGCTGTAGTGTTTGTGTTCAGGCATTGCTCTCTCTCCTCCTCTGCAGCAGTGAAGATACACACGTGTGTCTGTTGTGTTTCTGCTGCACATCTTTCCTCTTTCTGACGCTCCTCCACACACTCCTCCACATCCAGGCGGATTCACAGCTCCAGTAAAGGTATTTATGAGCTCATATTTCCAGTAGAGAGTCCAGAAAGTGTGTTTGTTGTGCTGCTGCTCTGTCGCGTGTATGTTGGGGGAGGGACTTTCTGTAGAAAGCATTTGATTGGCCAGATTTGGTGTAGAGTCCTCAATACAGTATGAGGAGACTTTAGAGGTAAATGATGATATTTACAGTGTTTAATTGTGTTTAGTGACATTTAAAGCCCCACAAGCAGCTGTAAGATCATTTAAAATATGGTTGATGTGTGTGACTGAAGAATAAGCAGGTTTTTCACATTTTGAACAATGAAATGTAATAATATATTAGCATATGATGTAGTTTGAATGTATTGTATAATTTACATTTGATATTAGTTATTTGTATTTATTTAGTTTTTTTTTCAAAATGTGTAAATGTGGTCATCCTTACACTGGAGAAAGAAGTGTGTGTTTGTGTGTGTGCTGATGGTGTAGTGGTCAGAGCACACAGCCTGAGATGTGAAGATCTCACAGCATACCTGGGTTCAAATCTGAGTCCTGTTACTGCTCTTTACTGCTGATCTAAATACAAAAAACAAAAGTGTTTTTCCTCAATCCTGCACTGATCACTTTCCTTTCAGCAGTTCCTTTAGTCTGATCCACACAGTGAAGTGAGTTTCGTACCCAAGCCTCTACCGTAGTCTCGTTCACATTGACTGTGTGTTCAGCCACTAGCCCATCATGGCTTTCATGCTGCTTGGGCCACTTTGTCTCACTGAATTCCAGCAAATGACAGTAAAGTAAGCAATAGAGGGATTTGAACCCAGGTCTCCTGCATGAAAGCACAAGTGAGAGATTCGATCCTTCAGTCTGTTGAACGGTAGTCAAAGACTCATACACTGAGCCACAGGACTTGACTAATTGCAGAAGACTTTTTGTGAGCCAAATTACAAAGAAAGTTATCTCAAATCACAGGTAAAATTACGAAATAAATAAAGCTCCAATTAAACATTTGCTTCACCATCCAGACTCTGTGGCTCAGGTCGTAAAGTGTTGAACTTTAATCAAAGAGACCCGGGTTCAAATCTCACTATGGCTAATGTCCAGCTTGAGCTTATTATATTCACCATCAGTGTCCTGCCCTGATGATGGAAGCTGATGGTGAATATAATGAGCTCAAGCTGGACGCTGATGTGAACCCCATGATGATTGAGTGAATAAACACAAGTTCTCTGAGGAAGAGACTCATAAAGACAAGAGTTCACATCTGACTTGAATCTAGCAAGAGTGGGATTTGATCCTTCGCACTTCTGTACAATAGTCAAACGCTCATCCACTGAACCACAGAGCTTGATTTATGGATATGGTTGTTTTGTGGAGCAAATTACAAAGAAACATGTGTCAAACCTTGGTCATGATGGAGTTTGTGATAAAGCCCCATTCAGATATCTCCTCCAACATCAGACTTGGTGGCTCAGGTCATAAAGTGTTGGGCTTCGATCAAGAAGACCCGGGTTCAATCCTCACTATGGGTAATGTTCAACTCATTATACAGAACACAAGTTCTCTGAGGAAGAGACTCATAAAGACAAGGGTTCAGATCTGACTTGTATCTTGTTTTATTGAATCAGCTCACACACAGGTCAGCAGTCAAACATCAGTTCCAGCAGGTGTTCAGACAGGAGATCTGTGGCTCTGTGGTAAGAGCGCTGCCCCACGGCTTCAGGGGTTGCTGGTATCGGTCCCAGCCAGAACTCTGCGATATGTGTGAATGGTGAGTGAGTGTGAGGCGCGCCTGAAGAAGGGGGGATACCAGTTCGGTCTCCCCCTGGAGCTTCCGGAGCCGTGTCCAGCAGGGGTTATACTTTACAGCCTGCCAAAAAATTTAAAATGAACTGTATAAAAATTTTGGACCTTCGTCCCTTCCCCACCCGTTTCGGTTACCATCATTTACTTTCTAGAGGAGTGACCCTCCACAAAGCAAATGATGGTAACCGACATGTGAAACACACACACAATCACACATGATCTACATCACCTGTGCAGCAGCAGATGATCATCATCAGTACAGTCAGTGTCTGTCCACACGTCTCTGCTTTTGTTCAACAGGCTTACAGTCCACAACACGTCACTGATCCTGTAGAGTCGACACACAAATACACACATTATTACACACTGAATATCTGAGCTAATAATAGACAAATATACAAATATTACATATGTAGGAAATATTGCGCCCTCATGTGGAGATTTCTCTGAACTACACTTTGTCAAATCTTGAATTTACTGAATTTAAAATATTCGCCCTCTTGTGGGGATTTTTGTGCACTGCACTGCTGCTGTTTTAAAATACTGAAAGTTTCAGCCTCGTGTGGAGAATTTCTGAATTGCAGCGCTGCGAATTTGATGAATTTAAATATTCGCCCTCATGTGGTGATTTTGCTGAATTACACCACTGCAAATCTAATTGGATGAGCTTAAACATGTCGCCCTCCTGTGGAGATATTTCTGAATTACACCTTTCTGTTGATTTGAAAGTTTGTGTTGATGTTTTTCCTGATCTTCAGCTCAGCAAATGTAAAGCACTGAGATTTCACCTTCCTGTGGCGCAGCTGTAGTCATGTTCATTTTCATCCATTGATGCTGACAACCACAAACATTTTGTTGTGTAAAATGAAGCAGAAAATCTTGAGGTTAAAAAAAAGGTATTATTAATAAATAAATAAATATCATCAAACGCTAAATATTACAGTTTTTATGGGGATCTTCAGATGACAGCGAGACAGTAAACTGAGGTCATGGTGAACACAGTTCTGCTACATGTTGAAGCGAGTCGTTTTCTGTCTTCATCCGTTCCAGGAAAGATCTAAATATATTCTGTTGGTGACTTTATTATTGATTATTTGAATCAGTTTTTAATCGTTGACATGATTTTGATCAGTGAATGAAGTTAAACATGACCTAATGTAGTGATGTGTTCAGTTGAAGCGTCCATGTCTGTCAACTCTCTGTTTTCAGGATATACCAAGCCAGATCAGAGGTCATGGAGAGCTCTTGAGCAGAACTGGATTCCTGATGGATTGGAAACAACTGTTTCCTGAGTTATTTACCGTTTAATGTGTTAATTCTGTTTAAAGTCATTTTCTTTGTGTGTAGGAGAGACTTTCTGTGTAGCAGCAGCTGCCAGTCTGGATGTAGATTATACCAGTATTCAACCAGTTTCCCATTAGACGGCTGAGAGTACAAGAAACAGCCTTGAGGATGAAACAGGTCGTTCCCTGTAGAGCGGCACGGTATTGGAAATATGTCACAATGTGATGTTTAGTTTTCTGTGATTTATACTGTGAAAAGAGTACAATTTCACCAGATGACTTGAACGGCTCTGTGTGTACAGAATTGATCATTTTAGATTGATTGGGACGATTCTGTAGATTTATTATACACAGTATAATTGCTGTGTTTTTGTTATTGTGAGGCAGCGAGATCGGCCAGCAAACTCTATGCGAGTGTCACAGAACGGCAAACTATCTTCAGTAAATTCTCTTAATCTTACTGAGTCTCCAGCTCAGAGGCTTCTCTTAATCGGACACACCAGTCGTTTTGGTCTCACCTGTTAATTTCCCTCCTCACAACGTGTGTGTGTGTGTGTGTGTGTGTGTGTTTAACCACTTTTCACCTTTTAAAGCTTAAACTCAAACATCTGATCATTCATAAGGGATTATTTTAGCTGTTTTTATACAGAAATTCAGGACAAATTATTGATTAACAATGTGGAAATATCAAACCAATATAAATGTAACATAAAACGATTCCCAAAAGCTGATGACTACAGACTTGACATCAAATATCGATAAATGAAGTGCAAAACATAAATATTGAACTTTTTAGCTTGTGACTTTCTCATTATGCTGTTATTCACTCCAGATCGTCTTTTAGCCTGTATGTAATTAATGCACCTCTCATCAATAAACACATTTAATTTATCTGATTAGCTTTTATATTGGGGATGCAGAATGTTTTCATTGCTTACAGATTTAATTGACCAACAGAAATATGATCATAAATGCCTTATAAAGATGACTGGCTGCTTTTTAAAAGATCATATATTGTAGAAAGCCATTTATCAAGTTTAGAATTATAAGTATTTCTGTTGCTGTATAAAAACAACGAGTGGATGAAAAAAATCTTCTGAACTCAGCAAGAGGCATTAAAGCGCAGTTTCCATCCGCTCCACTAGGCGGCATCAGCGAGCTGCTCTTTTAGCCTGAACACCTTTGACAACAGCGCCACAGATCATCACAGGTACACCGTTTTACTGGCGTCAAGTTGAGCTCCAGCAGTTGACAGCTCAGTGACAGACTCATAATGTCAGTCAACAGCACATATTACAGCCCGTCAGGGAAGAAAAGCGACAGAAAGTGCAGAAGTGGAGAGTAACGCGACTCACCTGTAAGTGACTTTGTTTCGGTGGGTTTGTTTGTAGTGATGTTGCTGTAGTGTTTGTGTTCAGGCATTGCTCTCTCTCCTCCTCTGCAGCAGTGAAGATACACACGTGTGTCTGTTGTGTTTCTGCTGCACATCTTTCCTCTTTCTGACGCTCCTCCACACACTCCTCCACATCCAGGCGGATTCACAGCTCCAGTAAAGGTATTTATGAGCTCATATTTCCAGTAGAGAGTCCAGAAAGTGTGTTTGTTGTGCTGCTGCTCTGTCGCGTGTATGTTGGGGGAGGGACTTTCTGTAGAAAGCATCTGATTGGCCAGATTTGGCGTAGAGTCCTCAATACAGTATGAGGAGACTTTAGAGGTAAATGATGATATTTACAGTGTTTAATTGTGTTTAGTGACATTTAAAGCCCCACAAGCAGCTGTAAGATCATTTAATATATGGTTGATGTGTTTGATTGGAGAATAAGCAGGTTTTACACATTTTGAACAATGAAATATAATAATATATTAGCATATGATGTAGTTTTAATGAATTTTGAATAATTTTACACTTGATATTAATTATTTGTATTTATTTACTTTTTTTTTTCAAAATGTGTAAATGTGGTCATCCTTACACTGGAGAAAGAAGTGTGTGTTTGTGTGTGTGCTGATGGTGTAGTGGTCAGAGCATACAGCCTGAAATGTGAAGTTCTCACAGTATACCTGGGTTCTAATCTGAGTCCTGTTACTGCTCTTTACTGCTGATCTAAATACAAAAAACAAAAGTGTTTTTCCTCGATCCTGCACTGATTACTTTCCTTTCAGCAGTTCCTTTGGTTTGATCCACACAGTGTACTGAGTTTCATACCCAAGCCTCTACCGTAGTCTCGTTCACATTGACTGTGTGTTCAGCCACTAGCCCATCATGGCTTTCATGCTGCTTGGGCCACTTTGTCTGACTGAATTCCAGCAAATGACAGTAAAGTAAGCAATAGAGGGATTTGAACCCAGGTCTCCTGCATGAAAGCACATTACTTTATGACTTGAGCCACTGAGAGAGATGAATTCAGACTCCTTAAAATTGTTTTTATTGAGAAAGACAGGATGTAGTTTTTAGCAAGTGTAAGATTAGATCTGTCAGTTTTCTGTTTGGCAGTCAAGCACTCACCCACTAAGCCACAGGACTTCACATTGGTAGCTTTTTTTTTTGTGAGCCAAATTACAAAACCATTTATCTCAAATTGCGGTCAAAATCAGGACCTATATAAAGCTCCATTCAAACTGCAGTTTCTCACTCCAGACTCAGTGGCTGATGTTATAAAGTGTTGAACTTTAATCAAAGAGACCCGGGTTCAAATCTCACTATGGCTAATGTCCAGCTTGAGCTTATTATATTCACCATCAGTGTCCTGCCCTGATGATGGAAGCTGATGGTGAATCTAATGAGCTCAAGCTGGATGATGATGTGAAGCCCATGATGATTGAGTGAATAAACACAAGTTCTCTGAGGAAGAGACTCATAAAGACAAGAGTTCACATCTGACTTGAATCTAGCAAGAGTGGGATTTGATCCTTCACACTTCTGTACAATAGTTAAACGCTCATCCACTGAACCACAGAGCTTGATTTTTGGATATGGTTGTTTTGTGGACCAAATTACAAAGAAATATGTGTCAAACCTTGGTCATGATGGAGTTTGTGATAAAGCCCCATTCAGATATCTCCTCCAACATCAGACTTGGTGGCTCAGGTCATAAAGTGTTGGGCTTAAATCAAGAAGACCCGGGTTCAATCCTCACTAAGGGTAATGTTTAACTCATTATACAGAACACAAGTTCTCTGAGGAAGAGACTCATAAAGACAAGGGTTCACATCTGACTTGTATCTTGTTTTATTGAATCAGCTCACACACAGGTCAGCAGTCAAACATCAGTTCCAGCAGGTGTTCAGACAGGAGATCTGTGGCTCTGTGGTAAGAGCGCTGCCCCACGGCTTCAGGGGTTGCTGGTATCGGTCCCAGCCAGAACTCTGCGATATGTGTGAATGGTGAGTGAGTGTGAGGCGCGCCTGAAGAAGGGGGGATACCAGTTCGGTCTCCCCCTGGAGCTTCCGGAGCCGTGTCCAGCAGGGGTTATACTTTACAGCCTGCCAAAAAATTTAAAATGAACTGTATAAAAATTCTGGACCTTCGTCCCTTCCCCACCCGTTTCGGTTACCATCATTTACTTTCTAGAGGAGTGACCCTCCACAAAGCAAATGATGGTAACCGACATGTGCAAGACAAACACGCACACACACACAATCACACACATGATCTACATCACCTGTGCAGCAGCAGATGATCATCATCAGTACAGTCAGTGTCTGTCCACACGTCTCTGCTTCTGTTCAACAGGCTTACAGTCCACAACACGTCACTGATCCTGTAGAGCAGACAAACAAATACACACATTATTACACACTGAATATCTGAGCTAATAATAGACAAATATGCAAATATTACATATGTATTGAATATTGCGCCCTCATGTGGAGATTATTCAGAAATACGCCTTTGCAAATTTTCAATATAATGTATTTAAAATATTCGCCCTCTTGTGGTGATGTTTGTGAACTGCACTGCTGCCGCTCTAAAATAGTGAAAGTTTCAGCCTCGTGTGGAGAATTTCTGAATTACACCTTTGCAAATCTTCAATCTACTGAATTTAAAATATTCGCCCTCGTGTGGTGATTTTGGTGAATTACACAACTGCAAATCTAATTGAATGAATTTAAACATGTCGCCCTCCTGTGGAGATGTTTCTGAATTACAACTTTGCAGATCTGTTGATTTGAATGATTGTGGTGATTTTTTGTGAATTTCAGCACAGCAAATGCAAAGCATTGAGATTTCAGCTTCCTGTGGTGCAGCTGCATTTTCATCCACTGATGGTGACAACCATAAACATTTTATTGTGTAAAAGAAAGCAGGAAGTGTTGAGGTGTCTGCGGTATTAAAAGTGTTAAAATGTCTTAAATCACAAAAGCAAAGTTTTAGACCTTCAGAAGTCTTAAATCAACTAAAATATTGTGTTATAGGTCTTAAATCTTATTTAACAGCTCTTAATTTTCCCTTGTTCATTTATAGCTTCCCAATCTGGCCATTAATACCCAGACAATCACCAACAATCTCAATACAACTTTCAATTTAATTACTTTCCCTACAGTAACATTTGCTAATAAGTTATTTATTTATTGCTGAGGATACTGACCTGACCTAGATTTGTATTATTAAATTATTATTATGATTGTTTTATTAAATGTTTTACGTTATAATCGTTTTTTAAAGGGCAAGTGAAAATCTTTTCCAACTGGGATATTCAAATAAAATCCTCAGCATTTAGCCGTGTATAAGTCTAACATTTCATTCAAATTGTTCTTCAAAATGTTTTGAAGTCTTAAATTTAACTTGATGAAACCTGCAGGAACCCTGATTTAATCTTTGGCATGATTTTGATCAGTGAATGAAGTTAAACATGACCTCATTTAGTGATGTGTTCAGTCGGAGAGTCTCTGTCTCTGTCAAATCTCTGTTTTCAGGATCTACCAAGCCAGGTTTGAGGTCATGGAGAGCTCTTGAGCAGAACTTTATTCTTGATGGACTAGAAACAACTGTTTACTGAATTATTTGCCGTTTTATTTGTTAATTCTTTTCAAAGTAATTTCTTTTATATGCTGGAGAGACTTTCTGTGTAGCAGCAGCTGCCAGTCTGGATGTAGATTATACCAGTATTCAACCAGTCGTTTTGGTCTCACCTGGTAATTTCCCTCCTGACAATGTCCGTGTGTTTAACCACTGTTTAATCTTTAAAGCACACACTAAAACATCTGATCATTTATAAGTGATTATTTTTGCTCGCTTTATTTAGAAGTTCAGGATAAATGCTCGAATAACAATATGGAAAAATCAAACAAATAATAATGTAATATAAAACTATTGTCAAAAGCTGATGACTACAGACTTGACATCAAATATTGCCAAATCAAATGTAAAATATTGTACTTTAAAGCTTGTGACTTTCTCATTATGCTGTTATTCACTCTAGATCGTCATTTAGTCTGTATGTAATTAATGCATCACACATCAATAAACACATTTAATTTATCTGACGAGCTCTTATATCGGGGATGCAGAATGTTTTCATTGCTTACAGATTTCACTGACGCAGACACAAGTAATAATTATACCAACAAAAACACGAGCACATTTCCTTTCATGAATGCCTAATAAAGATGACTGGTTATTAAAAACATATATTGTATTAAGCTTTGCATGAAGTGTTAAATTATAAGTATTTCTGTTGCTATATTAAGATGCAACAAGTGGATTAAAAAATCTTGTAAGCTCTGTAATAAAGCAGATTTGATCAGTCTTTCTCCAATAGTATCTGGATGCAGACTTGGATTTGCAAACCGAGACTGCATAAATCAGACTTGCAATGTAAGACGTCACTGTAAGGGGTGGGGTTAGGTGTGCGCATTAAAGCGCAGTGTCCATCCGCTCCACTAGGCGGCATCAGCGAGCTGCTCTTTTAGCCTGAACACCTTTGACAACAGCGCCACAGATCATCACAGTTACACCGTTTTACTGGCGTCAAGTTGAGCTCCAGCAGATGACAGCTCAGTGACAGACTCATAATGTCAGTCAACAGCACATATTACAGCCCGACAGCGAAGAAAAGCGACCCAGAGAGCAGAAATGGAGAGTAACGCGACTCACCTGTAAGTGACTTTGTTTCGGTGGGTTTGTTTGTAGTGATGTTGCTGTAGTGTTTGTGTTCAGGCATTGCTCTCTCCTCCTCTGCAGCAGTGAAGATACACACGTGTGTCTGTTGTGTTTCTGCTGCACATCTTTCCTCTTTCTGACGCTCCTCCACACACTCCTCCACATCCAGGCGGATTCACAGCTCCAGTAAAGGTATTTATGAGCTCATATTTCCAGTAGAGAGTCCAGAAAGTGTGTTTGTTGTGCTGCTGCTCTGTCGCGTGTATGTTGGGGGAGGGACTTTCTGTAGGAAGCATTTGATTGGCCAGATTTGGTGTAGAGTCCTCAATACAGTATGAGGAGACTTTAGAGGTAAATGATGATATTTACAGTGTTTAATTGTGTTTAGTAACATTTAAAGCCCCACAAGCAGCTGTAAGATCATTTAAAATATGGTTGATGTGTTTGACTAAAGAATAAGCAGGTTTTTCACATTTTGAACAATGAAATATAATAATATATTAGCATATGATGTAGTTTGAATGTATTTTGAATCATTTACATTAGAATTTTATTTATATTATAATTTTATATGAATTATTTGTGCTTAGTCCGTTTTTTTTTCAAAATGTGTAAATGTGGTCATCCTTACACTGGAGAAAGAAGTGTGTGTTTGTGTGTGTGCTGATGGTGTAGTGGTCAGAGCACACAGCCTGAGATGTAAAGGTCTCACAGCATACCTGGGTTCAAATCTGAGTCCTGTTACTGCTCTTTACTGCTGATCTAAATACAAAAAAACAAAAGAGTTTTTCCATAGTTTTGCACTGATTATTTTCCTTTCAGCAGTTCCTTTAGTGTGATCCGCACAGCAAAGTGAGTTTCGTACCCAAGCCTCTACCGTAGTCTCGTTCACATTGACTGTGTGTTGAGCCACTAGCCCATCATGGCTTTCATGCTGCTTGGGCCACTTTGTCTGACTGAATTCCAGCAAATGACAGTAAAGTAAGCAATAGAGGGATTTGAACCCAGGTCTCCTGCATGAAAGCACATTGCTTTATGACTTGAGCCACTGAGAGAGATGAATTTAGACTTCTGGAAATTGTTTTTATTGAGAGTTTTGAGAAAGATGTGATTATAGCAAGTGAGGGACTCAATCTTTCAGTCTTCTGTATGGCAGTCAAGCACTCATCCACTGAGCCACCGGAGTTAACTATTGGTATTATTTTTTGTGAGCCAAATTACAAAGACAATAATCTCACATCACGGATAAAATCAGGAAGAGATAAAGCTCCATTAAAACACTTTCTTCACCATCCAGACTCTGTGGCTCATGTTATAAAGTATTGAACTTTGTTCAAGGAGGTCCGGGTTCAAATCTCACTATGGCTAATGTCCAGCTTGAGCTTATTATATTCACCATCAGTGTCCTGCCCTGATGATGGAAGCTGATGGTGAATATAATGAGCTCAAGCTGGATGATGATGTGAACCCCATGATGATTGAGTGAATAAACACAAGTTCTCTGAGGAAGAGACTCATAAAGACAAGAGTTCACATCTGACTTGAATCTAGCAAGAGTGGGATTTGATCCTTCGCACTTCTGTACAATAGTTAAACGCTCATCCACTGAACCACAGAGCTTGATTTATGGATATGGTTGTTTTGTGGACCAAATTACAAAGAAATATGTGTCAAACCTTGGTCATGATGGAGTTTGTGATAAAGCCCCATTCAGAAACCTCCTCCAACATCAGACTTGGTGGCTCAGGTCATAAAGTGTTGGACTTTAATCAAGTAGACCCGGGTTCAAACCTCACTATAGGTAATGTCCCACTCATTATACAGAACACAAGTTCTTTGAGGAAGAGACTCATAAAGACAAGAGTTCACATCTGATTTGTATCTTGTTTTATTGAATCAGCTCACACACAGGTCAGCAGTCAAACATCAGTTCCAGCAGGTGTTCAGACAGGAGATCTGTGGCTCTGTGGTAAGAGCGCTGCCCCACGGCTTCAGGGGTTGCTGGTATCGGTCCCAGCCAGAACTCTGCGATATGTGTGAATGGTGAGTGAGTGTGAGGCGCGCCTGAAGAAGGGGGGATACCAGTTCGGTCTCCCCCTGGAGCTTCCGGAGCCGTGTCCAGCAGGGGTTATACTTTACAGCCTGCCAAAAAATTTAAAATGAACTGTATAAAAATTCTGGACCTTCGTCCCTTCCCCACCCGTTTCGGTTACCATCATTTACTTTCTAGAGGAGTGACCCTCCACAAAGCAAATGATGGTAACCGACATGTGCAAGACAAACACACACACACACAATCATACATGATCTACATCACCTGTGCAGCAGCAGATGATCATCATCAGTACAGTCAGTGTCTGTCCACACGTCTCTGCTTCTGTTCAACAGGCTTACAGTCCACAACACGTCACTGATCCTGTAGAGCAGACAAACAAATACACACATTATTACACACTGAATATCTGAGCTAATAATAGACAAATATACAAATATTACATATGTATTGAATATTGCGCCCTCATGTGGAGATTTCTCTGAACTACACTTTGTCAAATCTTGAATTTTCTGAATTTAAAATATTCACCCTCTTGTGGGGATTTTTGTGCACTGCACTGCTGCTGTTTTAAAATACTGAAAGTTTCAGCCTCGTGTGGAGAATTTCTGAATTGCAGCGCTGCGAATTTAATGAATTTAAAATATTCGCCCTCGTGTGGTGATTTTGCTGAATTACACCACTGCAAATCTATTTGGATGAGCTTAAACATGTCGCCCTCCTGTGGAGATATTTCTGAATTACACCTTTCTATTGATTTGAAAGTTTGTGGTGATGTTTTTCCTGATCTTCAGCTCAGTAAATGTAAAGCACTGAGATTTCAGCTTCCTGTGGCGCAGCTGTAGTCATGTTCATTTTCATCCACTGATGCTGACAACCACAAACATTTCGTTGTGTAAAATGAAGCAGAAAATCTTGAGGTTAAAAAAAAGGTATTATTAATAAATAAAGAAATATCATCAAACGCTAAATATTGCAGTTTTTATGGGGATCTTCAGATGACAGCGAGACAGTAAACTGAGGTCATGGTGAACACAGTTCTGCTACATGTTGAATTGAGTCGTTTTCTGTCTTCATCTGTTCCAGGAAAGATCAAAATATATTCTGTTGGTGACTTTATTATTGATTATTTGAATCAGTTTTTAATCGTTGACATGATTTTGATCAGTGAATGAAGTTAAACATGACCTAATGTAGTGAAGTGTTCAGTTGAAGCGTCCATGTCTGTCAAATCTCTGTTTTCAGGATCTACCAAGCCAGGTCAGAGGTCATGGAGAGCTCTTGAGCAGAACTGGATTCCTGATGGATTGGAAACAACTGTTTCCTGAGTTATTTACCGTTTTCTGTGTTAATTCTGTTTAAAGTCATTTTCTTTGTGTGCAGGAGAGACTTTCTGTGTAGCAGCAGCTGCCAGTCTGGATGTAGATTACACCAGTATTCAACCAGTTTCCGATTAGACGGCTGAGAGTACAAGAAACAGCCTTGAGGATGAAACAGGTCGTTCCCTGTAGAGCGGCACGGTATTGGAAATATGTCACAATGTGATGTTTAGTTTTCTGTGATTTATACTGTGATAAGAGTACAATTTCACCAGATGACCTGAACGGCTCTGTGTGTACAGAATTGATCATTTTAGATTGATTGGGATGATTCTGTATATTTATTATGCACAGTATAATTGCTGTGTTTTTGTTATTGTAAGGCAGCGAGATCGGCCAGCAAACTCTATGCGAGTGTCACAGAACGGCAAACTATCTTCAGTAAATTCTCTTAATCTTACTGAGTCTCCAGCTCAAAGGCTTCTCTTAATCGGACACACCAGTCGTTTTGGTCTCACCTGTTAATTGCCCTCCTCACAACGTGTGTGTGTGTGTGTGTGTTTGTGTGTGTGTGTGTGTGTGTGTGTGTGTTTAACCACTTTTCACCTTTTAAAGCTTAAACTCAAACATCTGATCATTCATAAGGGATTATTTTAGCTCTTTTTATACAGAAACTCAGGACAAATTATTGATTAACAATGTGGAAATATCAAACCAATATAAATGTAACATAAAACAATTCCCAAAAGCTGATGACTACAGACTTGACATCAAATATCGATAAATGAAGTGCAAAACATAAATATTGAACTTTTTAGCTCGTGACTTTCTCATTATGCTGTTATTCAGTCCAGATCGTCTTTTAGCCTGTATGTAATTAATGCACCTCTCATCAATAAACACATTTAATTTATCTGACGAGCTTTTATATTGGGGATGCAGAATGTTTTCATTGCTTACAGATTTAATTGACCAACAGAAATATGATCATAAATGCCTCATAAAGATGACTGGCTCATTTTTAAAAGATCATATATTGTAGAAAGCCATTCATCAAGTTTTGAATTATAAGTATTCTGTTGCTGTATGAAAACAACGAGTGGATGAAAAAAAATCTTGTGAACTCAGCAAGAGGCATTAAAGCGCAGTTTCCATCCGCTCCACTAGGCGGCATCAGCGAGCTGCTCTTTTAGCCTGAACACCTTTGACAACAGCGCCACAGATCATCACAGGTACACCGTTTTACTGGCGTCAAGTTGAGCTCCAGCAGATGACAGCACAGTGACACTCATAATGTCAGTCAACAGCACATATTACAGCCCGACAGTGAAGAAAAGCGACACAAAGTGCAGAAATGGAGAGTAACGCGACTCACCTGTAAGTGGCTTTGTTTCGGTGGGTTTGTTTGTAGTGATGTTGCTGTAGTGTTTGTGTTCAGGCATTGCTCTCTCTCCTCCTCTGCAGCAGTGAAGATACACACATGTGTCTGTTGTGTTTCTGCTGCACATCTTTCCTCTTTCTGACGCTCATCCACACACTCCTCCACATCCAGGCGGATTCACAGCTTTAGTAAAGGTATTTATGAGCTCATATTTCCAGTAGAGAGTCCAGAAAGTGTGTTTGTTGTGCTGCTGCTCTGTCACGTGTATGTTGGGGGAGGGACTTTCTGTAGGAAGCATCTGATTGGCCAGATTTGGTGTAGAGTCCTCAATACAGTATGAGGAGACTTTAGAGGTAAATGATGATATTTACAGTGTTTAATTGTGTTTAGTGACATTTAAAGCCCCACAAGCAGCTGTAAGATCATTTAAAATATGGTTGATGTGTTTGACTGAAGAATAAGCAGGTTTTTCACATTTTGAACAATGAAATAAAATAATATATTAGCATATGATGTAGTTTGAATGTATTTTGTATAATTTACATTTGATATTAATTATTTGTGTTTATTTAGTTTTTTTTTCAAAATGTGTAAATGTGGTCATCCTTACACTGGAGAAAGAAGTGTTGTTTTGTGTGTGTGCTGATGGTGTAGTGGTCAGAGCACACAGCCTGAAATGTGAAGTTCTCACAGTATACCTGGGTTCAAATCTGAGTCCTGTTACTGCTCTTTACTGCTGATCTAAATACAAAAAACAAAAGTGTTTTTCCTCAATCCTGCACTGATTACTTTCCTGTCAGCAGTTCATTTAGTGTGATCCACACAGCGAATGGAGTTTCGTACCCAAGCCTCTACCGTAGTCTCGTTCACATTGACTGTGTGTTCAGCCACTAGCCCATCATGGCTTTCATGCTGCTTAGGCCACTTTGTCTGACTGAATTCCAGCAAATGACAGTAAAGTAAGCAATAGAGAGATTTGAACCCAGGTCTCCTGCATGCAAGCACAAGTGAGAGATTCGATCCTTCAGTCTGTTGAACGGTAGTCAAAGACTCACCCACTGAGCCACAGGACTTGACTAATAGCAATCGACTTTTTGTGAGCCAACTTACAAAGAAATTTATCTCAAATCACAGGTGAAATCAGGTAATAGATAAAGCTCCATTTAAACATTTGCTTCACCATCCAGACTCTGTGGCTCATGTTGTAAAGTGTTGAACTTTAATCAAAGAGACCCGGGTTCAAATCTCACTATGGCTAATGTCCAGCTTGAGTTTATTATATTCACCATCAGTGTCCTGCCCTGATGATGGAAGCTGATGGTGAATATAAAGAGTTCAAGCTGGACGCTGATGTGAAGTCCATGATGATTGAGTGAATAAACACAAGTTCTCTGAGGAAGAGACTCATAAAGACAAGAGTTCACATCTGACTTGAATCTAGCAAGAGTGGGATTTGATCCTTCGCACTTCTGTATGATAGTTGAATGCTCTTCCTTTGAACCACAGAGCTTGATTTTTGGATATGGTTGTTTTGTGGACCAAATTACAAAAAAAATATGTGTCAAACCTTGGTCATGATGGAGTTAGTGATAAAGCCCCATTCAGATATCTACTCCAACATCAGACTTGGTGGCTCAAGTCATAAAGTGTTGGACTTTAATCAAGAAGACCCGGGTTCAATCCTCACTGTGGCTAATGTCCACCTTCAGTTCATTATATTCACCATCCTGATGATGGACGCTGGTGTGAAACTCATGATGGGCGAGTCAATAAACACAAGTTCTCTGAGGAAGAGACTCATAAAGACAAGAGTTCAGATCTGACTTGTATCTTGTTTTATTGAATAAGCTCACACACAGGTCAGCAGTCAAACATCAGTTCCAGCAGGTGTTCAGACAGGAGATCTGTGGCTCTGTGGTAAGAGCGCTGCCCCACGGCTTCAGGGGTTGCTGGTATCGGTCCCAGCCAGAACTCTGCGATATGTGTGAATGGTGAGTGAGTGTGAGGCGCGCCTGAAGAAGGGGGGATACCAGTTCGGTCTCCCCCTGGAGCTTCCGGAGCCGTGTCCAGCAGGGGTTATACTTTACAGCCTGCCAAAAAATTTAAAATGAACTGTATAAAAATTCTGGACCTTCGTCCCTTCCCCACCCGTTTCGGTTACCATCATTTACTTTGTAGAGGAGTGACCCTCCACAAAGCAAATGATGGTAACCGACATGTGCAAGACAAACACACACACAATCATACATGATCTACATCACCTGTGCAGCAGCAGATGATCATCATCAGTACAGTCAGTGTCTGTCCACACGTCTCTGCTTCTGTTCAACAGGCTTACAGTCCACAACACATCACTGATCCTGTAGAGCAGACAAACAAATACACACATTATTACACACTGAATATCTGAGCTAATAATAGACAAATATGCAAATATTTTATTGTATTGAACATTGCGCCCTCATGTGGACATTATTCGGAATTACACCTTTGCGAATTTTTAATATAATAATTTTAAAATATTCGCCCTCGTGTGGTGATTTTGGTGAATTACACAACTGCAAATCTAATTGAATGAATTTAAACATGTCGCCCTCCTGTGGAGATATTTCTGAATTACACTATTGCAGATCTGTTGATTTGAATGATTGTGGGGATTTTTCTGAATTTCAGCAAAGCATTGAGATTTCAGCTTCCTGTGGTGCAGCTGTAGTTTTCTGTATGTTCAACCACTGATGTTGACAACTATAAAGAAAAGCTTTTCTGCAGTGCAGCTCTACATGACAACAGATGGTAAAATGAATGATCAAAAAAGGCGAGTGAATAAAAATGTCTTCAGTCTTGCAATGCAGTGCAAAGTAACTCTGCCACCACTGCTTTACTTCTGTTATTAACCCTTTCACTGCTGAGTTTTAAAGGTTCTATCTGGAAACGGGAGTCTTGACAGATGTAGCACTTTTATTTATTATTATTTTTTATTCAACATATTCACACGCTTGCTCATCGTGTCATCAACTACCTGATAATCCAATTTACATAAATGTGTAAGTGATTGTGATTAAGTGAACTTAGAGAAGAATAGAATTAACTTTATAGTTACTTTCACATCTGGTATGAATAAAACACATCGGCAACAGATGGTACTAGTACTTGTTTTACTAGTACTTGTGCATTCACATGTCTAAAATATAAAATAAGCATTAGGCGGTTAAAAAGCTGCATAATTGTGATAATATGATAAGTCTTTCTCTGGCTCAGCGCTAGCCAACGTGCCAAAGCTCAGTTTGATTTTTTAGTTGCCGCTCTAAGGGTTATCGCTAACTTGTCATGCTTGTCAAGCTGGATAACGAGTAAAATATCAGCAGCAGGGACTTTACAGTTCTCACTTCAAAACAAAACAATAGTAGGATTCTTTAATGATTTACCCTGCTGTTAATCTCCCTTCCTCCTCATCCCTGTCTATGGGGCGCCAAACTCTGTTTCCGTGCGTGAGAGAGACTGTATTCACACCGCTCCATGCTGAACTAAAGTGTTTTTAAATAATCAAACGTCCCCGTATGACGAATCTATTATGAAATTCGTTGCCAACGCTTTTAGTAATCGATTTAAACGATTCATTGTTGCAGCCCTAATGGAAATATCACACAAATATTAATGTAACATAAAACTATTCGTCACCTTGGAATTATAAGGTTTTATCTGCGTTCTGAATGATTTTGAGATATTGAGCCTCAAAGTTTTTGCATTCCATAGCAAACAGTATGTGTGCAACATTTGTTTTTTAAATAAAAAAAGTCTTAAAATGTAAACAACTTTTAAAAATCATCACATACTGTAAATTAGTTGTCAATTAATAAAAATATGTCAATAACTCAATATTGACAAAAATGTCAGATAGAACTTTATAATTCTAAGGTGACGTATTGTCAAAAGCTGATGATTACTGACTTGACATCAAATATTGCAGAATTAAATGTCAAAAAATCTTCTTTAAAGCTTGTGACTTTCTCATTATGCTGTTATTCACTCTAGATCGTCATTTAGTCAGTATGTAATTAATGCACCACAGATCAATAAACACATTTAATTTATCTGACGAGCTCTTATATCGGGATGCAGAATGTTTTCATTGCTTACAGATTTCACTGACGCAGACACAAGTAATATTTTACCAACAAAAACACGACCACATTTCCTTTCATGAATGCCTAATAAAGATGACTGGTTATTAAAAACATATATATTGTATTAAGCCATTCATAAAGTGTTGAATTGTAAGTATTTCTGTTGCTATATTAAGATGCAACAAGTGGATGCAAAAAAATCTTGTGAACTTTGTAAAAGGCAGATTTGATCAGTCTTTCTCCAATATTATCTGGATGCAGATTTGGATTTGCAAACTGAGACTGCATAAATCAGACCTACAATGTCAGACACGATGCACTCAATGGAGCTAGTGACGTCACTGTAAAGGGTGGGGTTAGGTGTGCGCATTAAAGCGCAGCTCCCATCTGCTCCACTAGGCGGCATCAGCGAGCTGCTCTTAGCCTGAACACCTTTGACAACAGCGCCACAGATCATCACAGGTACACCGTTTTACTGGCGTCAAGTTGAGCTCCAGCAGATGACAGCTCAGTGACAGACTCATAATGTCAGTCAACAGCACATATTACAGCCCGACAGTGAAGAAAAGCGACACAGAGAGCAGAAATGGAGAGTAACGCGACTCACCTGTAAGTGACTTTGTTTCGGTGGGTTTGTTTGTAGTGATGTTGCTGTAGTGTTTGTGTTCAGGCATTGCTCTCTCTCCTCCTCTGCAGCAGTGAAGATACACACGTGTGTCTGTTGTGTTTCTGCTGCACATCTTTCCTCTTTCTGACGCTCCTCCACACACTCCTCCACATCCAGGCGGATTCACAGCTCCAGTAAAGGTATTTATGAGCTCATATTTCCAGTAGAGAGTCCAGAAAGTGTGTTTGTTGTGCTGCTGCTCTGTCGCGTGTATGTTGGGGGAGGGACTTTCTGTAGAAAGCATCTGATTGGCCAGATTTGGTGTAGAGTCCTCAATACAGTATGAGGAGACTTTAGAGGTAAATGATGATATTTACAGTGTTTAATTGTGTTTAGTGACATTTAAAGCCCCACAAGCAGCTGTAAGATCATTTAAAATATGGTTGATGTGTTTGACTGAAGAATAAGCAGGTTTTTCACATTTTGAACAATGAAATAAAATAATATATTAGCATATGATGTAGTTTGAATGTATTTTGAATAATTTACATTTGAAATTAATTATTTGTGTTTATTTAGTTTTTTTTTTCAAAATGTGTAAATGTGGTCATCCTTACACTGGAGAAAGAAGTGTGTGTTTGTGTGTGTGCTGATGGTGTAGTGGTCAGAGCACACAGCCTGAGATGTGAAGTTCTCACAGTATACCTGGGTTCAAATCTGAGTCCTGTTACTGCTCTTTACTGCTGATCTAAATACAAAAAACAAAAGTGTTTTTCCTCAATCCTGCACTGATTACTTTCCTGTCAGCAGTTCATTTAGTGTGATCCACACAGCGAATGGAGTTTCGTACCCAAGCCTCTACCGTAGTCTCGTTCACATTGACTGTGTGTTCAGCCACTAGCCCATCATGGCTTTCATGCTGCTTAGGCCACTTTGTCTGACTGAATTCCAGCAAATGACAGTAAAGTAAGCAATAGAGAGATTTGAACCCAGGTCTCCTGCATGAAAGCACAAGTGAGAGATTCGATCCTTCAGTCTGTTGAACGGTAGTCAAAGACTCACCCACTGAGCCACAGGACTTGACTGATAGCAAAAGCCTTATTGTGAGCCAAATTACAAAGAAATTTATCTCAAATCACAGGTAAAATTAGGAAATAGATAAAGCTCCATTTAAACATTTGCTTCACCATCCAGACTCTGTGGCTCAGGTCATAAAGTGTTGAACTTTAATCAAAGAGACCCGGGTTCAAATCTCACTATGGCTAATGTCCAGCTTGAGCTTATTATATTCACCATCAGTGTCCTGCCCTGATGATGGAAGCTGATGGTGAATCTAATGAGCTTAAGCAGGATGATGATGTGTAACCCATGATGATTGAGTGAATAAACACAAGTTCTCTGAGGAAGAGACTCATAAAGACAAGAGTTCACATCTGACTTGAATCTAGCAAGAGTGGGATTTGATCCTTCGTACTTCTGCACAATAGTTAAACGCTCATCCACTGAACCACAGAGCTTGATTTTTGGATATGGTTGTTTTGTGGACCAAATTACAAAGAAATATGTGTCAAACCTTGGTCATGATGGAGTTAGTGATAAAGCCCCATTCAGATATTTCGTCCAACATCAGACTTGGTGGCTCAGGTCATAAAGTGTTGGACTTTAATCAAGAAGACCCGGGTTCAATCCTCACTGTGACTAATGTCCACCTTCAACTCATTATACAGAACACAAGTTCTCTGAGGAAGAGACTCATAAAGACAAGGGTTCAGATCTGACTTGTATCTTGTTTTATTGAATCAGCTCACACACAGGTCAGCAGCCAAACATCAGTTCCAGCAGGTGTTCAGACAGGAGATCTGTGGCTCTGTGGTAAGAGCGCTGCCCCACGGCTTCAGGGGTTGCTGGTATCGGTCCCAGCCAGAACTCTGCGATATGTGTGAATGGTGAGTGAGTGTGAGGCGCGCCTGAAGAAGGGGGGATACCAGTTCGGTCTCCCCCTGGAGCTTCCGGAGCCGTGTCCAGCAGGGGTTATACTTTACAGCCTGCCAAAAAATTTAAAATGAACTGTATAAAAATTCTGGACCTGCGTCCCTTCCCCACCCGTTTCGGTTACCATCATTTACTTTGTAGAGGAGTGACCCTCCACAAAGCAAATGATGGTAACCGACATGTGCAAGACAATCACACACATGATCTACATCACCTGTGCAGCAGCAGATGATCATCATCAGTACAGTCAGTGTCTGTCCACACGTCTCTGCTTCTGTTCAACAGGCTTACAGTCCACAACACGTCACTGATCCTGTAGAGTCGACACACAAATACACACATTATTACACACTGAATATCTGAGCTAATAATAGACAAATATGCAAATATTACATATGTATTGAATATTGCGCCCTCATGTGGAGATTATTCTGAATTACGCCTTTGCGAATTTTTTATATAATGTATTTAAAATATTCGCCCTCTTGTGGTGATGTTTGTGAACTGCACTGCTGCCGCTCTAAAATAGTGAAAGTTTCAGCCTCGTGTGGAGAATTTCTGAATTACACCTTTGTAAATCTTCAATATAATAATTTTAAAATATTCGCCCTCGTGTGGTGATTTTGGTGAATTACACAACTGCAAATCTAATTGAATGAATTTAAACATGTCGCCCTCCTGTGGAGATATTTCTGAATTACACCTTTGCAGATCTGTTGATTTGAATGATTGTGGTGATTTTTCTGAATTTCAGCAAAGCATTGAGATTTCAGCTTCCTGTGGTGCAGCTGTAGTTATCTGTATGTTCATCCACTGATGTTGACAACTATAAAGAAAAGCTTTTCTGCAGTGCAGCTCTACATGACAACAGATGGTAAAATGAATGATCAAAAAAGGCGAGTGAATAAAAATGTCTTCAGTCTTGCAATGCAGTGCAAAGTAACTCTGCCACCACTGCTTTACTTCTGTTATTAACCCTTTCACTGCTGAGTTTTAAAGGTTCTATCTGGAAACGGGAGTCTTGACAGATGTAGCACTTTTATTTATTATTATTTTTTATTCAACATATTCACACGCTTAATCATCGTGTCATCAACTACCTGATAGTCCAATTTACATAAATGTGTAAGTGATTGTGATTAAGTGAACTTAGAGAAGAATAGAATTAACTTTATAGTTACTTTCACATCTGGTATGAATAAAACACATCGGCAACAGATGGTACTAGTACTTGTTTTACTAGTACTTGTGCATTCACATGTCTAAAATATAAAATAAGCATTAGGCGGTTAAAAAGCTGCATAATTGTGATAATATGATAAGTCTTTCTCTGGCTCAGCGCTAGCCAACGTGCCAAAGCTCAGTTTGATTTTTTTAGTTGCCGCTCTAAGGGTTAAGGCTAACTTGTCAAGCTGGATAAAGAGTAAAATATCAGCAGCAGGGACTTTACAGTTCTCACTTGAAAACAAAACAATAGTAGGATTCTTTTATGATTTACCCTGCTGTTAATCTCCCTTCCTCCTCATCCCTGTCTATGGGGAGCCGAACTCTGTTTCCGTGCGTGAGAGAGACTGTATTCACACCGCTCCGTGCTGAACTAAAGTGTTTTTAAATAATCAAACGTCCCCGTATGACGAATCTATTGTGAAATTCGTTGCCAACGTTTTTAGTAATCAATTTTATCAATTTAAATGATTCATTGTTGCAGCCCTAATGGAAATATCAAACAAATATTAATGTAACATAAAGCTATTCGTCACCTTGGAATTATAAGGTTTTATCTGCGTTCTGAATGATTTTGAGATATTGAGCCTCAAAGTTTTTGCATTCCATAGCAAACAGTATGTGTGCAACATTTGCTTTTTAAATAAAAAAAGTCTTAAAATGTAAACAACTTTTAAAAATCATCCCATAATGTAAATAAGTTGTCAATTAATAAGAATATGTCAATAACTCAATATTGACAAAAACGTCAGATAGAACCTTGTAATTCTAAGGTGACGTATTGTCAAAAGCTGATGATTACTGACTTGACATCAAATATTGCAGAATTAAATGTCAAAAAATGTTCTTTAAAGCTTGTGACTTTCTCATTATGCTGTTATTCACTCTAGATCGTCATTTAGTCAGTATGTAATTAATGCACCACAGATCAATAAACACATTTAATTTATCTGACGAGCTCTTATATCGGGGATGCAGAATGTTTTCATTGCTTACAGATTTCACTGACGCAGACACAAGTAATATTTTACCAACAAAAACACGACCACAATTTCTTTCATGAATGCCTAATAAAGATGACTGGTTATTAAAAACATATATATTGTATTAAGCCATTCATAAAGTGTTGAATTGTAAGTATTTCTGTTGCTATATTAAGATGCAACAAGTGGATGTAAAAAAAATCTTGTGAACTCTGTAAAAGGCAGATTTGATCAGTCTTTCTCCGATAGTATCTGGATGCAGATTTGGATTTGCAAACTGAGACTGCATAAATCAGACCTACAATATCAGACTTCTTTTTTTTTTATTGTATTGTAGTATTTACAAACATAGTACAATAGAGTACATCTCACAACAGTTATAAACATAATAAAAATAAATAAAATAAAATGAAATAAATTATTTTAGTTATACGATGTATAAACATGCCAGGGGTAGAAAAAAGAATAGGTAAGATAATGATAATTATATAAAAAAAAACTTATTCAATCAAATGAAATTTACATAATGCCTCATATGTTTTTTTAGCTTTTCTGTTTTTTATGTTACATAATGTAGTACCATATTGTTTAATCTCCTTTATAAAATGAACACAATTTGGCTTAGCTTTGGCCCATTTCTTGACATGGATATGGTATTTTCCAAGTAATATTATTAGTTGTATAAGAAAACATGTTTTGGAGTCAATTCCATCTTGTACAAAAGCAAGTATGACATCATATAACCCAATTTGTATTAGTGTACCGAATGTCCTTGAAATAAAGTTAGAAACATCAATCCAAAATAATCTTGAGTATACACATTGAAAAAAAAGATGAGTAACAGATTCTTTAATAATTCCAAAAAATCGCAAAAGTTTTTTCTATCAACTCCAAATCGTTCAAATAATTCTTTTACAGGATAAATTCAGTGTAAAATTTTAAATGATACCTGTCTTACTTTATTCCTTACAAAGAACTTATTTGTTAGTAACCATAATTTTTTCCACTCAATGCTTCCAAAGTTTGATGACCAGAAGACTGTTGAAGATGGTATTTTATTCTTTTTTAATACATTTCTAATATATCTATTACTACATTTATCTTTAAGAATGTTAATATCATCAATATATAATACATCATCACTTGTCTTTGGCTGTTGGTCCACATTGTATATTGAATTACGCAACAGTGATACAACTTTACTTGGTATTGCATCAAAAATAACAGCATATTCTTTTGGTTTTACAGGAACTTTAAATTTTTTAAGGAATTCCGAGTATGAATAAAGCAATCCATGTTCGTCAAGTAATTGACTGACTGTACATATTCCATTGTCATACCATGATTGAATAAATATAGATTTCCTTTTGTACAAGATATCTTTATTATTCCACAGAAAATACCGATGAGGTGTAAAATTATGTTTATAGACCAACTGCCAAGCCAACAATGCCTGCTTATGAAAACTTGCCAATTTAATAGGGATTTTATCAATAGAGAAATTACATTTTAAAAGAAAATTTATGCAACCCAAAGAGTTAAATATAAAATTTAGAAAGATATGCCACAAAGTTTCTTTATTTTTAATGTATTCAATTATCCATTTTATCTTAAATACCTCATTGAGATCTGTAAAATTTAACACTTCAAGGCCTCCAAAGTCTTTGCTGTTATTTAAAATATCTTTTTTTAAATAGTGAGCCTTTTTTACGCCAAATAAAATCATAAAGAATTTTATCCAATTCCTTAACAACATTTTTCGAAGTTTCCATTGACAATAATATATATACAGACCTTGAAATTCCTTCTGCTTTAGACAGCAACACACGACCCATATAAGGACAGATCTCTCATTAACCACATATTATATCTGTTTTTGATCTTTTCAATGGTGGGACCTACAATGTCAGACACGATGCACTTAGTGGAGCTAGTGACGTCATTGTAAAGGGTGGGGTTAGGGGTGCGCATTAAAGCGCAGCTCCCATCTGCTCCACTAGGCGGCATCAGCGAGCTGCTCTTAGCCTGAACACCTTTGACAACAGCGCCACAGATCATCACAGGTACACCGTTTTACTGGCGTCAAGTTGAGCTCCAGCAGATGACAGCTCAGTGACAGACTCATAATGTCAGTCAACAGCACATATTACAGCCCGACAGTGAAGAAAAGCGACCCAGAGAGCAGAAATGGAGAGTAACGCGACTCACCTGTAAGTGACTTTGTTTCGGTGGGTTTGTTTGTAGTGATGTTGCTGTAGTGTTTGTGTTCAGGCATTGCTCTCTCTCCTCCTCTGCAGCAGTGAAGATACACACGTGTGTCTGTTGTGTTTCTGCTGCACATCTTTCCTCTTTCTGACGCTCCTCCACACACTCCTCCACATCCAGGCGGATTCACAGCTCCAGTAAAGGTATTTATGAGCTCATATTTCCAGTAGAGAGTCCAGAAAGTGTGTTTGTTGTGCTGCTGCTCTGTCGCGTGTATGTTGGGGGAGGGACTTTCTGTAGAAAGCATGTGATTGGCCAGATTTGGTGTAGAGTCCTCAATACAGTATGAGGAGACTTTAGAGGTAAATGATGATATTTACAGTGTTTAATTGTGTTTAGTGACATTTAAAGCCCCACAAGCAGCTGTAAGATCATTTAAAATATGGTTGATGTGTTTGACTGAAGCAGGTTTTTCACATTTTGAACAATGAAATATAATAATATATTAGCATATGATGTAGTTTGAATGTATTTTGTATAATTTACATTTGATATTAATTATTTGTGTTTATTTAGTTTTTTTTTTGAAAATGTGTAAATGTGGTCATCGTTACAGTGGAGAAAGAAGTGTGTGTTTGTGTGTGTGCTGATGGTGTAGTGGTCAGAGCACACAGCCTGAGATGTGAAGTTCTCACAGTATACCTGGGTTCTAATCTGAGTCCTGTTACTGCTCTTTACTGCTGATCTAAATACAAAAAACAAAAGTGTTTTCCTCAATCCTGCACTGATTACTTTCCTTTCAGCAGTTCATTTCGTGTGATCCGCACAGCGAATTGAGTTTCGTACCCAAGCCTCTACCGTAGTCTCATTTACATTGACTGTGTGTTCAGCCACTAGCCCATCATGGCTTTCATGCTGCTTGGGCCACTTTGTCTGACTGAATTCCAGCAAATGACAGTAAAGTAAGCAATAGAGAGATTTGAACCCAGGTCTCCTGCATGAAAGCACAAGTGAGAGATTCGATCTTTCAGTCTGTTGAACAGTAGTCAAAGACTCACCCACTGAGCCACAGGACTTGACTTATGGCAATAGACTTTTTGTGAGCCAAATTACAAAGAAATTTATCTCAAATCACAGGTAAAATTAGGAAATAGATAAAGCTCCATTTAAACATTTGTTTCACCATCCAGACTCTGTGGCTCAGGTCATAAAGTGTTGAACTTTGATCAAAGAGACCCGGGTTCAAATCTCACTATGGCTAATGTCCAGCTTGAGTTTATTATATTCACCATCAGTGACCTGCCCTGATGATGGAAGCATGATGGTGAATCTAATGAGCTCAAGCTGGATGATGATGTGAACCCCATGATGATTGAGTGAATAAACACAAGTTCTCTGAGGAAGAGACTCATAAAGACAAGAGTTCACATCTGACTTGTTCTAGCAAGAGTGGGATTTGATCCTTCGCACTTCTGTACAATAGTTAAACGCTCATCCACTGAACCACAGAGCTTGATTTTTGGATATGGTTGTTTTGTGGACCAAATTACAAAGAAATATGTGTCAAACCTTGGTCATGATGGAGTTTGTGATAAAGCCCCATTCAGATATCTCCTCCAACATCAGACTTGGTGGCTCAGGTCATAAAGTGTTGGGCTTTAATCAAGAAGACCCGGGTTCAATCCTCACTATGGGTAATGTTCAACTCATTATACAGAACACAAGTTCTCTGAGGAAGAGACTCATAAAGACAAGAGTTCAGATCTGACTTGTATCTTGTTTTATTGAATCAGCTCACACACAGGTCAGCAGTCAAACATCAGTTCCAGCAGGTGTTCAGACAGGAGATCTGTGGCTCTGTGGTAAGAGCGCTGCCCCACGGCTTCAGGGGTTGCTGGTATCGGTCCCAGCCAGAACTCTGCGATATGTGTGAATGGTGAGTGAGTGTGAGGCGCGCCTGAAGAAGGGGGGATACCAGTTCGGTCTCCCCCTGGAGCTTCCGGAGCCGTGTCCAGCAGGGGTTATACTTTACAGCCTGCCAAAAAAATTAAAATTAACTGTATAAAAATTCTGGACCTTCGTCCCTTCCCCACCCGTTTCGGTTACCATCATTTACTTTCTAGAGGAGTGACCCTCCACAAAGCAAATGATGGTAACCGACATGTGCAAGACAAACACACACACAATCATACATGATCTACATCACCTGTGCAGCAGCAGATGATCATCGTCAGTACAGTCAGTGTCTGTCCACACGTCTCTGCTTCTGTTCAACAGGCTTACAGTCCACAACACGTCACTGATCCTGTAGAGCAGACACACAAATACACACATTATTACACACTGAATATCTGAGCTAATAATAGACAAATATGCAAATATTTTATTGTATTGAATATTGCGCCCTCATGTGGAGATTATTCTGAATTACGCCTTTGCGAATTTTTTATATAATGTATTTAAAATATTCGCCCTCTTGTGGTGATGTTTGTGAACTGCACTGCTGCCGCTCTAAAATAGTGAAAGTTTCAGCCTCGTGTGGAGAATTTCTGAATTACACCTTTGTTAATCTTCAATATAATAATTTTTAAAATATTGCCCTCGTGTGGTGATTTTGGTGAATTACACAACTTTAAATCTAATTGAATGAATTTAAACATGTCGCCCTCCTGTGGAGATATTTCTGAATTACACTATTGCAGATCTGTTGATTTGAATGATTGTGGGGATTTTTCTGAATTTCAGCAAAGTATTGAGATTTCAGCTTCCTGTGGTGCAGCTGTAGTTTTCTGTATGTTCATCCACTGATGTTGACAACTATAAAGAAAAGCTTTTCTGCAGTGCAGCTCTACATGACAACAGATGGTAAAATGAATGATCAAAAAAGGCGAGTGAATAAAAATGTCTTCAGTCTTGCAATGCAGTGCAAAGTAACTCTGCCACCACTGCTTTACTTCTGTTATTAACCCTTTCACTGCTGAGTTTTAAAGGTTCTATCTGGAAACGGGAGTCCGGTTTTTTAGGCGACCATTATTTTAGAACGTTTACCGTTAATGTTTCCGTGGCGACGCGTCATGTTTGTCACGTGACACACCGCAGCCACAATAGCTCTGTATGACAGATGTAGCTCTTTTATTTATTATTACTTTTATTTCAACATATTCACACACTTGCTCATCGTGTCATTAACTACCTGATAATCCAATTTACATAAACGTGTAAGTGATTGTGATCTATAATGTCAGATGGGCGTTGCCATGTTTACTTGCGGCCGCGCGTTTGCCTCATTGCTAAAGCAGAATACGCAGGACTGAGCACGTAAATTCACCAGTTACTCCCCAAATACATGCAAGTAAGTGGCTGGTGAACTTAGAGAAGAGTAGATTCAACTCTATAGTTACTTTCACTATGTGTATCTGGTATGAATAAAACACATCAGCAAATTATATTTGAATGGATTTTTAGATTTCCTTGTGTGTTTTACAAACTCTAAATGTCTTGTCTTACTAGTACTTGTGTGTATTTACATGTCTAAAACATAAAATAAGCATTAGGCGGTTAAAAAGCTGCATAATTGTGATAATATGACACGTCTTTCTCCGCTCAGTTTGATTTTTTAGTTGCCGATCTAAGGGTTATAGATAATTTGTCATGCTTGTCAAGCTAGATAACGAGTAAAATATCAGCAGCAGGGACTTTACAGTTCTCACTTCAAAACAGAACAATAGTAGGATTCTTTAATGATTTACCCTGCTGTTAATCTCCCTTCCTCCTCATCCCTGTCTATGGGGCGCCAAACTCTGTTTCCGTGCGTGAGAGAGACTGTATTCACACCGCTCCATGCTGAACTAAAGTGTTTTTAAATAATCAAACGTCCCCGTATGACGAATCTATTATGAAATTCGTTGCCAACGCTTTTAGTAATCGATTTAAACGATTCATTGTTGCAGCCCTAATGGAAATATCACACAAATATTAATGTAACATAAAACTATTCGTCACCTTGGAATTATAAGGTTTTATCTGCGTTCTGAATGATTTTGAGATATTGAGCCTCAAAGTTTTTGCATTCCATAGCAAACAGTATGTGTGCAACATTTGTTTTTTAAATAAAAAAAGTCTTAAAATGTAAACAACTTTTAAAAATCATCACATACTGTAAATTAGTTGTCAATTAATAAGAATATGTCAATAACTCAATATTGACAAAAATGTCAGATAGAACTTTATAATTCTAAGGTGACGTATTGTCAAAAGCTGATGATTACTGACTTGACATCAAATATTGCAGAATTAAATGTCAAAAAATGTTCTTTAAAGCTTGTGACTTTCTCATTATGCTGTTATTCACTCTAGATCGTCATTTAGTCAGTATGTAATTAATGCACCACAGATCAATAAACACATTTAATTTATCTGACGAGCTCTTATATCGGGATGCAGAATGTTTTCATTGCTTACAGATTTCACTGACGCAGACACAAGTAATATTTTACCAACAAAAACACGACCACATTTCCTTTCATGAATGCCTAATAAAGATGACTGGTTATTAAAAACATATATATTGTATTAAGCCATTCATAAAGTGTTGAATTGTAAGTATTTCTGTTGCTATATTAAGATGCAACAAGTGGATGTAAAAAAATCTTGTGAACTTTGTAAAAGGCAGATTTGATCAGTCTTTCTCCAATATTATCTGGATGCAGATTTGGATTTGCAAACTGAGACTGCATAAATCAGACCTACAATATCAGACACGATGCACTCAATGGAGCTAGTGACGTCACTGTAAAGGGTGGGGTTAGGTGTGCGCATTAAAGCGCAGCTCCCATCTGCTCCACTAGGCGGCATCAGCGAGCTGCTCTTTTAGCCTGAACACCTTTGACAACAGCGCCACAGATCATCACAGGTACACCGTTTTACTGGCGTCAAGTTGAGCTCCAGCAGATGACAGCTCAGTGACAGACTCATAATGTCAGTCAACAGCACATATTACAGCCCGACAGTGAAGAAAAGCGACACAGAGAGCAGAAATGGAGAGTAACGCGACTCACCTGTAAGTGACTTTGTTTCGGTGGGTTTGTTTGTAGTGATGTTGCTGTAGTGTTTGTGTTCAGGCATTGCTCTCTCTCCTCCTCTGCAGCAGTGAAGATACACACGTGTGTCTGTTGTGTTTCTGCTGCACATCTTTCCTCTTTCTGACGCTCCTCCACATCCAGGCGGATTCACAGCTCCAGTAAAGGTATTTATGAGCTCATATTTCCAGTAGAGAGTCCAGAAAGTGTGTTTGTTGTGCTGCTGCTCTGTCGCGTGTATGTTGGGGGAGGGACTTTCTGTAGAAAGCATCTGATTGGCCAGATTTAGTGTAGAGTCTTCAATACAGTATGAGGAGACTTTAGAGGTAAATGATGATATTTACAGTGTTTAATTGTGTTTAGTGACATTTAAAGCCCCACAAGCAGCTGTAAGATCATTTAAAATATGGTTGATGTGTTTGACTGAAGAATAAGCAGGTTTTTCACATTTTGAACAATGAAATAAAATAATATATTAGCATATGATGTAGTTTGAATGTATTTTGTATAATTTACATTTGATATTAATTATTTGTGTTTATTTAGTTTTTTTTTTCAAAATGTGTAAATGTGGTCATCCTTACACTGGAGAAAGAAGTGTGTGTTTGTGTGTGTGCTGATGGTGTAGTGGTCAGAGCACACAGCCTGAGATGTGAAGTTCTCACAGCATACCTGGGTTCTAATCTGAGTCCTGTTACTGCTCTTTACTGCTGAGCCAAATACAAAAAACAAAAGTGTTTTTCCTCAATCCTGCACTGATTACTTTCCTTTCAGCAGTTCCTTTCGTGTGATCCGCACAGCGAATGGAGTTTCGTACCCAAGCCTCTACCGTAGTCTCGTTCACATTGACTGTGTGTTCAGCCACTAGCCCATCATGGCTTTCATGCTGCTTGGGCCACTTTGTCTGACTGAATTCCAGCAAATGACAGTAAAGTAAGCAATAGAGAGATTTGAACCCAGGTCTCCTGCATGAAAGCACAAGTGAGAGATTCGATCCTTCAGTCTGTTGAACGGTAGTCAAAGACTCACCCACTGAGCCACAGGACTTGACTGATGTCAAAAGCCTTATTGTGAGCCAAATTACAAAGAAATTTATTTCAAATCACAGTTAAAATTAGGAAATAGATAAAGCTCCATTTAAACATTTGCTTCACCATCCAGACTCTGTGGCTCAGGTCATAAAGTGTTGAACTTTAATCAAAGAGACCCGGGTTCAAATCTCACTATAGCTAATGTCCAGCTTGAGTTTATTATATTCACCATCAGTGTCCTGCCCTGATGATGGAAGCTGATGGTGAATCTAATGAGCTTAAGCTGGACGCTGATGTGAAACCCATGATGATTGAGTGAATAAACACAAGTTCTCTGAGGAAGAGACTCATAAAGACAAGAGTTCACATCTGACTTGAATCTAGCAAGAGTGGGATTTGATCCTTCGCACTTCTGTACAATAGTTGAACGCTCATCCTTTGAACCACAGAGCTTGATTTTTGGATATGGTTGTTTTGTAGACCAAATTACAAAGAAATATGTGTCAAACCTTGGTCATGATGGAGTTAGTGATAAAGCCCCATTCAGATATCTCCTCCAACATCAGACTTGGTGGCTCAGGTCATAAAGTGTTGGACTTTAATCAAGAAGACCCGGGTTCAATCCTCACTGTGACTAATGTCTACCTTCAACTCATTATACAGAACACAAGTTCTCTGAGGAAGAGACTCATAAAGACAAGAGTTCAGATCTGACTTGTATCTTGTTTTATTGAATAAGCTCACACACAGGTCAGCAGTCAAACATCAGTTCCAGCAGGTGTTCAGACAGGAGATCTGTGGCTCTGTGGTAAGAGCGCTGCCCCACGGCTTCAGGGGTTGCTGGTATCGGTCCCAGCCAGAACTCTGCGATATGTGTGAATGGTGAGTGAGTGTGAGGCGCGCCTGAAGAAGGGGGGATACCAGTTCGGTCTCCCCCTGGAGCTTCCGGAGCCGTGTCCAGCAGGGGTTATACTTTACAGCCTGCCAAAAATTTTAAAATGAACTGTATAAAAATTCTGGACATTCGTCCCTTCCCCACCCGTTTCGGTTACCATCATTTACTTTGTAGAGGAGTGACCCTCCACAAAGCAAATGATGGTAACCGACATGTGCAAGACAATCACACACATGATCTACATCACCTGTGCAGCAGCAGATGATCATCATCAGTACAGTCAGTGTCTGTCCACACGTCTCTGCTTCTGTTCAACAGGCTTACAGTCCACAACACGTCACTGATCCTGTAGAGTCGACACACAAATACACACATTATTACACACTGAATATCTGAGCTAATAATAGACAAATATGCAAATATTACATATGTATTGAATATTGCGCCCTCATGTGGAGATTATTCTGAATTACGCCTTTGCGAATTTTTTATATAATGTATTTAAAATATTCGCCCTCTTGTGGTGATGTTTGTGAACTGCACTGCTGCCGCTCTAAAATAGTGAAAGTTTCAGCCTCGTGTGGAGAATTTCTGAATTACACCTTTGTAAATCTTCAATATAATAATTTTAAAATATTCGCCCTCGTGTGGTGATTTTGGTGAATTACACAACTGCAAATCTAATTGAATGAATTTAAACATGTCGCCCTCCTGTGGAGATATTTCTGAATTAAACTATTGCAGATCTGTTGATTTGAATGATTGTGGTGATTTTTCTGAATTTCAGCAAAGCATTGAGATTTCAGCTTCCTGTGGTGCAGCTGTAGTTATCTGTATGTTCATCCACTGATGTTGACAACTATAAAGAAAAGCTTTTCTGCAGTGCAGCTCTACATGACAACAGATGGTAAAATGAATGATCAAAAAAGGCGAGTGAATAAAAATGTCTTCAGTCTTGCAATGCAGTGCAAAGTAACTCTGCCACCACTGCTTTACTTCTGTTATTAACCCTTTCACTGCTGAGTTTTAAAGGTTCTATCTGGAAACGGGAGTCTTGACAGATGTAGCACTTTTATTTATTATTATTTTTTATTCAACATATTCACACGCTTAATCATCGTGTCATCAACTACCTGATAGTCCAATTTACATAAACGTGTAAGTGATTGTGATTAAGTGAACTTAGAGAAGAATAGAATTAACTTTATAGTTACTTTCACATCTGGTATGAATAAAACACATCGGCAACAGATGGTACTAGTACTTGTTTTACTAGTACTTGTGCATTCACATGTCTAAAATATAAAATAAGCATTAGGCGGTTAAAAAGCTGCATAATTGTGATAATATGATAAGTCTTTCTCTGGCTCAGCGCTAGCCAACGTGCCAAAGCTCAGTTTGATTTTTTTAGTTGCCGCTCTAAGGGTTAAGGCTAACTTGTCAAGCTGGATAAAGAGTAAAATATCAGCAGCAGGGACTTTACAGTTCTCACTTGAAAACAAAACAATAGTAGGATTCTTTTATGATTTACCCTGCTGTTAATCTCCCTTCCTCCTCATCCCTGTCTATGGGGAGCCGAACTCTGTTTCCGTGCGTGAGAGAGACTGTATTCACACCGCTCCGTGCTGAACTAAAGTGTTTTTAAATAATCAAACGTCCCCGTATGACGAATCTATTGTGAAATTCGTTGCCAACGTTTTTAGTAATCAATTTTATCAATTTAAATGATTCATTGTTGCAGCCCTAATGGAAATATCAAACAAATATTAATGTAACATAAAGCTATTCGTCACCTTGGAATTATAAGGTTTTATCTGCGTTCTGAATGATTTTGAGATATTGAGCCTCAAAGTTTTTGCATTCCATAGCAAACAGTATGTGTGCAACATTTGCTTTTTAAATAAAAAGTCTTAAAATGTAAACACCTTTTAAAAATCATCCCATAATGTAAATAAGTTGTCAATTAATAAGAATATGTCAATAACTCAATATTGACAAAAACGTCAGATAGAACCTTGTAATTCTAAGGTGACGTATTGTCAAAAGCTGATGATTACTGACTTGACATCAAATATTGCAGAATTAAATGTCAAAAAATGTTCTTTAAAGCTTGTGACTTTCTCATTATGCTGTTATTCACTCTGGATCGTCATTTAGTCAGTATGTAATTAATGCACCACAGATCAATAAACACATTTAATTTATCTGACGAGCTCTTATATCGGGGATGCAGAATGTTTTCATTGCTTACAGATTTCACTGACGCAGACACAAGTAATATTTTACCAACAAAAACACGACCACAATTTCTTTCATGAATGCCTAATAAAGATGACTGGTTATTAAAAACATATATATTGTATTAAGCCGTTCATAAAGTGTTGAATTGTAAGTATTTCTGTTGCTATATTAAGATGCAACAAGTGGATGTAAAAAAAATCTTGTGAACTTTGTAAAAGGCAGATTTGATCAGTCTTTCTCCGATAGTATCTGGATGCAGATTTGGATTTGCAAACTGAGACTGCATAAATCAGACCTACAATATCAGACTTCTTTTTTTTTTATTGTATTGTAGTATTTACAAACATAGTACAATAGAGTACATCTCACAACAGTTATAAACATAATAAAAATAAATAAAATAAAATGAAATAAATTATTTTAGTTATACGATGTATAAACATGCCAGGGGTAGAAAAAAGAATAGGTAAGATAATGATAATTATATAAAAAAAAACTTATTCAATCAAATGAAATTTACATAATGCCTCATATGTTTTTTTAGCTTTTCTGTTTTTTATGTTACATAATGTAGTACCATATTGTTTAATCTCCTTTATAAAATGAACACAATTTGGCTTAGCTTTGGCCCATTTCTTGACATGGATATGGTATTTTCCAAGTAATATTATTAGTTGTATAAGAAAACATGTTTTGGAGTCAATTCCATCTTGTACAAAAGCAAGTATGACATCATATAACCCAATTTGTATTAGTGTACCGAATGTCCTTGAAATAAAGTTAGAAACATCAATCCAAAATAATCTTGAGTATACACATTGAAAAAAAAGATGAGTAACAGATTCTTTAATAATTCCAAAAAATCGCAAAAGTTTTTTCTATCAACTCCAAATCGTTCAAATAATTCTTTTACAGGATAAATTCGGTGTAAAATTTTAAATGATACCTGTCTTACTTTATTCCTTACAAAGAACTTATTTGTTAGTAACCATAATTTTTTCCACTCAATGCTTCCAAAGTTTGATGACCAGAAGACTGTTGAAGATGGTATTTTATTCTTTTTTAATACATTTCTAATATATCTATTACTACATTTATCTTTAAGAATGTTAATATCATCAATATATAATACATCATCACTTGTCTTTGGCTGTTGGTCCACATTGTATATTGAATTACGCAACAGTGATACAACTTTACTTGGTATTGCATCAAAAATAACAGCATATTCTTTTGGTTTTACAGGAACTTTAAATTTTTTAAGGAATTCCGAGTATGAATAAAGCAATCCATGTTCGTCAAGTAATTGACTGACTGTACATATTCCATTGTCATACCATGATTGAATAAATATAGATTTCCTTTTGTACAAGATATCTTTATTATTCCACAGAAAATACCGATGAGGTGTAAAATTATGTTTATAGACCAACTGCCAAGCCAACAATGCCTGCTTATGAAAACTTGCCAATTTAATAGGGATTTTATCAATAGAGAAATTACATTTTAAAAGAAAATTTATGCAACCCAAAGAGTTAAATATAAAATTTGGAAAGATATGCCACAAAGTTTCTTTATTTTTAATGTATTCAATTATCCATTTTATCTTAAATACCTCATTGAGATCTGTAAAATTTAACACTTCAAGGCCTCCAAAGTCTTTGCTGTTATTTAAAATATCTTTTTTTAAATAGTGAGCCTTTTTACGCCAAATAAAATCATAAAGAATTTTATCCAATTCCTTAACAACATTTTTCGAAGTTTCCATTGACAATAATATATATACAGACCTTGAAATTCCTTCTGCTTTAGACAGCAACACACGACCCATATAAGGACAGATCTCTCATTAACCACATATTATATCTGTTTTTGATCTTTTCAATGGTGGGACCTACAATGTCAGACACGATGCACTTAGTGGAGCTAGTGACGTCATTGTAAAGGGTGGGGTTAGGTGTGCGCATTAAAGCGCAGCTCCCATCTGCTCCACTAGGCAGCATCAGCGAGCTGCTCTTAGCCTGAACACCTTTGACAACAGCGCCACAGATCATCACAGGTACACCGTTTTACTGGCGTCAAGTGGAGCTCCAGCAGATGACAGCTCAGTACCAGACTCATAATGTCAGTCAACAGCACATATTACAGCCCGACAGTGAAGAAAAGCGACACAAAGTGCAGAAATGGAGAGTAACGCGACTCACCTGTAAGTGACTTTGTTTTTCTGTGGGTTTGTTTGTAGTGATGTTGCTGTAGTGTTTGTGTTCAGGCATTGCTCTCTCTCCTCCTCTGCAGCAGTGAAGATACACACGTGTGTCTGTTGTGTTTCTGCTGCACATCTTTCCTCTTTCTGACGCTCCTCCACATCCAGGCGGATTCACAGCTCCAGTAAAGGTATTTATGAGCTCATATTTCCAGTAGAGAGTCCAGAAAGTGTGTTTGTTGTGCTGCTGCTCTGTCGCGTGTATGTTGGGGGAGGGACTTTCTGTAGGAAGCATCTGATTGGCCAGATTTGGTGTAGAGTCCTCAATACAGTATGAGGAGACTTTAGAGGTAAATGATGATATTTACAGTGTTTAATTGTGTTTAGTGACATTTAAAGCCCCACAAGCAGCTGTAAGATCATTTAATATATGGTTGATGTGTTTGACTGAAGAATAAGCAGGTTTTTCACATTTTGAACAATGAAATATAATAATATATTAGCATATGATGTAGTTTGAATGTATTTTGAATAATTTACATTTGATATTAATTATTTGTGTTTATTTAGTTTTTTTTTTCAAAATGTGTAAATGTGGTCATCCTTACAGTGGAGAAAGAAGTGTGTGTCTGTGTGTGTGCTGATGGTGTAGTGGTCAGAGCACACAGCCTGAGATGTGAAGTTCTCACAGCATACCTGGGTTCAAATCTGAGTCCTGTTACTGCTCTTTACTGCTGATCTAAATACAAAAAACAAAAGTGTTTTTCCTCAATCCTGCACTGATTACTTTCCTTTCAGCAGTTCCTTTAGTGTGATCCACACAGTGAAGTGAGTTTCATACCCAAGCCTCTACCGTAGTCTCGTTCACATTGACTGTGTGTTCAGCCACTAGCCCATCATGGCTTTCATGCTGCTTGGGCCACTTTGTCTGACTGAATTCCAGCAAATGACAGTAAAGTAAGCAATAGAGGGATTTGAACCCAGGTCTCCTGCATGAAAGCACAAGTGAGAGATTCGATCCTTCAGTCTGTTGAATGGTAGTCAAAGACTCACCCACTGAGCCACAGGACTTGACTGATGGCAAAAGCCTTATTGTGAGCCAAATTACAAAGAAATTTATTTCAAATCACAGTTAAAATTAGGAAATAGATAAAGCTCCATTTAAACATTTGCTTCACCATCCAGACTCTGTGGCTCAGGTCATAAAGTGTTGAACTTTAATCAAAGAGACCCGGGTTCAAATCTCACTATGGCTAATGTCCAGCTTGAGCTTATTATATTCACCATCAGTGTCCTGCCCTGATGATGGAAGCTGATGGTGAATATAATGAGCTCAAGCAGGATGATGATGTGTAACCCATGATGATTGAGTGAATAAACACAAGTTCTCTGAGGAAGAGACTCATAAAGACAAGAGTTCACATCTGACTTGAATCTAGCAAGAGTGGGATTTGATCCTTCGCACTTCTGTATGATAGTTGAACGCTCATCCTTTGAACCACAGAGCTTGATTTTTGGATATGGTTGTTTTGTGGACCAAATTACAAAAAAAATATGTGTCAAACCTTGGTCATGATGGAGTTAGTGATAAAGCCCCATTCAGATATCTACTCCAACATCAGACTTGGTGGCTCAAGTCATAAAGTGTTGGACTTTAATCAAGAAGACCCGGGTTCAATCCTCACTGTGGCTAATGTCCACCTTCAGTTCATTATATTCACCATCCTGATGATGGACGCTGGTGTGAAACTCATGATGGGCGAGTCAATAAACACAAGTTCTCTGAGGAAGAGACTCATAAAGACAAGAGTTCAGATCTGACTTGTATCTTGTTTTATTGAATAAGCTCACACACAGGTCAGCAGTCAAACATCAGTTCCAGCAGGTGTTCAGACAGGAGATCTGTGGCTCTGTGGTAAGAGCGCTGCCCCACGGCTTCAGGGGTTGCTGGTATCGGTCCCAGCCAGAACTCTGCGATATGTGTGAATGGTGAGTGAGTGTGAGGCGCGCCTGAAGAAGGGGGGATACCAGTTCGGTCTCCCCCTGGAGCTTCCGGAGCCGTGTCCAGCAGGGGTTATACTTTACAGCCTGCCAAAAAATTTAAAATGAACTGTATAAAAATTCTGGACCTTCGTCCCTTCCCCACCCGTTTCGGTTACCATCATTTACTTTCTAGAGGAGTGACCCTCCACAAAGCAAATGATGGTAACCGACATGTGCAAGACAAACACACACACAATCATACATGATCTACATCACCTGTGCAGCAGCAGATGATCATCGTCAGTACAGTCAGTGTCTGTCCACACGTCTCTGCTTCTGTTCAACAGGCTTACAGTCCACAACACATCACTGATCCTGTAGAGCAGACAAACAAATACACACATTATTACACACTGAATATCTGAGCTAATAATAGACAAATATGCAAATATTTTATTGTATTGAACATTGCGCCCTCATGTGGACATTATTCGGAATTACACCTTTGCGAATTTTTAATATAATAATTTTAAAATATTCGCCCTCGTGTGGTGATTTTGGTGAATTACACAACTGCAAATCTAATTGAATGAATTTAAACATGTCGCCCTCCTGTGAAGATATTTCTGAATTACACTATTGCAGATCTGTTGATTTGAATGATTGTGGGGATTTTTCTGAATTTCAGCAAAGCATTGAGATTTCAGCTTCCTGTGGTGCAGCTGTAGTTTTCTGTATGTTCAACCACTGATGTTGACAACTATAAAGAAAAGCTTTTCTGCAGTGCAGCTCTACATGACAACAGATGGTAAAATGAATGATCAAAAAAGGCGAGTGAATAAAAATGTCTTCAGTCTTGCAATGCAGTGCAAAGTAACTCTGCCACCACTGCTTTACTTCTGATATTAACCCTTTCACTGCTGAGTTTTAAAGGTTCTATCTGGAAACGGAAGTCTTGACAGATGTAGCACTTTTATTTATTATTATTTTTTATTCAACATATTCACACGCTTGCTCATCGTGTCATCAACTACCTGATAGTCCAATTTACATAAATGTGTAAGTGATTGTGATTAAGTGAACTTAGAGAAGAATAGAATTAACTTTATAGTTACTTTCACATCTGGTATGAATAAAACACATCGGCAACAGATGGTACTAGTACTTGTTTTACTAGTACTTGTGTGTATTTACATGTCTAAAATATTAAATAAGCATTAGGCGGTTAAAAAGCTGCATAATTGTGATAATATGATAAGTCTTTCTCTGGCTCAGCGCTAGCCAACGTGCCAAAGCTCAGTTTGATTTTTTAGTTGCCGCTCTAAGGGTTATCGCTAACTTGTCATGCTTGTCAAGCTGGATAACGAGTAAAATATCAGCAGCAGGGACTTTACAGTTCTCACTTCAAAACAAAACAATAGTAGGATTCTTTAATGATTTACCCTGCTGTTAATCTCCCTTCCTCCTCATCCCTGTCTATGGGGAGCCACACTTTGTTTCCGTGCGTGAGAGAGACTGTATTCACACCGCTCCATGCTGAACTAAAGTGTTTTTAAATAATCAAACGTCCCCATATGACGAATATATTATGAAATTCATTGCCAACGCTTTTAGTAATCGATTTAAACGATTCATTGTTGCAGCCCTAATGGAAATATCAAACAAATATTAATGTAACATAAAACTATTCGTCACCTTGGAATTATAAGGTTTTATCTGCGTTCTGAATGATTTTGAGATATTGAGCCTCAAAGTTTTTGCATTCCATAGCAAACAGTATGTGTGCAACATTTGTTTTTTAAATAAAAAAAGTCTTAAAATGTAAACAACTTTTAAAAATCATCACATACTGTAAATTAGTTGTCAATTAATAAGAATATGTCAATAACTCAATATTGACAAAAACGTCAGATAGAACTTTATAATTCTAAGGTGACGTATTGTCAAAAGCTGATGATTACTGACTTGACATCAAATATTGCAGAATTAAATGTCAAAAAATGTTCTTTAAAGCTTGTGACTTTCTCATTATGCTGTTATTCACTCTAGATCGTCATTTAGTCAGTATGTAATTAATGCACCACAGATCAATAAACACATTTAATTTATCTGACGAGCTCTTATATCGGGATGCAGAATGTTTTCATTGCTTACAGATTTCACTGACGCAGACACAAGTAATATTTTACCAACAAAAACACGACCACATTTCCTTTCATGAATGCCTAATAAAGATGACTGGTTATTAAAAACATATATATTGTATTAAGCCATTCATAAAGTGTTGAATTGTAAGTATTTCTGTTGCTATATTAAGATGCAACAAGTGGATGTAAAAAAATCTTGTGAACTTTGTAAAAGGCAGATTTGATCAGTCTTTCTCCAATATTATCTGGATGCAGATTTGGATTTGCAAACTGAGACTGCATAAATCAGACCTACAATGTCAGACACGATGCACTCAATGGAGCTAGTGACGTCACTGTAAAGGGTGGGGTTAGGTGTGCGCATTAAAGCGCAGCTCCCATCTGCTCCACTAGGCGGCATCAGCGAGCTGCTCTTAGCCTGAACACCTTTGACAACAGCGCCACAGATCATCACAGGTACACCGTTTTACTGGCGTCAAGTTGAGCTCCAGCAGATGACAGCTCAGTGACAGACTCATAATGTCAGTCAACAGCACATATTACAGCCCGACAGCGAAGAAAAGCGACACAAAGAGCAGAAATGGAGAGTAACGCGACTCACCTGTAAGTGACTTTGTTTCGGTGGGTTTGTTTGTAGTGATGTTGCTGTAGTGTTTGTGTTCAGGCATTGCTCTCTCTCCTCCTCTGCAGCAGTGAAGATACACACGTGTGTCTGTTGTGTTTCTGCTGCACATCTTTCCTCTTTCTGACGCTCCTCCACACACTCCTCCACATCCAGGCGGATTCACAGCTCCAGTAAAGGTATTTATGAGCTCATATTTCCAGTAGAGAGTCCAGAAAGTGTGTTTGTTGTGCTGCTGCTCTGTCGCGTGTATGTTGGGGGAGGGACTTTCTGTAGAAAGCATCTGATTGGCCAGATTTGGTGTAGAGTCCTCAATACAGTATGAGGAGACTTTACAGGTAAATGATGATATTTACAGTGTTTAATTGTGTTTAGTGACATTTAAAGCCCCACAAGCAGCTGTAAGATCATTTAAAATATGGTTGATGTGTTTGACTGAAGAATAAGCAGGTTTTTCACATTTTGAACAATGAAATAAAATAATATATTAGCATATGATGTAGTTTGAATGTATTTTGTATAATTTACATTTGATATTAATTATTTGTGTTTATTTAGTTTTTTTTTCAAAATGTGTAAATGTGGTCATCCTTACACTGGAGAAAGAAGTGTGTGTTTGTGTGTGTGCTGATGGTGTAGTGGTCAGAGCACACAGCCTGAGATGTGAAGTTCTCACAGCATACCTGGGTTCAAATCTGAGTCCTGTTACTGCTCTTTACTGCTGATCTAAATACAAAAAACAAAAGTGTTTTTCCTCAATCCTGCACTGATTACTTTCCTTTCAGCAGTTGCTTTAGTGTGATCCACACAGCGAAGTGAGTTTCGTACCCAAGCCTCTACCGTAGTCTCGTTCACATTGACTGTGTGTTCAGCCACTAGCCCATCATGGCTTTCATGCTGCTTAGGCCACTTTGTCTGACTGAATTCCAGCAAATGACAGTAAAGTAAGCAATAGAGAGATTTGAACCCAGGTCTCCTGCATGAAAGCACAAGTGAGAGATTCGATCCTTCAGTCTGTTGAATGGTAGTCAAAGACTCACCCACTGAGCCACAGGACTTGACTAATGGCATAAGACTTTTTGTGAGCCAAATTGCAAAGAAATTTATCTCAAATCACAGGTAAAATTACGAAATAAATAAAGCTCCATTTAAACATTTGCTTCACCATCCAGACTCTGTGGCTCAGGTCATAAAGTGTTGAACTTTAATCAAAGAGACCCGGGTTCAAATCTCACTATGGCTAATGTCCAGCTTGAGCTTATTATATTCACCATCAGTGTCCTGCCCTGATGATGGAAGCATGATGGTGAATCTAATGAGCTCAAGCTGGATGATGATGTGAACCCCATGATGATTGAGTGAATAAACACAAGTTCTCTGAGGAAGAGACTCATAAAGACAAGAGTTCACATCTGACTTGAATCTAGCAAGAGTGGGATTTGATCCTTCGCACTTCTGTACAATAGTCAAACGCTCATCCACTGAACCACAGAGCTTGATTGTTAGATATGGTTGTTTTGTGGACCAAATTACAAAGAATCTTGTGTCAAACCTTGGTCATGATGGAGTTAGTGATAAAGCCCCATTCAGATATCTCCTCCAACATCAGACTTGGTGGCTCAGGTCATAAAGTGTTGGACTTTAATCAAGAAGACCCGGGTTCAATCCTCACTGTGACTAATGTCTACCTTTAGCTCATTATATTCACCATCCTGATGATGGACACTGGTGTGAAACTCATTATGGGCGAGTCAATAAACACAAGTTCTCTGAGGAAGAGACTCATAAAGACAAGGGTTCAGATCTGACTTGTATCTTGTTTTATTGAATCAGCTCACACACAGGTCAGCATCCAAACATCAGTTCCAGCAGGTGTTCAGACAGGAGATCTGTGGCTCTGTGGTAAAAGCACTGCCCCACGACTTCAGAGGTTGCTGGTTCGATCCCAACCAGATCTCTGCAGTGAGTGTGAGGGGGGGATACCAGTTCAATCTCCCGCTGGAGCTTCCGGAGTCATGACCAGCAGGGGTTATACTTGAAACTTGAGTCTAGAGGAGTGATGAATAATTGATGGTAAAAAGTGATGATAACCAACATGTTGAACAATCATACACATGATCTACATCACCTGTGCAGCAGCAGATGATCATCATTAGTACAGTCAGTGTCTGTCCACACGTCTCTGCTTCTGTTCAACAGTCTTACAGTCCACAACACTTCACTGATCCTGTAGAGTCGACAGACATTGTTATTATTATTATTGATCTAATAATATACAAGTATTACATTTGTATCAAGTATTGCGCCCTCATGTGGAGATTATTCTGAATTACACCTTTGCAAATTTTGAATCTAATGTATTTTAAAAATTCGCCCTCTTGTGGTGATGTTTGTGAACTGCACTGCTGTCGCACTAAAATTATGAAAGTTTCAGCCTCGTGTGGAGAATTTCTGAATTACACCTTTGCAAATCTTCAATATAATGATTTTAAAATGATCGCCCTCATGTGGTGATTTTGGTTGAGTCGACACACATCTAATGATAGACAAATATTCAAATATTTGTGAAGATTTCCCTGAATTACACCTTTGCAAATCTAATGTATTTAAAATATTTGCCATCTTGTGGTAATGTTTGTGAACTGCACTGCTGCCGCTCTAAAATAAAATTAAAAGTTCACCCTCGTGTGGAGATATTTATGAATTACACCTTTGCAAATGTAATGAATTTAAAACATTCGCCCTCTTGTGGTGATTTGGGTGAGTTACACAACTTCAAATCTAATTTAATGGTTATAAACATGTCGCCCTCCTGTGGTGATTTTTGTGAACTGCACTGGTGCCATTCTAAAATAATGAAATTTATTGTTTCACTTTCATCTAGAGATTTTGATAAACTACACCTATTGTATATGTATAAAACTTCACAGATCATATTGTTCTTCAGGAATTCTGTATCATTTTTATAACATCAACTGTCTGCTCTTCAATTTTTAGTCTATTTTCTAGCAGGCTTTTTTTTGCATTTTTAATTTTTATTTAGAAGTTAATATTAGATATTATAATGTGTCGATAAACAACTGAAGAGGTCAGATGGAGGCCTCGCAGGCTCCTATGTCTTGATTTAGTAATTTCACTTTTATGGCAGAGAATATTATTTTCATCACTTTTAATATGAAGAAACTGAACAAACATCAGAGGCTGAGAAAACTGCTCGTTGTAGAAGAAAACTCCAGACGGCACTTAGAAGTTTTTGCATCTGAACTCTTCAATTGCACACTTATGTACATCTAAAAATACCTGGATATGAAAGTGTAAAGGTATGCAAGTGGACATTTTCACTTACCAGTAGAGCTGGAGATAATGGATGAACTGGAACCAATGGTCCATAAATCATGTGCACTACAATGAGAAAAGAATAATTCTTCATTGTTTGTTTGCTTTATTTATATATATGTAAAGCTAAATATATAAAACAATAAAATTAATTAATTGCAATCAAGAAGCAAGAGACAGAAGGTGATTTTTTAAATGAGACTCAAAAGCACCAAGGGAAGAACATGACCTAATATGTAAAGGCAGATCATTCCACAGACATGAGACTGTAACAGAAAAAGCTCTGTCAGCTCTTGATTTCAACCGTGATTTGGGAACAATTAGCTGAAACTTGTTTTCTGACCTGATTGGCCTCAATGAAGTATGCCAGTGAAGAAGCTCACTGATGTAGGTAGGCGTGGGACCATTCAAACCTTTAAAAACAAGTGGCAATGACTTGTGTTGAATCTTAAACTGGACTGGGAGCCAGTGAAGGGATGATAAAACTGGTGAGATTCTAGATTTTTTTCTGTTGCAGTTAAAAGCATAGCGGCTGCATTTTGAACCAGCTGCAGGCGTGTAATTGAAGCCTTTATAGAATTCCCTTTATTCATCAGAGGTCACCACAGCGGAATGAACCGCCAACTTATCCAGCATACGTTTTACTCAGCATATGTCCCGCCAGCTGCAACACAGTTCTGGGGAAACACCCACACACGCCAACATTTACACTCATTGACTATGGCCAATTTTGTTTACCCAATTCACCTATAGCACATGTGTTTGGACTGTGGGGGAAACCGGTGAAGAACATACTAAGGTAAATACTATAGTATTTTATATATAGTGTAAGGGTATATAGTGTATTTACTATAGTAATTTATAGTAAATACACTATATTTACTATGATATTCACAACACCATTAAATAAAATTCACAGAATATTGTAGTATTAACTACACTAAAACTTAATAAACACTCTGCTTTAATAAAGTAATATGTGGTGTATTGTAGTAAAATATGGTATTTCCACAATAGATTAAAGTGCTTTACTATACATGTATATGAGCAATTGCATGCAAACGTCAACCTTGCATTGAAATAAATTAAGATTTCATAAAAATATGGAAACCGATTCTGTTTTTTTGTGTTTTCTTGTATTTAACAGTACTTTAGAAATACTCAAAATGTAACTGTCAATGTTTTCACTATTATAATTGATTTACCAAAGTCACGAGAATGAAAATTTCACACCTGTCACATCCATAACGACTCTTTTTCCTCATAAATGCAAACATGTCAAATAAAATAAAGTGAATCATTTTTGTTCTAGAGAGAGACATATTTTATCCTCTTGATTATCAATATTTATTTTGGGTCGAGCAGTTTAATCCACAGAATTTCTACAAAGTATGTTGTATACTGTAAATACGCAGACTTTTTTTGATCACATGCATAACGCATGTTTATTTCCCTCATTTAAAGTACAAAACATGTTTACAGATTGATATTTTCTGCTCCCTTAACTGGTCAGTTGTTTTTGAAAAAAATAATCCAATGTTTCAATATAATGTTAGCATAAACATTCTATGTGAATTTATGTTTTGAGTTTTTACTGCAGATGTCACATCCATAACGCTGCAATTGCTCATATATAGGTATATGTACTTAGATGTGTATTTATTTATCTTGTATTGGATTTAATCTACACTTATTTGTGGATACTTCTGGAATTTATGAATCAGCTTTTAGGATGAACAAAGTATCTATCTGTCTGTCTGTCTATCTATCCATCCATCTCTGCATAATTAAGTGCACCCCATTTTGAATATTTTTATCCATTTCTCAGTGAACACAAGCAATGTATTTTGGTGCATTTAAACAAAACCGATTTAATAAACAGATATATTTATTAAAATAATAATTTAGTCACCAAACATATTTAGAAATCATAAGATAATACAATTAAATATTGCAAATATAAATTATAACCTACAAAACTAAATTTTAAAATAAAAATTTGGCTTTTCTTGATTTTTCCTCATTTTAAAATTTGTATTTAATATTTGTCTGTAACATAAATTCGGGTGTACTAGTTTTTGGACCATTATCGTAAGCTACTTTGTTAGATAAACTCCAGATTTGGCTTCAGTACTGACTAATCAAATGCACAAATATAATATTGTATTGTTTCCTATTAAATATGTATTTAAAATAGATTTGTGAGGGGTGTACTTACGCTGAGCATTCTGTCTATCTATCTATCTATCTATCTATCTATCTATCTATCTATCTATCTATCTATCTATCTATCTATCTATCTATCTATCTATCTATCTATCTATCTATCTATCTATCTATCCAACACATTTACGTATTTGATCCCTTGACAAGATTTGGTTAAGTTCATGCCGTTTTACTGGCTTAAAGTTGGGTTCCAGCAGATGACAGCTCAGTGACAGACTCATAATGTCAGTCAACAGCTCATTACAGCCCGACAGCAAACAAAATAGCGACAGCAAGTGCAGAAATGGAGTAACGCGACTCACCTGTAAGTGACTTTCGGCGTGAAGAAGCGCTTAATTGTGTATAAAGTCTTGAGAGTTTGTATGAGAGTAATGCTGTAAGCTTGTAGTGATGTCGTTGTAGTTTTTGTGTTTACTCATTGCTCTCTCTCTTTCTCTGCAGATGAATGACAGTGAGGGCGGGTCTGCAGCAGTGAAGATGCACACGTGTGTCCGTTGTGTGCTGCACATCTTTCACCTGACGCTCCTCCACATCCACACGCATTTATATCCTTTGCAAAGGCTTTTTCTGATGTCAAGTTTCCACCTGATAGTCAACAAAGGCCGTTTGTTGTGCTAAAGCAGTCACGTGAGCTTTTTGGGAGTGATGTCATGTAGAACGAATTTGATTGGGCAGATTTGGTAGTGCAAGATGAGTCATCAATGTAATGTTTACATGTCTTACCTACTTCTAAAATATGAGCTCAGCTGACATTTACACTGTGAAAACTGCATCGACTCTTCAGAAGTCTTAATAGAGCATTTCAATTTGGTTATCTCATTGGCCAATTAACATTTTCTGCTTGTTATCATAGTATTTTATTACTAACAAAAGGTAATTCACTCATAACGTAATAATAAAACAGACATCACATAATTATTTATTAATATGTGGCTCTTTTTGGATTCTCAGAAGCTATAGAAATTAAAAATGTATAACAAGAAATACAGGGACCATTTGTTTTTGTTTACATCTCTCAAAATAGTCTATATGACAGTAACTTTGAAGCAATTAAAACTATTGTTAAGTGGATTTAAAGCAATGTCCTACTTGCATCCTTGTTAGTGGTCAACATCTTTAACCACTATGCCACAATTTAACAGTAAGCAGTAAGGGGATTTGAACTCAAGACTCTTGACATGAAGCTCGATGATCTGAATTTTGTTTTAGACATGATTTTAAATCTTTCATTTTCTTTTCGGCTTAGTCCCTTTATTAATCTGGGGTCGCCACAGTGGAATGAACCGCCATAGTTTATCTAAACAGCAAACATTTAACATTTGGGACTCGGACAGTGCTGTTATAACTTTTTAGGAATCTCTAATCTAGTGTCATTTCAAAGAATAAATAACATTATTATCCTAATAATTCCTGAAATATACATATATTTAAATAGACAACACTTAGTGTACAGCACAATTAGCACAAAACAAAAAGACAAAACTAATCATAACCCTTTTAATTACAAATCACATGTTGCTTAAGCAAATAATGTGTGAAAGCATTAACTATCATTTACATTTTCATCAATCATAGCCAATCCTTTAACCCATAATATAACATTGTTCAGTATTAGTTTATTTATTATAGATTTGTTAATTATACTCGTGTACAGAAGATTGTTTTTAGGTCTAACTACTATAACAAACAACAACAAACACTACTAATGCTATCATTATTAATAATATGTAACAAAAATAAATTAGAAGAGTCATTTTAATAAATTAAGGCACTTATGAATATATTAAGAGACGGTTTGAAAATGTATGTATAACAGACATTTTTATTTCACTTTTACACACTTCCTATATTTTAGGAATTAAACTTTTGGATAAACAACTTTGATTTTTCAGTCACAACAATTGAAAACAATTCTTAAGAGTTGTCATTTTTAAAAGAAATATTCTCAGACTCAATAATGTTGATGTCTGGTGACTAGGCTGGCCAATCCAGGAGCACATTGACCTTCTTTGCTCTCAGGAACTTTGATGTGGAAGCCGAATTACTTTAAGAAAATCTTGAATTGAAAGGTGTCAGCTTCCACACTGCAAAGGAGACCTAAAGCTTATGAATGAATAGTCATTTTAATTAATTTACTTTAAGGCATTTCTACTTAGTTATGATAATATTAAGAGATTATTAAAAAAAATCATTATTACAGACATTTTTATTGTACTTTTATACACTTCCTATATTTTAGGAAAGAAACATTTAGATAAATAACTTTAACAATTTTAAACAGTTCTGAGGAGTTGTCATTTTTAAAAGAAATGTTCTCACACTCAATAATGTTCATATCTGGTGACTGGGCTGGCCAATCCTGGAGCACATTGACCTTTGCTTTCAGGAACTTTGATGTGGACGCCGAATTCTTTTCTGACTTTAAGAAAATTTTGAATTGAAAGGTGTCAGCTTCCAAACTGCACTGGAGCCCTAAAGCTTATAAATTAATAGCTATTTTAAATAAATTACTTTAAGGCATTTCTACTTGGTTATAGATAATATTACGAGACCATTTAAAAAATTCATGCAATTTTAGACATTTTTGTATTACTTTAACACACTTCCTATATTTAAGGAAAGAAACTTTTGAAGGATTAACTTAGATTTTTCAGTCACAATAATTAAGCAATTCTAGAGTTCACATTTTTAAAGAAATATTCTCAGACTCAATAATGTTCATGTCTGGTGAATGGGCTGGCCAATCCTAGAGCACATTGACCTTTGCTTTCAGGAACTTTGATGCAGAGGCTGAACTCCTTTCTGACCGTTCAAGAATATCTTTAAGTGAAAGGCATATTGGCTTCAACACTGCACTGGAGACCTGATGGGTAAAGTCTAGATCGGATACGAGGTTGGCCAGATGTGCGATATGTACATCAAAAAAGTAGAATTTTATATGATACTGTATAACAATAATCAATATTTTTACAGTACTGTAACAGCTGGGTTTAGAGTTGGGCTGCAGGGGTCGAAAAATACAATTTATTAATAATACTCGGTACAACTACAGTTTTTACATTACTGTGACGTTGGGTTTAGGGTAGAGGTAGTTTTATTAATTAATAAATAAATTAATAAATAATATAAATATTTTTTGTTAACTTCCGGCCACAACCATATCTGATCTAGCAACAACCGATCTTAATCTTGTGAATGAAAAGTTATTTTAATTTATTTTATTTTATTTTTTAAGGCAATTCAACATAATTATGGATAATATTAAAATATCATTTGAAAAAGATCCTGCACTTCAGACATTTTTATATTACTTTTACACACTTCCTATATTTTAGGAAATAAACTTTTGGAGGAATAACTTGGATTATTCAGTCACAACAATCGAAAACAATTATTCTGAAGAGTTGTCATTATTAAAAAGAAATGTTCTGAGGCCATTACAAAATAAATGATAAATATTTAGACATAATCAGTCATACCTATTCATAACCTAACAAAAAAAAGTGTTTGTAAGCATCTGCTCTTCTTTTACATTTATTTTTGTTTCTCCACCAGAGAGAGACATTACACCACTGGAGCCCTCTATGATTTACAAGATTAAAGATGCTGCTGGACAGAGTTTCATAATAAGAATCATTAAACAAGCAAAAAATTTTTGAAATAAATTAAAAACTGAACACATATACAAGTTAAATATGCAACCAAAGTGTAACAGAGGCCAGCTATAGTGAAGTACTGCGCATATTACCTTTACTCCTTTAAAGGTGCTCTAGTACCAAGTACACTACCTAATTCAAGTCTTGTCACCTATCAACATTTTAGGAACAACAAATAATATCTCGACTTCTAGTCAATCATTTGGTATCAGAAGTGGCTTATATGAAAGGCCTCTAGATTACGCTTATTTTACTAAAATAAAACACGATCAAGCCTTCATTTTTAATTAATGAACTAGGACAGTGGTTGTTTTAAGGAAAAACTCACTTCATTTTGGCACATTATCTCTGAAAACAACACTATATTTTTTTCTCGTCTATAAAATTCTTCTTGATTTAACAATTTTTACATTTTCAGATTTGGATCCTAAATAAGAGAAGCATTTGTGCATTATTAGAAGTGTAACCCATTTGTCCAAACTTTAAAAAAAAAAAAAAAAAGCTGAGTGCTACAACTAAAATTTGCATAGTGTGCAAATGATCACACATCATGCCATTCGTCTTACACAACATCGAAAGAGAGATTCATTTCAGTGGTCACTGGAAAAAAGGAAAGCAAAAAAAAAATTCCTGTCGGACCTGAAAAACCAGTTGTGTATGAGACCATAAAAGCTCCCATGACCCGTCACTACGACAACCTCACATAAACAATAGCACAACAAAAGAGACACAGGCAGGACAGCGGAAGCACCATCCTGCCGGTAGGAACACATTTCAGTACAGACTGTGCTAAACATTATTAAATGCATGCAAACTAAATTCCTGCATGCACTGACGAAGCTCTTTTTCTTACAGACACATGTTTCCCAGCGTGCATTCAACTGATGTGTGAGAAGAAGGCACTAATAATGGTGAGAAACGTTTAGTCTGTATTGATTCTTTGCATCAAAGGCTTTTGTAACTGGATTTTCTCCCTGAATTTCTAATAACATGCAGCCTTCAGGAAAAAAGTCCAGATCTCAAAGTGCCAGAGCTGCCAGCAAGAGCAAAAGAAAGCGCTCCTCCAAGAAGAGATCTGTCAGTGCCAAAGCCTCAAAGACAGATGTGGATATTTTGAGTCCAGCAGCCATGGAGAACGTTTACTACATCTCCCATAATGCTGTGGACTGTCTGGAGTTCAGAGGATTCGGCTGGCCTGGAGCCACCAAGAAGAAAGGGAAAAAAGGAAAGAAAAGCAAGAAATGATTATTTGTGCCAGGTTCATCCTACATGTTGGCTATTTATTATATATACACATATAGGGTGCTAGTTTCTATTTTTGACTAGATTATTTTGCTTATACCCCATCGGCTGATTATCTTGCTCGTTTTAAGGAAAAACTCGGTTTAGTTTGACGTATTTCTGAAAACAAGACAATATTAATTTGCTTGTCTAAAAATGTTTCTTGATTTGAAAAAAAAAAAAATAATAATAATAAAGATCGTGCCAGGTTAACCTTATATGTTTGCTATTTATTGTACACACACACACACACACACACACACACACACACACACACACACACACACACACACACACACACACACACACACACACACACACACACACACACACACACACACACACACACACACACACACACACACACACACACACACACACACACACACACACACACACACACACACACACGGTCCTGGATCTATGGAAATAGTCTATAGAGATGTTAAACCTATTTTATTTATTATTTATTAAACATGATATACATGTTTATTAATAAAATATTTGTAATAAATAGGTTTGCTATATATTGTGTTAGGAAAAAGTGTGTGTGCGCGTGTCTAAATTACATCATATAAACATTATAGATCAGGGGTGTCCAAACTCAGTCCTTGAGGGGCAGTGTCCTGCATTTTTTAGTTCCAACCCCAATTAAACACACCTGAACCAGTTAATCAAGCTTATTCTAGGTATACTAGAATATTCCAGGCAGTTTGGACACCCCTGTTATAGATCTACTGTATATAATGCATATTTAATGTTAAAGATGTTTTATATGTTAATATGCATTGTTATATGATATATATATATATATATATATATATATATATATATATATATTTGTAATATGCTAAACATAGAGAAATCTTACATACATATAGTTATGAACAAACGTCTTCTAGCTAAAGATGCAAGAGTTTTCCAAGTAAACTGTAAAACATTTAATGACAAAAAGTCAAAACAAATATTTTTAACTTATTTTAATAAGCTAATCTAGTTAACAAAATTTTAAGTTATAAAAAGTTTAACTTAATAGTTTTAGTCAGTTTGATTGATGCAAGTTCAGAAAGTTAATTTAATTTAATTTAAGTCCGCAATGTTTTTGTGTGAGCAATAGACAAAAGCAAACAAATAAAAACATTAACGCATAATTGAAAAATAAAACTGATAACTTTATGAACTTCAGACAAAAATTAATTTGCTGAATGTTACACTTCTAACATACGCCAGAGGCCGCTATGTGTGATTTTTGATGATCACAAATGTCATCTTTCCACGTAAATCCATCAGAGGGCGCAATATACACCTAAGCCACCAGGCCAGCTTGCTGACGACTGAGGGACCCACCCCCTTCGCTACACCCAACCAATAGTGTTTTCAAAAGCAATCTAGAAAAAGCCGTCGCGGCCATGTAATTTCACATTTTAGGCTGTTGAATATTTCATTTTGTTTTTGTACATTTGTTTTACCTGCTTTATGGAACCGTTCTTCACCAGACTTGAACCCTGTCGTAGCGGTGTGCTCTGCATCCTAAATCCACCAACGTACGCGGAGCCACTCCACATAGAGTTAAGCGGTCAGCTGGTAGCACTTAAAGGAGCGCAAGTTGTCGGTGGTGTCATACCACCCCACAGCCTTCGTTTAAAAGACGAAATAGCCAGACGTACCTCTGGCTACCTAATCCATGCTCTCCAAAAATGTAGACAGGGGTACGCATCCACAATCAGCCTGTGTTGCAACATGCATATACAAAGTGAGAGATTAGGCTTGACAAAGCCTTTAAGTTAAACCTAAACCTGCTTTAACTTAAGCACTTTAAATGATCATTGTGTTTGAAATGTGCTTAATCAATAACCTTGCCTATAAATAAATAACAGAAACCATCCAGTCGATTAGTCTTCAACTTTATTGGTAGTTTACTACATGTTACTTTCTCTCCAAACTCCCATATGGGTACATAAAATAAATGTAAAATGTTACAAAAGAATGCCAGAAAGCTTGCTAGTGCATTCAAAGAGACAAAATAAATGTTAATCGAAACAAAGAAACTAAAAACAGACTCCTCATATGCACAGACTGTAACAGTTTTCAAGTGGTCAACTAATGCTGGACTTTCTTTGTTAGACATTTACAACAGGACAACCACTCGCGCACATTCACAAACGAAGATAAATAAAAAGAAAAGCAGAAATCAGGCACTTGTGGCGAACCGCGGTTTACACGATGTCACGGGTTCGTCGGATAGCGCAGCACAGCAACATGCTGAAGATCATGCCGAAGACCTGATGAGAGAAAACAAATGAGAGAGAGAGAGAAATCATTGGTGACATCATTATATCATATGGCGTAGTGATATGCAAGTAAGGCCCAATCCCGATTCTACCCTTTAGCCTTTCCTCTTACCCCTACCCCTCGTTTTGCGCAAGCCCATGAAGGGGTATTGGTGTCACAATTCTCTTTAGCTTGCAGGCGTAGGGATAAGGGGAAGGCGTGAATACCCCTTCAAACAAAGATTTTTCAGCACCACACTCGAAACCAAGGGGTAAGAACATTTTCCAAGAATACACTAGCCACAGCTGCACCCGGAAGGAGATCGACAAATTGGTATTTTTTGTCATTATTACGAATTTTTACAACAAACAAACACGTTTTAATATTTTGATAACTGCGTTCATGTTTTACCATCATGCTTTAAAAAAAAAGAAAAAAAAATGCTAAATTTCACGATCTATTATCCCTAAAAATATCTCCTGTACAGCAGTCCAACAACATTCTGGCGATGACATCTGATGACTTGTGCAGGTGCTGTAGTGCTTTCCCAATTCTTAGGGGTAAATTTCGAAGCTCTTCCCCTTAACCCTTGGTTGTAATGGCCAAGGGGAAGGGGTTCAAAAATAGAATTGGGATTGGGCCTAAAGGTTGCTTTCACACCTAGACTTTTGTTTCGGAACCAGTCTCGTTTGCCCAGTTAGCACGGTTCATTTGGCATATGTGAATCCAACAATCGTGCTCTCATCCGGGCCAAAACAATCGCTCCTAGATCGCCTGAATGAGGTGGTCTCGGCTTGATTGAAATGAACTCTGGAGCGGATCGATTGTAGTGAGAAAGCGATACGATCCGAGCCCGGCTATGTCACAGCGTATTATGGATATGTAATAGGCATATACGGCTATTTGAAGAGAGAATCGAGTAGTGCAGGATGTCATTCCTACCAGTAATTGTGCGTTTTGTATAAAATACGAAAATAAAAGCATGCTGAACTATTACCGAGAGCTGTTAATCCGTTAAAATTGACACTCGCACTTGACTTATTTGAGCTATTTTGGCTTTTCACAAGGCAAAGTGCAACAATGTAACAATTTTAATCCCTGTTTCAGAACGAATTGATTGATTAACAGGTGTGAAAGCACCCTAAACGCTCCTACACACCACAACGCTTTTCGTTTATCGCCAGCGTTTTATGAGATGTTTTTCCACATTCAAACCAAAGCGATTTTCACTGGCATCAAGCAGAAGGAGGAGTCCAAAAATCACTCCTTGACGTTAGATGGCGCTGCACAACTTTAATCTTCCAACACCCGCTTTTAACACAGAAGAAGTGGAAGAGAGGAAGTTCACATGCTTGCTAAATTTACTGGTGACTCGAACACGCATAGATGGTTCAAGTAGCAGCTCTAGTTATGAAGAAATGATTATCGTTCACCAGAGCAATAAGCAGCTACACGCTCATATCGTCTCTGGGCATCTTCTTCAATGTGCGCTCGCATTGACAGTTTTATGCTTGAGTGCCTCCAAGCGCTCCATGCAGCTTCGTGCACATGACCAAAAGTGCCAACCTGATTGGTGGAGAAGGTTTTAACGCAGCGCGTCAAAAAATCAAACAAACCAAAAAAAAAAAACAAGCATGCGGCGTTTTTTATTTTTAAATGACGCTTTTGCGCCTGCCGATTTGCGGGTTTGCACGATCACATTGACGCGCTTTATTTAGTCATGAGGCATTAAATGTTGACGTAAAATGCGAGCCCGGTGTGCACGGGCCTTTAGGCTGCATTTTCACCACATGGTTCAAGTGACTATCCTGATTTTTTTCTCTGATGTGGCACAGATCATATATGGCACATGCATGTGTAAGCAGGAAAAAAAAATAAATCACATTGATTACGATTTACTCAAATCAGACTCAGGCCTTGTTCATATGTGGAAATTTAACCGATGTGATTTACCCAATAATCTGTGCCCTCGTGTCTGCAGTGCAAGCAGGTAGATTGGATTTTCACCTGTCAATGTGAGTCAATTACAACCATAGCGAATCACGTCAAGTTTGCTTTCATTTCAGAACACACTTCAGCACAGTCGCAAACCTTAAATTTCACACTAACAAGGACTAAGAAGCTTTTTCATTGTCATGTACAAGGACGCCAAGGGCACTCCTGTGTAAACTCCAATACGTTTTTCCTCTTGATGTTATTAATTTAAATGCACTTATGGAGTTTCACAATATGAAATAAATTGCAGCCACTAAATTGTGGATTGATTGGTGCCACTGACATAGCCGTTTTACTTCCCCTACCCCTCCCTGATCGTTGTTGACAGCACTCACACCCCTTGAACAGACAGCGTCACGACCCCCCACTTTAAGAACCACAGCTCTAGAACTCAATTTTCTGAGCACTAACTGTTCCCATCTATAATACGCACTTCTTGTGTGTATTGCCTCTTTCTTTTTGAACAAAATCTTCTGCTTAATGACAATATAATATGTAAAGCATAGAGCTTTTCAGCAATTGCACATGCTTTTAATTGCTGTGAAAAGTGGTTTGTGAAATAAGTTTTCTTGATGTCACGGTTAATACCTGAACCAGAAAAGAAAACCCACAAGCAGAGACTCACCATGATCACGCCAATGCCGATGCCGACTCCTCCAATCACATGAAGCCGAGAGTTGAACATATCCTGAATGACAGATGAGCAGCCCTGGAACACAAGCAAAAAGAGTTCACCAAAACACATCGGCAGATTGACAGAAGCAGCAAGATGATTTGTTGCATGTCTGATACCGTTGTGATGACGTTTGCGAGACCCTCCTGTTTGGGGCAGGTGACAGATACTCCATCGGTGACCAGGCCAGTTGGTCCACAGCACTGCAGCTAAACAACACACAGAAAACAGACACATTAAAATGTTATAGTCACCCTTAAAATCTAAATTATTAAACATTACTTAATTTATATACATGCATGTAACATAGCAGTGTTTTAAAGGGCCATGAAACCCCCCTCTTTCGTGCAAGTCTATCTCAGAAATCTATCAAAATGCTCCTAGATGGGCGTGGAGCTCTGCGAGGAGAGGGGGGAGTGGACGTGGCCAGCAGAGCAGGGGAGAAATGAGGGGAGTGAACAACTGTTCCCTGGAGTATTCCAGTATAAACCATGAGGAGACACTTGACTTTATGGTTTACAAAGTAATTTCATATACACATAACCACAGTTTATTATATCATCATAGAGATAATCATGTTTATATAAATGCTATTAATGAGGAGGACTTCTCCTCAATCTCCGGGTCTGAATGCAGACATGGTGGATAGCAGTGCAGCAGCAGAGCCGGATTAACGCAAGGGCTAGGTGGGGATGAAGCCACAGGGCCCTTGGAAGAAGGAGGCTGAAGATTGGCTGAAGAATAAATCTGACGCGGGAAACGACTCTCTTCATTCTGCTTTCTCTCATCGATAATGTGAAGTATTGCTTTCAGTTCGCTGCCATTCAAAAACAGTGACGCCGGTGCTAAACTGGGGCTCAGAGTGGTTGTAACCCAATCAGAACATTGAATAGCCCCGTTTTAGTCACACATATAGGGTGATCAGACGTCCCAATTTTTCCAGGACAGTCCTTTATTTCGTCACTACCGATTGAACTGTCCAGTCAAAGGTGTGCACCAAAACACATCGTCGTAGAACAGAAAATAAAATTAATTCATCATAGAGACACTTGTACATGTAGTAACAGAAGCTGGGATAGGCACGTTGATACCGAATGGACTGAGGCACTGTCTCGGCCGCACGGTGGTTACAGCTGGACTTAAACCGGCGCGCCAATCCTTTCATCACACAATACAACTGAGACAGTGTGCGAACAAATCAAATAGGCTACACAAGCAGTTATCAAAATATCCATCGTTGCAGAGTATCTATCTCAAGTAAATACACTCGGTTATGCTTTACAGTAAGGCTAACTGAACCAGTTAGAAAGCAAACTTTGTTTATGAATGTTTACTTTGCCCCTTTTATGAAAACGACAGTAATAATATGGAGCAATGAGATATTGGTGCTGGCTTTCATCAGACAATATATGATGAAATCAATGAATCAATCAATAAAGGATGCTAGCCTTCTGCAACTCAGAGGACCACAATAAGTTGATTTGCATATTTGAAGCATGGACATTAAAGCTATTATATCATTAGGGCTTTATAGTTAGCGAATGTTCTAAAGAACCTTTTTAAAAGGTAAAGCCTTATTTAAAGTATTTATTAAGAAGCACTAATTTAGGAAGTATTGCAAATGTTTTTTTGTTTTGCTGATTTTTGCAGCCTGTTTGAACTTTAAAGTTCATATTATGTCATTACACAATTTTGTATACTTTTTTTTTATAAAATAGAAAAAATATATACAAATCAAATATAAATCAAATGGTGAAAAAATAGATAATATTAATTAGTAAATTATTAATAATAACAGCAACAATTTTATATACAGTTGAAGTGTTCAATTGATATACAGAATTATTAGCCTCCTGAATTATTTGCCCCTATTTGTTTATTTTTTCCCCTGTTTTCTATTTAACAGAGAGAAGATATTTTTTATTAACACATTTAAAACTGATTTATTAGCACCTTCTTCGTTATTTTGACTATTTTGATTATTATTATTTTTTTTTATTTTTTTTGTTTATGCTTGGAACAAGCTTTAAAAATCAAACTTACTGAAAAATGAATGGCAGTCAGAGTTTCCTTCAGCGGCCCGTCTGGACTCTCCTTGTAATTTTTGACGGTCTGCGTGTAAAACTGCTGGATATCGGACACAATCTGAGAACACAAGGAGGACTATGTCAGTAATTGACGAATAACAGGAGATGCAGACGAACAGGATTTTCAGATCATCTCTCACCTTATCTTTATTAGACAAACCCCAGATTCCAGCGGCAACTTCAGCGGCGAAAATGACCAGCAGAAACATGAAGAACTGGAAATGAATGACAAATGACGTGAACAACAACATCCACAATTAAAAAAAATAAATAAATACAAAAACTGTAGCATCTATGATAGATTTTGTGTGTATAGACGAGATTATTTTAATATACTGGAGTATTAGAGTATATACAACATATATGTGGACATTGTTTAGTTAATTTATCTGTACAGTTCAAATTAAAACTTACTGAATGTTACAGTATGCATGGACAACATGTTCATACAGCCACTCCATTATTTTTATACCAAACATGATCATTTTTGGACAAATTGCAACCATACCAGGTATTTAACTGGACTATTTTTATAAAATGTTATTGAACACTGACTGCGTGAGACATATTGTGGAAAAATATCATAAGTAATGCGTTAATTACGAATTAGGTAAACAAATATAAGAGAATGTGTCTGATAGGATTGTGTACAATCTGGGGTGCATTTCTGAAAATCATCATTAGCCAACTAAGGTTGCAATTTCCGTCGTTACATAGTTCTTTGATTTGCTGTTTCTCAGATCCGTCGTACCTATGAACATTCGCAAATTGCATCGCAAACTTGTGCGCTTGCAACTACACCCCTAGAGCTGTAGTTAGAAGCATAGTTCTTGGTCGTGTTCTATTCCCTGTTATCCCCCCTATGCACAATCCGTAATAAAATTTTAACTTAGAATGATTTAAAAATATATATAAAAAAACATTAGTCATCTCTCTTATGTGTAATTTGCATTTAATGTATTTTTACAGTTCTGTTTTAGCGACCTTCATATTGACAATTGCGTTCCCTTCTTAGTGCACTTTGAAAAGATTTATGTCATGACGAAAACGGATTTACGTTACGTCTCCAAAACTTGTGAAATATATATATATATATATATATATATATATATATATATATATATATATATATATATATATATATATAGCATACGTTAACGCCTTTAATTTATAGTAGGTTAATTATTAAGAAATGTATCTATACTGTACTGTTTTTTATTGCTATTATTATTAATGTATATTATTATTATTATTATTATTATTAAGGTATAATGTTTTTCATTTCTTAATAAATAGCCTACTGTAAATCAGGCCTACAACCATTAACAATTTATATACGAGTTAAATATACGTGTTAGCCAAGCGATTTTATATGGCATATTCTCAATAATATTTGTAAAGGACACACATGTAAATCTGGGAGGTGCATCAGTGTCTGTTTGACGCGTCACTCGAGCAAAATCACAACCGGCTCTTATACCTGTGAACTTGGTACATGATGTGTAAGTAGTATGCAACTACAGTACATGTACACACTGGTACACAGTATTACTTGTGTAATACTGGTTTAACTACACACGTGTAAAAACACACAATAGTATGTGTATGTTCAAATGTGTAACAGGACATTGGTAACAACACTAAAAAGAATTACAAGAATTACATATGTGCATTGTGTAACAACATTATGCACTTGCAGGTTATTTCCCACTTCCCCACCTGTTTGCATACACTGTAAAAAATAAGTTGTCCCAATGAAATCTCAAGATTTATGTTGTTTCAGCTCATTTTAAATCAGTTTAAAATATAATATTTTGAGTGTACCATACATCTCTGAACACTGTATTAGAATAAGAAATGCAGACCTAACGCTGCATTAGACGGTTGCACCTTGCGACATCAGTGTAATTACAGGGTCAATCCTCAGGAACTGTCCACTCAATAGAAAGTGTAAAACGGTCACAAATTACTGTGTAATATATAAAAGCTAAGCGTCTGTACAACTGTTTAACAACAGCAAACTTCTGCCAAAAAGAAGTATACAAATGCCTTATGTCTATATGTTGTTTTAGGGTAAATTGTAGAATCACATCAGTAATTCACATTATAGCGAGAGTTAACCAAAGACTGCGTTATTAATGTCCTGTTCCTCATTTGAACTTGCACATACTGTTCAGTGGGTTGTTACATGTTTGGTTATACACCAGCAAATACTTTGTACCAGTGTGTACATACACTGTAGGTACATACTACTTACACATCTTGTTACTGTGCAAGTTCACAGGTATAAGCAACACTTACACCTTAAAAAAAAAACATTAAGAGAAATTGCTCCCTTCAAAGCCAGGTGAGCAAAATAAGCACATTTTCTACCCCACTAAATGCTTCTTTCTCATTATGTAGTTAATAACCAGACATATATTACGCGGCCTCGCATTGTTTTCATGTCTTCTCACGTGTTTGCTTGTAAAACGTAATATGGACAAAGTTGTCTGCGATTCAGCGAAACACCCTGTCGCCGTTACATCTTGCAGTGTAAACACAGCAGCGGCGGTACGCTAGTCAGATAGTCATGCAGTGTGAAAACATCCGTGAGTCGACTACTTTGAATATCCTGCAGTCTGAACTCGGCATTATCCTGTTGACAAGATTAATGCACCGAAATCTTAATAAAGCAAGAGAACCGGGTATAGTTCACGACTGAATAAGCAACAGTAAGACAAAAGGAGACAAGGATCATGTTTTTAGTTTCACTCCAACAGTTAGAAACTTGCTATACAGCGAGTTCCTGTGATACTTAGATGTCATAAGGAGAGGTCATATGAACATTTGGCTTGGTTTATTCTTTAGCACAAGATAAATGTTCTATCTTTTTAGTGCTGTAAGAGAATATGTGAGACTTACCAGTCCCAGCATGCAGGCCGACTCTTTTATTGCTCCACAGCAGCCCAGGAACCCGACCACCATCATGACGGCTCCGGCCACGATCAGGATATAAACCCCTGAACACAGAGAAACAACACGTCATCGAGTGTCTCTTTAAAAACACTTAAAATCAAGAGGATGATGTTTGAGTTTCACTATTTAAAAAAACAAATTCAAGAGTTCACACTTGATGCTCGACTATGTTAGCAAGTTTGGCATGCTGTCCCAGGAGAGAACCCTGAGCTCGGAGATAGATGAGCCCAAGGCTCCCGCAAGGTCAGTGAGCATGAGGAGGGATACGAGATCAGGTAGTTTGCGAGAACTCCCATGATTCGTTTTAGCCTGTGCCTTGATTAATAAGATGATTCTACGGGACACTAACTAGTGTAAATGCATTAGGTGCTTGTGAATTTTATTAAAAATTTAATTCACTTTTCACATGTCTTTATTCTGTTGGGGGGGGGGGGACCGGAGTACCCGGGGAAAACATGTCAATTCCACAGTCAACGTGCCGGCTGGCTCAGCTAGGACTTGAACCAGTGGCCTTCTTGCTGTGAGTCTGCAGTGATAGCCACTGAGGCACCATGTCGCCCGATCCTAGAATTGAGGAGGAGGGAGAAGGGAAGGAAGGGGCAGGGAGGTGGGGGGGGGGGGGTCTTCCAAAACAAAGATAGGGAATAAAGTTTAGGCTGGATATTTAGGTTAAATTTGAGATAATTTGATTGGATAGCTAATGATTAGCGATAGGGACCAGCTGCGGTCAATCATATTGCATAACTATTAGAACACAATGCCTGCAGGGAATTACAATGCAAACATAAGTCAATAATCGCAGAGTGATTATATCAGTGATTATCTTCATCATCACCCAATTAAATATGTGACAATGATAATGAACACTATATTATGTAGACTGCCAATGAATTACGACTGTGAGACAAATGCTGCTCCATCTGAAAGCACATGCTGGATTTACTGCTGATCACAGAACCAGCTTTACTGGCAAAATGTGCATGACAATCGCCTTCGATTAATCACACAGCCATAATAAAATCATTGACTATCATAAAGGGTACCCTCAAATCTGCTTCAGGATCCAAAATGTCTAAAAAATGCTGGGTTCCACACTATCGATTTGTGTGAATGAATCAAGTTAACTTGTATATTAGTTTACACATTTAAATGGATTAAACGCAACATAAGAGACAATTAAAAAAAAAAAAAGCTCAATATAAATGAGTAGCTTGAACAAACTGCAAACGTCATTTGAGTGTATGTGTTACAGAACTGCATTAGAATCCAAAAGGAATAATTCAAATAAATGACAGTGTTATGGTTAATAGGATATGCAACTATTAAAATTCATAATCTCTAAACAACTGGCCGATGATGATGATGATGATGATTCAAGCATCTATAGACAAGAGCTGCGTTCCAATTCGCATACTACCCATTCTAAATAGTAATTAAAAAATAGAATTAGTATGTCCCAAATCATAGTATGTTGAAAAGAGTATGCCAAAGGTTCCTGGATGATTTACTATTTCCGGTCAAAATTTTAAATGTAAAGCGTCCATACCCTAACCGCTGATATTGGCCACAATACGTTGCACATTAGACGTAAATTCGATTAAAACTACAAACGCTGGTGAAAAGTGTAAATAAACTACAAACACAATGGATGCACAAGATCAACCGTCAAGTAGAGGGGCCTCGAAATATGTTTGTATGACTGTTAATTAATATTAAAAAAATATTTACATCCCACTGTCTGTGTTATATTTCATCAGCAACAACAATACTGACCTTATATAAAGACGCGTTTGGATTTTACTGTCTGAATGCAGAATTATTAAGACCTGAGGAGATTTCACTGCTTGAAAGACCCGTGAATGGGTGATTACCCTGCTGCTTCCCTAATAAGGTAGGAAATTAAATCCAACATTAAAGTGTGGATGATTGAGAGGGCTTATAACCAAGCAACACAACGATCTGTTAAAGAGGAAGTAGTATGTCCCAAAGCTTGCATACTCGTTACACACTCAAAGGTATACATTCTTTCTTCAGAAACAAAAAAAAAAAAGTACATACTTTTAGGGTGTAGTTAAAGTATGCGAATTGCGACGCAGCAAATGACTTAATTTCTGAATGATTCTGCTGTTTTGAATGAATCAATTGAATGAATGATTCAATCGCATACTCCAAACATACTGCCATCTTGTGGTCATACTGTCATTTATGTATTTTCTCCATTACACACAAAAAATTGCTTAGTTGATTTACAGTAGTTTGGTTAAAACGTCATTTAAATGTAATGGAAAAACAACCAAATGTTGGGTAAATCTATTGGGATTGTCCATTTTAAAACGAGTGCTTAAATTAAACAACCCAGCTTTTTATTTTATTTTTTTTAGTGAGTGTCGGCACAAATTAACTTCGGTTAACAGCACAAAAACATAGTGGTTAATCAAATTTTGGGTCACGTGACGAACTTTTAAATGTCAAGCTTTTAAGGGCCTTTAATAAAGCTGCTAACACCAGTAAACTGCCTACCAACATCATCGGATGATTCATAAACATAATCTTCTTCCAAACATGAATTGTTACATCCTATAAACGAACAAGCAAAAAAAGTTTAATCACACACCTTTCCCATGCAAATGGTCACCGCATGCCTTTACCTAACACTGTTTTAAAAAGGGATAGTTCACCCAAAAATGAACATTTACTCATTGTTTACTGACCCGCAAGTGATTCCAAAGCTTTATAAGTTTATTTCTTCAGGTAAACACTAAAGATGATATTTTGAAGAAAGCTGGAAACATTAGCTTCCACAGTAAAAAACAAGTATCCAGGGAGTCTATGGTTACAGGTTTCCTTTAAAATTTCTTCTTTACTGTAAAGGCAGAGTAAATGATGTTCACTTCAAGTTTATCTGTTTACCGCTTTTCACAATAATTCTTGTTGTTTCAAAGCAGTTATTGCACAATAAGCATTACAAATTCAGAAAAAGTTAAGGTTATTAATTACCTTATTAACTTTACTCGTTACTAAAAACTTTATCCAACATATTTTTTAACTTAAATTTTTATTTCTTTTTAAAATATTTCCCAAATGATGTTTAACAGAGCAAGGAATTTTTTAAAGTATGTCTGATAATATTTTTTCTTATTATTCATTTTATTTCAGCTAGAATAAAAAGTACTTTTGAACTGAAAAAAAAAAAGAAATTGGGACAAAATTATTAGCCCCTTTAAGCAAATTTATTTTTTCCTCGATAGTCTATAACAAACCATCGTTATACAATACTTGCGTAATTAGCCTAACCTGAATATTTAACCTAATTAACCTAGTTAAGCCTTTAAATGTCACTTTAAATTATATAGAAGTGTCTTGAAAAAATCTAGTCAAATATTATTTACTGTCATCTTGGCAAATATATATATATATATATATATATTCGAGTCCTGATCAGGAGGTAACATCCAACATATATTCGAGTCCTGATCGGGAGGTATCATACAACTCCGAAAGAGTCCAAAACATTGTGATTGGATCTTGACATTCCTACTTTTAATGAAGTTTAATTGTGTCTTGACAAATGTTTGTTTTACGGTGAACTGTCCCTTTAAATGCTGAACAGAGTCTGGCCATAGATTTACCACAGCCACATGTAAAAATTAGAACTTTTCCCCCCACTTTCGCTCTACTTTAATGCTCAGAATAAACTATGCAAAGACAAATATGCAAAACAAAATTCCAGGCCAGTGTATCACGAGTCTGTATCTAAACCACTCTTTGGGATGGTCTGTCATACGGATGTTTGGCATTGCTGTCAATCAGACCTCTGATAAACACCGCATCGATGAGGTTTCTGGATCGGTGGAGGAGAACATTCAATTCTCCAGAAAGCAAATAAACAAAAGGAGGTGGGAAGGAAACAAACAATGCGAGTTCTGTTGGTGAAGAGGAGAAAGGCAGCTCTGTGAGGGACGATGAAACTGGCAAACACAGCCTCCCCAAGAAACAGCACTGCCATTATAACACCACAAACCTGCCTCTTAAAAAACAAACCCGCTGACACAAACCCAACTATACAGCAGACACTATATTTAGTTGGTTTTAGCCTTCAAAACACACCAGAAGTGTTTTATTAGGGGGCTGAGTTTTGGTTTAAAGTTAAATTTTACATCAGTGCATCTCTACAGAAACCAAAACATCTCGCTTCACGCTCATGACTGACCTTTTATTCTCAAGTTACTGTGCAGCAAAGTGTTTGTGATGCATCGTTCACATGACAGATGGGCTGGAAAAAGGAGTGTCTGGTTTCTATGAATGCTGTTATACTGTATGCCACACCCAAAATTTTAACTCGATGATGCAGGAGATGAAGTGTGCATTCTGATATAATGAGGAAAAAGAAAATGATCCAAAATAGGCCAAATATATGGACAATTTCTCAAGAATGATTAACATTTTGTAATTAATTAACATTCATTTTTGATTTGTTAAGTAAAACAATATATTTTTGTGTTCTACTGATGGAATTTGCACCAATAATATATTACGTTATATTTATGTAAAATTATTTTGTTTTAGATTATATTCATATTTAGAAAAAAATGTAACTTTAAAAAGAGTCACGAAATCAATGTCAATATTAGAATACTACAAATGAAAATGCTTAGACATTTTTTTGTTTAAATTACAATATTTTTATTAAACTTTACAACAAATATTATAAAGACCTTTAGAGAACAAAATATATTAAAATGCTATGCAAACCCATACTGAAGACAGACACACAGAAGCTACAAATTTTCATGTGTTTATTTTATATTTTGCATAATTACTGTGCAGGAATTAGTAAAATAAAAAAATTAATAAAATTATTATTATTATTATTATTATTATCAACATTAATAAAAGATAATAATAGCAATAATAATAATAATATACTAAGAACAACAAAAATAGCAATAACAACAACAACAACAAAAATGCATAATATATTTAAATGATAACTATAATTTATATCTACAATAATAATATTAATAATATTAATAATAATAATGATAATAATAATAATAATAATAATAATAATAATAAATGCATAACAATAATAAATATATTAAATAATAATAATAATAATAATAGTAATAATATCAATAATAAAAAATAATAGCAATAATATTAATAATAATAACAACAACAACAACAACAACATAGATGTATAATATATTTAAATAATAAATATATTTAATAACAATGATGATAAGTATAAATACATAAAAATAATAAAATATATTAAATAACAACAACAACAACAACATCAAAATAAATGTATATTATATTTAAATAAATATAATTAATAAAAATATTAATAATAATAAAAATAATAATGATGATGATAATATTAAGAACAACAACAGTTTAAATGTATAATATATTTAAATAATAAATATAATGAATAACTATAATAATAATAATAATAATAAATACATAAAATAATATATATGAAATAATAATAATAATATTAATAATAATAAAAGCTTTATATGGAATTATTTTCAGTATAAGAGCTGAAAACTTAAAATAACCAGTCATCTTTTCAAGGTTTAAGGTCAATTTCAAGGTTTGCAATGCAAATCTAATTAGAAGAAAACTTATTTATTAAACAAAACTACAGTGAATCTCGTAAAAACACATTTACTAAAAGACAAAACAAATATTGCTTGACAAAATGCATTGCACAAAAATCATCTGAACAATTGCATATTATTTAATATTATTACTAAACCGAACATAAAAACATGTAAACGTAAAACAAAAGTAATTACAACAAATTGAATGGTGGGCTCGAAATGAGCAGGTTTCTGTGGACATATCCATATCTAACAAATCCAGTAAATCCAGAAAACATTTTTAATAGGAAGTAGATGTGTGTGTGTGTCTGTCTGTCTGTGTGTGTGTATGTGTGGTTTCTATGAAAACTATTATACATCACACCAAAATATCAACTCACAAACACCTGATGATGCAGGAGATGAAGTGTGCATTCTGATTTCTTAAGGGTATACTAATAACAGGCTAAATTTCATCAGTGAGGAAATAAAATAAGACAACACACTTTTTTTTCCTTCAGCCTATTACCCAATTTATCAAATACCTGATTAAATGAATGAAATAAAATTATCTAAAAATGATAAAATAATAATAATAATAATATTATAAAATAAAAAATAAAACAAAAATAACAAAAATAAAATAAATATAAATAAAACAAAAATGTTAACAAATAAAAAATAAATAAATAAGAAAATACAATTAAATAAAATACCATTTACAATAATAACTAAAAGCTGTTCAAAAACGTACTCTAAACTAAAAACATTTACACCGTTCAAAACAAACAGAAAAATCTCAGCTAAGATCACTTAAAATGTATAAAAACAAACAAAATAATAATTAAAAGTGAAAATTGAATAATAAAAGGTGAAAAAAAAAACCAGATAATAAATGCAGAATCTCACCTGTGAGGAACACAGTCTGGCCATTTTCCGCAGTGAAGAATTCTTTAGTTTTAGCATCGAAGCGCAGCCACAGACCAACAGCCAAAACTCCTGTACCGGCGAGCTGCAGAGACAAACAAAACACCAATAAATACTAAGAAAATGTTTAGTTTGAACAACAGCCAGAGCATAGAATACTGTCAGAAACTGAACTGCACATCCCAATCATATAATGCAGGACAGTAGCCAGCCTAGTGAAAGGTGGACTTATTTGCTTCAATTTCTATTTAATTATGAAATTTATTTACTGCCGTTTAGTGACTTTAAGCACTATCTTTAGCTGGATTAGCTTGTAGAAGTCTTCATAACCACACTTTTTAAAATGTACCAAACATATTTCCTAAACATTTAGAATAAAAGAAATATGGAAAAAACATTAAAAAAAATTTAAATCATATCATTAGAAAAAAAGAGGAATTTGTAAATTAAATTAAAAACTGCTGTTTATTATCACTTCACTTACGTCAGACTGTGTTTTTTTGCACAGCTGGATGTTAAACTCATTAAAATTTGTTGGCATCGGGCAAAGCAGAGTCACTGAAGTCCAAAGCAGCAGCCACTTTCGATCAATTCATAAGATCATAGCAGTCAAAATAAGACAAATGAGCTCATGTATGGGACAAATTTTGGACAGTGAGGGCTGAGTCTTTTGAAGCACCCGAACTCCCCTGTAATGAGCAGTAGGCCAAATGGGGCATTGTTTACAAAGGTCGGAATGACAATGAAGTCACTTTTTCTGCTTTTTTTCCCTCCCCCTCTCAGAGAATGAAGTTAAACAGGTCTTGTAAAACTCAAATGTGCAGAAAGCTAACCAACCTGATAATCTCGCTTCCAATAGTCAAAAAAAGATTTGCAAAACTTTGCTGAAACTCTTCGTTTACTTGACCGGTTCACATTACACTGCAATGCGGAGTCCGTGAATGAGTAACGTGTGACAGATAGCAATCGTTCTTGTTCTCACACATTCCCACAGGCAAAAGTTAATCAACAGCTCACACATAGTTTGAAAACTACTATTAGACAGAGATTTTTTGCAACAGCACTGATTCCTTTTCCTTTTTAAATAGAAATTAGTAAAACAAAACACTTATAGAAATATAAATACATTAACAAATGTAAAATACAAGATAAAAAAAAAAAAAAAACTACTGTACTAGGAAATCTGGACTTCACTAGAAGCTGCTTTGACACAATCCACATTGTGAAAAGCCCTATATAACATGATCTGAACTATAGTAGCATTACAATAATTAGCAAACTTAAACATGTATATGACATGTATATATATATACACAGCGAGAAAAATAAATAAAATTGATCCATGCAACACTGGCTGATAAGGTTTTTAGCTCGGGAAGTACGTTTTTTAAGGGTTTGAGACTGATATGAGACCAAGTGTATGAAAACTAGGCAAAGAAAATCCCTAAAGATTAAAGAATGAAAATAAAAAGCGTACATTAAAAGAAAAAACACAATCAAAATCACATGAAGCATATAGTGAACGATACTGTCCAATTAATAATGACACTTAAGGATAAAACCATTCATTTAAAGCTGGTGTTTACGTCCATATAAACAATATATTTCAAGTTAATTGCAATATATATATATATATATATATATATATATATATATATATATATATATATATATATATATATATATAATTCCTATATATTGTTAACATTTTATTTAAATGGTTGTGCTTTTAGATTAAATTTGTGCTTCATTCTGCAAAACACAGATGTCATTTATTATATTTAAAATAATTGTAAGCTAAAGCATGTTTTAATAAAACATTCAGACATGTTTATATTCATTGTTATACAACATACCAATGTTTTAACTTTAGAAGATTTGAGAAATTCACATTTGGTGAAATAACCCATTAAAAAATATATAATAAATAAATAAAATCACAACAAAGTTAAAACATTTCTTAATCTGAACTATTGTATTTTTCAGGCTAAAAACAAAGCTAAAACAAACCTTAAGTTACTATAATTATTTGAGTAAAATACCTCTACCTCTATATAAACTACTCAATAGAAATCCAGTGACACTGAAAATTTCAAGTGGTCAGTTATTTTGAGAGGGGTCTGAATGCAGACGTGCTCCAGTGCACTCTGGGTTGCACCGATGCTTTTTAATGGTCACACCTAACCCCACCCGTCACAGTGACGTCACTAGCTCCATTTGAGTGCATTGTGTCTGACATTGCATCGCTGAGTGATGCAGTCTCAGCTTGCATCATAAAGGCCGCATCCAGATACCATTGGTTATTTTGCACTTGTATTCATACTTGATCAAATTTGAGTTTCGTGATGTAGAACATCACGGCCAGTGCAGTTTTTCAGCACATATTCCACTATTAAACAGTAGTTTAATTAATGCTTCTGCTAACTTACTTCACTTAAATTTTGCACATGGAAAGAGTCCATTATGGAGTTATTGATAATCTTGATAAGTTTTAATATATAGCAACCATTTCTTGATCACCTGGATCAATATAATGCAGATTCTGAGCACCAGTGTAATGCTTAATATGCTTATCATCCCTATTGACTGCCTCTGTATTTTGATTGAAACCATTTAAATGCCCTGATTGTTTTTTAATAATATTTAAATTTTATTTATTTAATCTTATTATCATCATCATAATAATTACCATTATTGTCTTTGTATTATCATGCTTAATTCATGTATTTTTGTATTGTTAATTATTGAAAAATGTAAAACTAATTAAAAATAATAATAATAATAAAACAGTTCTGCTCAAAACAGGTCTGTCTTCAAAAAGTTTGAGTTCGATTAATAACTAATCTTCCAGGGTCCCGAAACACTTAATGCATACTGTTAAATTCAAGTCAACTTCATCAAATGAAATCAGTGTAGTTAACTCAATTGACTGAAAGGTAATGCTACTCATTTGAAAAGAGTTTTGAACTCAGTATTGAAGGTAACGAGTTAAACTCCTCATTACTTCAACTTAAATGGAGTAAGTTCACAGAACTCATAATCCAAAGGGTTTTTTGCAATCGGTTTGAGTTGCCTTAACCTATCAGGTTTTATAATACTCAGTTGGTTTGAGTTCTCTTCATTTATTGGGGTTTGCTGTGCTCACATGACTTCATTTACTCGGAGTAAGTTCACAGTACTGCTTCAATGGTTTGTTGCAATCGGTTTCCTCAAATGGTTTGAGTTACCTTAACCTTTTTTGGTTTGACAGTATACATAAAGTTAAATTAATGCAGAAGGATATTTACTGCATTCATACATCACAATACACACTCCCCTCGTGTTAAGTTTGTGATATTAAGGGGGAGATTGAGGTGAAGTTGGTTTTATGTAGTCGCACATTCATTCAGTGACAACTTGTGATACGCTCCTTAAATTGTTTACCAAAATGAAGATCATTTGAAGAAGTGTAAACTTTTAGCCACTATAATAAGAAAAGAAAATACTATGGAAGTCAACGGTTACCAGTTTCCAACATTCTTCAAAATATCTTATTTTGTGTTTAACAGAAGAAGAAAAAACACCTCAAACAGGTTTGGTACAAGCTAAGTGTTGGTAAATGATGACAGAATTGACATTTATGGTAGATTATAATGAGGTAAAGTAGGTTTTATATTTGCACATTCACTCCTTTTTGACCAGGGACAACTTGTGATACAATCCCTATATAGTTTACCATTCTACACTGAATATTCAGTCTGAAATCGCATGTATGTATGACTTCAAAACAACATTAGCTCTATTTAATTGGCTGTGATGAGTGTTGTACTTTGGTGAATTCATATCAGCAGCTAGTGACTATCATTTAGAATTTGACAATAATACTTTCCTGAAATTACATTAAGAAGGAAGTCTGACTATGTGAATATAAAACCAATTTGACCTTAATCTCCCCCTTACTTAATATCATAAACTTCTTCAATCAAATATGTTAACCTTATTATGCTAAAATGCAGCAGCCATACTTAAAAAAACTTTAAAACTAAATAGAGTTATTGCTCAGAAGCAGGTAAAACAGGTTGCACAATCCATTCAGTCTCTCTCAAACTCTAAGAATTGACTCAAAAGGTGGATCTCAGTGCATCTTCAAGCGCCTTATCCAATGACGCAATGAATACTGAGAAACAAACCACACTAGTTCAACCCGATTAACTCCTACACACAAGTAGCTGGCATCTCTGGCACTTGTCGGTAGGGTTGCGATCCTCCAGTTTCGTTGTGTTTTGGAAAGCCACTGATATGAGTCACAGTGAGTCACAGCCAGGGGTGTGGAGACTTGTCCTTCATAGATTCCCAAACTGATCCCATTTTTTTTTCCATTTACACACAATGGGGGTTTACTGATGGCAAGATTTGCTCACTCACCACAAAAGCCAACTCAAGTCCACACCTAAACACTAAGAGCCTTTTGAATAATGGAGACATTTTAGGACTAAATAAGTGTACTAGCAAGAATGAGGTTTGGTCTGTAACATTTACGCACACTGTATGTATATTTTTGAGACCTTTAACTAAAGAAAAGCACTTATTTGTTCATTTAACAGGCTCAAAAACTCTCTTTAAACATGTACAAATGCGTTTTTTAGATGATAAAAGGAAGTTTTTTTAACCTGTTGAATGTTCAAATGTGTTTTATTTGTGTTTAAAGGGAGTTTTTAAGCCTGTTGTATGTATAAGTGTGTTTTTCCATGCTTAAAGGTTTTTTTTGAACCTGTTGAATGTAGGAGTGTGTTTTTCAATGCTTAAAGGGAGTTTTTGAGCCTGTTCAATGCACAAACGTGTTTTTTACATGTTTTTTTTTTACATTCAACAGGTTCAAAATCTTCCTTTAAACACAAATAAAACACATTTGTATGTTCAACAGACTCAAAAACTCCCTTTAAAACATAAAACCCCACAATAATACATTCAACAGGTTCACAATTCCCCTTTCAGCATGTAAATAAAACACATTTGTACATTTAACAGCCTCAAACACTCCCTTTAAACATGAATAAACACAGTTTTGTACATTTAACAGCCTAAAAACTCCCTATGAATATGTAAAAACACACATTTGTACATTCAACTGGCTCAAAATCTCCATTTAAACATCTTAAAAACACATTTTCACATTTGAGAGGCTCAAAATCTCCTTTTAAACATGTAACGTACACATTTGTAGATTCAACAGGCTCAAAAACTCCATTTAAACATGTAAAAAACACATTTGTGCTATTAAACTTACTGAAATGTTGCTGACAATAGCTAAAAAATGGAAAACAGACATTGATGTACCAATTGGACTGTTTCAGAAGTTTGCAACTGTGGAGAAGATCACATATACTTTGAGAGGAAAGGATGAAGTATTTAAAAAGATTTGGAATCCATTTTTGAATCATATTAAAACAGTATCACTTGATTTGATTTGACAATACGTTTTTTGTTTCCACTGGTTTATACTGCATCTCCTCCCTTTTTATTTATTTATTTAATTTTCCTTATTTGTTTTATACACGGTGTATGTTTTAATTTAGTTTGTTTGCTGCTTTGTTTTGATGTTCTGTATTGTTAACTCTTGAAAAAGCTAGACAAAAATATATAATAAAAAAAAAACACATTTGTGCGCTCAAGCTTACAAACCAATGACATTTCAATTAAACTGCAAATTCGAGAAGTACAGACCGACCACAGCTTCTGTTGAATAATCAGAACTGTGAACAGACCCGTATTTGTTTCATGAATATTAAAACCATGCTAAAGGGATAGTACGCCCACATATTTTAACATACTCGTTATTTAATTTAAATAGCCCTTTTCTTTTCTGTTAAACAATATAATTTTGGGGAACACTGGGAACCACATTGTAAAGGGGGGAAAATAATCAAGAAAGTTGGATTCAGATTCACATATTCGCTCAGTTTTAACAAGTGACAACTTTTGAAACTTTGAAATGGCATGTAACAATGACTTTAGCATTAGCAGTATTTAATTTAATCTATTTTAACAGTAATAGGCTGCTAATATGATTTCCCTATTTATAATTGACAACCAATGCATTTCTGAAATTATATTATGAAGGAGAAAGTCTGAATGTCCGGATATAAAAAAACTTTACCCAAAAGGTAAAAAAAAAAAAATACTACAGAAATCAATGGCCACCGCTTTCAAATGTTTCTCTTTTGTGTTCAATATAATAAAAACACTCAAACAGTTTTGAAAAAAGGAGGTAATGACATAACTTTCATTTTTTGGGCGGACTGTCCCTTTAAGGATCAAATCTCTCTCTCAGAGAGCAAAGTTTGCCAGCCTAGATACAATCACACAAACACATTAAAAACATGTAAACAAGCAACTACCAAAACAAACTTCTAAATCCTCACAACAACACAATCAAGCCTTATTTACACACTTATTTCACCATCTTTCGTTTTTAACCCACAAGCATACATTTGAGTCAGCATGTGCTCATGTACTGATTCAAAGAAACACCTACCCAGAAGATGAAGTTGAAGATAAAGAGCAAGTACTTGATACACTGAAGTCCACCTCCTGCGGCCATGGCTTAAAAAGTAAGTGTAGTTTTATGAGGAGAAACCCAAAACTGAGCACCTGAGAAATGTACCTTTCCCAGCTTTTCAAACAGCGAGTGTGTGAACACAAACAAATTCCAACAAACCACACCCTCCTACCTGGCCTTTGTCAGAGAGGAAGGAGGAGGAGCCAAGGCATTTTAGCAGGTCACATGGGAAAGAGCATAGATAAGAGTCTAAATGCGGATTAGTCAAGCAGAATAATGTACAAATATCATGTATAAACAGAAGAAAGATTAAAAGATCCATACCATGCCATCAATACAAGCTGATCTGGTTTAACTTTCATATAACTGGAGGAGTCCCTAAGGAAAACTGGAAACTCCGAATACAGATATTGTGCCTTTGCTTGACATCTTTTCTCTTTCAAAGTGGAGATACGGATTAAAGAAATGGAGAAAAGAGCATGGTTAATCCTGCGGTGTCATATTTAAATGACAGACTTTGCTGAAAAACTGGTTGCATATAAATAGCTATAAGGGATAATCTACACTGGGGTAAAGTTGGTTTTATATTCGCACATTCAGAGCTTCTCCTTTATAATGTTGTTTCAGGAAAGTATTATTTGCATAGTCTAAATAGGGAAATCATATTAGCAGCCGGTGACTATCAAAGTACAACACTGATCACAGTCAATTTGAATTAAATAGAGCTAATGTTGTTTTGAAGTCATAATTATAAACGATTTCAGACTGAATATTCAGTGTAGCATGGTAAACTATATGGGGACTGTGGCACAAGTTGTCCCTGGTCAAAAATGAATGAATGTGCACCTACTTTACCTCACTGTAATCTACCATAAAGGAAAGTTCTGTCATCATTTACTAACCCTCAGCTTGTTCCAAACCAAAGGTTTTTGTTTGACTGTTAAACACAAATAAGATATTTTGAAGAATGTTGGAAACCGGTAACCATTGACTTCCATTTCTTATTATGGATGTAAGTGGCTATAAGTTTACAACATTCTTCATTTGATCTTCATTTGTGGCCTGCAGAAAAATAAACTCAAGTTTGGATCAAGTGGAGGTTCAGTATAAAGGGCGGCAGAATTTTCATTTTATGTGAACTATCCCTTTAAATATTTATTGATAATTCAGTTTGTTTAGCAAGTAAAATAACTGATAATTTCTGTAATAAATGCTTATTTTGTATTTTATAACCTTACACGGTTGGCTGGAAGGGCATTCGCTGCATAAAACATATGCTGGACAAGTTGGCGGTTCATTCCACTGTGGTGGAATTGATTATAATTATTAATATTAATATATTTTTATATTAATATTATGATTATTATGATTAATAAAGGGACTAAGCCGAAAATAACATAAATGAATTAATAAACCTTACACCGTTAAAAAGTGTTATGATCAATTAGTCCTGACAGTATTTGACTTTTGGTCATTGTAACTTATTAAATTTAACTTACTTCCAGACAAGGGCCAAACTTGAACCATATCTGGGCCAAGTCTCAGCCAAGTTAATAAGTCATGACTGGGCCTGAACTGGGCCAGATATGTTAGTGTTTCATGACTACAATTAATTTGATAAACCCATGAAGCAATTTGATTTATAGCCATGCTTTTTCTCAAAGCGGCCCGAATGTTAACATTTTTTTCTTTACTCAAAAATAATTTAAATATATTTTAAATGTATTGTGTGGCCCACATATACATTTGTAACATCTGGGCCAAATATTACATTTCATACCTGGCCAAAGTCTTGTGTGCCGCCTTAAAGACAGTGCTACCTCTGCCAAACCTGAGCCATGTTTGCCCCTCATGCTATATGCCAAAGCCCGATGAATGCCTGCTGTGCCAGCTTCATGCCAATGGGCCAGAATTCTTTGCTACCGGGGTATGCTATATTAAATAATCTAATGCTAATTATTTGCATGTTTCTTCTTCTTCCACATATTCTAAACATGCTGGGTGATATTTACTTCATTTTTGTGACAGCACATATGGCCATGTTTCATTCCTAAGGCTAAATTTAAACTGATTTATGTAATGAATAAATGATGTTGTGTGCAAAAGCCTACTTTGACTCTCAAAACAGGGCGAAGTTTCAAATAAACTAATGAATATCAATGCACGCTGACGTTTCTTGTTTACGTTCCTGGATGGCAGCCACCACATGATCTAATTATTATAGTAATTTGAATGGGATCTTGTAGTAGTATATAAACAGATTGTACCCTGAAAGGATCTAGTTCAGTGGTTTTCAAAGCTTTTTCCTTAAGTGCCACTTCAGAAAAAAAAATAGCTCTCCAAGTACCACCGTAATGAGCAGTACTGAAATACAGTAGCGTAGTAAGCCCAGCAGTTCAAAAACGTGGCAGATTAATTCCTATTATTAAGAATATTTATTATTGTCAGCCACTTTAAACATTATAAATAGTCTGAAAATTAACACTGCACTGTGCTTATATGTTTAAAATAAATAAATAAATAAAATAAATAAATAAATATATTCCATTGGAAGCCAATAAATAACAATTATCATCATTTAACATGCGTTTTCATGTTTAATAATCAAAAATATATTAGTTATATTATTATTATTTAAAAAAACAAATACCATCGCTAGAAAGTCTATTCCTTCTATAACACACATTGTCCAACCTCAATAAATAAACAATGAGTGAACAATCAAAAACTTACCCATAACATGAAATTAAAGAAGAATATGATGTATTTGATGCATTGCTCTCCACTGGACAGACCTGATTTAGACATCATGTAGATAGATCCGTGTTCAGACTCAAATAAAGAGCAGAAATCGTGTTGTTTTCAGATGCTTGAATCCCCAAAGGTCTGCTGTGTGTCTGTGTGCTGGTCGGGCTGTGGCTTAATGCTGCTGCTGCCCTCAGGAGAAGAAAAGACTGATTATATCAGTATAAACTCCCACCTCTTATGAGAAAACACAAGATCGGGAGTCTGTCACATTTCACTCCTCTTCATCTCAATGATCAATAAGTGATGCTGTGGGTATGAATACTCAATAAGTGACCATAAGTACATTTACATGTCAAATTTATTTGTAGAAATGCCCTTAAATTGTCCTCAGGTGATCTTTCTGTTTTATTTATGCTACAAACTGCGAAGCTCTTTAGCACATATAGACACTAGGAGTTCCCTCGTCTTGTGATTGAACTATCTAAATGGCATTTTGCACCTCTCTGTGACCAATTTTTAATTTCAAGCTGTCAGTCAAGTGTTTTACCCATTAACACTAGCTACAAAGTCATTCAAATTAGTTCTGATGTATATTATTGTGAAATGAGCATATCTAAAATCATGATATTACAGTATTTGTGACCCTGGACCACATAACCGGTGCTCATTTCTTTTGAATTGAGACGTACACATCACCTAAAAGCTGAATAAATGCTATTATATTGATTAATGGTTTGTTAGAATGGGACAATATTTGGCTGAGAAAGAAAAACTGAGAAAATCACTTTTAAAGTTGTCTAAATTAAATGGATTTTGCTGTTCAAAGACGGACTTTTGATATATTTACAATAGGACCTTTACAAAATATGTTCATGGAACAAACTTTGATTCATATTCTAATGATTTCTGGCATAAAAGTAAAATTCATAATTTTTACTCTTACAATTTATACATACAGTAAAGTTTTGTCTTATAAATGTTGCAAGAAATGCTGGTAACAATTTTTAATGCTTGAAGAAACTACAGTCTAATTTTAAACCCTCATAATACACTCCCTGACAAAAGTCTTGTCGTCAATCCCAGTTGTAAGAGCAACAAATAATAACTTGACTTCTAGTTGATCATTTGGAAAAAGTGGCAGAAGGTTGATTTTTCAGATGAATCATCTGTTACACTTCATCCCAATCATCACAGATACTGCAGAAGACCTACTAGAACCAACATGGACCCAAGATTCTCACAGAAATCAGTCAAGTTTGGTGGAGGAAACATCATGGTTTGGGGTTACATTCAGTATGGGGGCGTGCAAGAAATCTGCAGAGTGGATGGCAACATCAACAGCCTGAGATATCAAGACATTTGTGCTGCCCATTACATTACAAACCACAGGAGAGGGTGAATTCTCCAGCAGGATAGCGCTCCTTCTCATACTTCAGCCTCCACACCAAAGCTCCTGAAAGCAAAGAAGGTCAAGGTGCTCCAGGATTGGCCAGCCCAGTCACCAGATATGAACATTATTGAGCATGTCTGGTGTAAGATGAAGGAGGAGGCATTGAAGATGAATCCAAAGAGTCTTGATGAACTCTGGGAGTCCTGCAGGAACGCTTTCTTTGCCATTCCAGATGACTTTATTAATCAGTGGTTTGAGTCATTGCAGAGATGTATGGATGCAGTTCTCCAAGCTCATGATGGAGTCAGACACAATATTCATTCTGTTTCCACTGCAGCATGACTTTATATTCTATACTAAGCATAATCTAGAGGCCTTTGCCTTTCATATAATCCACTTCTGATACCAAATGATCAACTAGAAGTCAAGTTAATATTTGTTGTTCCTAAAACTTGGATAGGCGACAAGACTTTTGTCAGGTAGTGTACATTAAGAATTGCTACTTTAAAACATTCAGAACTTTTTATTTTTGTAAAATACTGTTCTCGGAAAAATGATTATCAATAGGAAACTATTTTAGTTTGTTTATTAATAGTTTGATCTAGGTAAAACTTCTCATTTACACTTTAAACTTTAGCAATTTTACTGTTTCTTTTAACATTTACATAGTTTTATTATATATATTTTATAACATTTTATTATGAATTTAATTTAATATCAAATAGTTTAATTTAATTTTACATTTTAATTTAAAACATCCAAGCTAAGTAAAAATAAACTCAATCAATTTTAACTCTAAATGTAAAGTTGTTTGAGGTTATTTTATTTCATTTCAACTAACATCTTGGTTAATATTTATGCAATCATGTTAAATTTAATTCCATGAAGCATGCATGCATGCACTATACCTTATAAACAGAAAACCCCAGAGTAAGTTTCTCATGAATGACCACAGAATAATATTTTCCTCCCTCAGAGATGATCCAATGATTACAGGATGTCTGACACACCAGCGAGTCATGCAAGGCACAAAACGCCAGGCCACAAAGTGGTTTTACTAGGTATAAAGTCTACGCACTAACACTCATATGTATTAAAAGCACAACATTTGCAAAAAACAAAACAAAAAACACACACACACAGATAATTAACATGCACCGTTACCTTATGCAACCATTACTCATGCATGGCTGCTTCCACACTGTTCTGTTTACAGATTCTGTCCTCTGTGTCTAATTATAGCAGTTCTTTGCTTTGATTGATTTTTCCTAAAGATGGTGGTGCCACCGGCTCTGTGCAGAGGCGAATACAGTGAGGATGACAGTTTGGTTGTGAAGAATGGAGCCTATTGTGATGTTCAGAGTCGTGCGCTTTTCATTCCCCAAGTGTTGTGACACTCATCCGTATCTGTCTGTGATGCACCACGTCACCTTTAGCAACCACACAACAATGACTATAAATCACATGGACAGATAAATTTGAGCGGAGTTGCGTAAAATCAGGAAGGCAGATGGAGGAGAACTGAGTCATAATTCTTCTCACCTCTCGTCCCAGATGCTCATTAAATTCAGTAAGCACAAATCGGGAGCCAAGTCTGAAAATTCCATACAGTAAATTATCTCATTTCAGCATAATTGAATTTGGAACGAAATGACAAGGTGAACAACGTCTGCTCTTGTAAACACTCAAATCAAATGTCATGCACGTGGGCAGATTTCCCAAACCTAATTGAGCAAGACATGACAACATCTTATTTTATCTGCGTCACAGAGTGTAAAAACACATCCTCTTTCTGCTAAAAAAATATTGCAGTTTTTGGTCATACTCTGGGTTGAAGTGCATGACCTTCACGCTTCTTTTACTAAAAATTGCATGCTCTGTTTTTATTACAATGCGGTCTATATGAAGATATAAAAACCTCTAACATTTTAAGCCCATTATATTAAAGAAGGTGAAGATTTCTTTAAGTCTTGGCAATAATTCTTGAATGCCTCACAAAAAAAAAAGTGATGGAGAGTATATTTTTACTAATAAAATTTGACTATTAAAATAAAAAGAACCTTGCATCTACGCATGTTTATGAGCAAGACATGACAACATCTTATTTTATCTACGTCACAGTGTAAAAACACATCCTCTTTCTAAAAGAAATTGCATGGTTGTTAGTCATACTCTGGGAAAAAGTGCACAACCTTTCACACTTCTTTTCCTAAAAATGTCATGCTTTCAGAGTTCTGAGTTTTTTTAAAGTCTTGGCATTAAATGTTGCTTACACTGCGAAACACCACAGCGGAATGGACCGCCAACTAGTTCACCATATGTTTTACAATGCCCTTCCAACCGCAACCTAGTGCTGGGAAATACCCACACACACCCATTCACACACTCTTACCCTACACCCAATTCACCTATAGCGCATGTGTTTGGACTGAGGTGGAAACCGGAGCGCCCAGAGGAAACCAACGCCCAACACAGGGAGAACATGCAAACTCCACAGAGAAATGCCAACTGGTCCAGTTGGTGACTCAAACCAGCGACTTTCTTGCTGTGAGGCAACAGTGCTAACCACTGAGCTCTTACTATTAAAATGATATTTATTGGCATAATACTTCCACATAAAAAACCCTATCATTAATCTTTAAAAATAAAGGTATCAAAAAAGGGTCGTCATATGCATTGAAGAACCTTTTTTTGGTTCCTCAAAGAAGGTTTTAGAGAAAAGTTTTCAAAGAAGCATTTTTTCATAGTGTAAAGGGAGGACATAATCACATCCCAAAGAACCTTCGATCACTGTAAAGTTCCTTCTCTGAACTTAAAAGTGTCCAGGGATCTTAAAGAATCTTGTAACATCAATGTCAATAAGTGAGGTTTATTTATAAACTAATTTCGAGAGGATCACGTGCTTATGATTTATCACGGCCGGTCTCGTATTAGCTAATCATTATCTTCCAATCATATGAGCCCTAAGCTACAATAAATAACCACAGTTTTCATTCCACATTATCTTCGTTCTTAAGAAACCCCCCTTCCTCCCCAATTCTCCTCCTTTACTATTGATCGGGCGGCACGGCGGCCCAGTGGTTAGCACTGTGAGCCCCACAGCAAGAACACTGCCGGCCCTGGTTCCGCCAGGCTGATAGGCGTCTCTGTGAGGAGTTTGTATATTCTCCCCGTGTCCGCGTAGGTTTTCCCTGGGTTCTCCAGTTTCCTTCCACCATCCAAAGATATACATCATAAATAACAATCAAGCACTTGTCTAGCCCCTTTTCTCACGTGATCCCTAAGCTACCGCAGCCGGGAAGTTCTGAGATCAACCGAACTCAAGCTCCCCTCTCGCTCTGCGAACGGGAGGAAGCCCCGGGCTCAAGGATCCCTTGAGCTCGGGGCTCTCTCCCGGGACAGCATGCCAAACAAGCTTTTAATAGATCATCAGCTAAGTGTGAACTCTTGAAAGAACCTTTAAAGTGAATTATTAAATCATTAATATGTTTCCATTAAAAAGGCTCTTCTTTTTTTTAACTCTTGACTGGTTCATCACTGTGAAACCCCTCACTGATTTCAAGATAAAAATAACAAGCAATAAATTATGAAGAAATTAAGTGAGGTTTTCTAAGAAATTACATTTATGCTTAAAAGAAGAGACACTGACAAAATGTGCCCTCTACATATTTGAGCTTAAAGATTTTATATTGGGAATTTTATTCAAATGGCTTCTTGAACCAGAAAAATTTTTTATTTTGAATGATTGAAGTTTGGTGGACCTGATGAAGAAGGAGGAGAACATATGAAGTGTTCAGATGCAAAAACCTGTAAATGCCGTCTGATGTGTTCTCCTAAAATGAGCATTTTTTACAGCCTCCTATGTTTATGTTCAGTTATATTACTTGAAAGTCAATGAAAAGAACTTATTTGTTACTATAAAATTAAAATTACTGAGCCTACATACAAGTCTGAGAAAAAAAAAAAAATTTTAGATGAAAATATCAGATGGCTATTAGAGGTTTTTGTATCTAAACTCTTCAAATTTAAATGCACAACAAAATCTGCAATACTTCACAACTTCTGTTCAGAAAGAGTGGTGGTACAGTAACTAAAATGTGCGAGCATTGCTATGATATTTCTGTGGTTAGATTAGAACTTTAGCTTGCTTATTCTCTAAGAGAGAGAGGTCGATTTGTGGCATTATGGGAAAGGATCTCTCAAACAGGCACACAAGGGAGAAGGGTCTGGATGCAGACCTGGTGCAGTGCAATCTTAGCTGCTTTCAATGCTTTTTATTGGGCTTAGCTAACCACACCCCTAACCCTACCCATCACAGTGACGTCACTCACTCCATTGAGTGCATCGTGTCTGATCTCGCATCGCTGAGTGATGCAATCTCAGCTTGCATCATAAAGACTGCATCCAAATACTATTGACACAAGGTGGTTTTGGGAAAAAGAGCTCCGAGTTCAGAGTTGCAGAGAGTAAAGTGATCCTGCATCAACAGCACCCTCTAGTGTTTATTAAACAGAACTCCTTTCTTTAAGTGTAAACACATACTTTCTAACATTTTTGCTTTCTATACTCTAAATCTAAATACAGGGACTTTATTGCAACAATTAATGATTGACTAAATAAAACGCAAGCAATATTTGTTGACCACACTCCTAATGCACCTATCTAAACAAAACCAAAATGATTTTTAACCACAAGAGAGCGCAAATGTCGTATCTTATTCTCATCCACAAACATGTTTGCACATAAATTCAGTGTATACATGTTTGTTTGCATGTTGCACGGTTGACTTTGATCAACACATTCACTTTAACCTCCCACCATATATGCAGAGCATGGATTAAGATAACGCATACATGTATATGATAATAATGTATACGTCTTTTTATGTGGGCTACATCTATCACAACTGTATCCCCCAGACCTGTGTTTGTAAAAGCATATACGTGGTAAAAGCATACATGCTTATATGCAGAATGTGTGGAGTAAATGAGTGTGATTTAACAGGCAGGCTTTTGAAGGGTTAAACTGGCCCACTCTCCAAGAAGAAATCAAGCAAATCGAGAGCAGTTGTGTGGGTGAGCTGGTGAACGGGGTAAACACTGCTTCTGAATGGAGAAGATTTTTTTACGTCTCCTCACTCTTCTCAATGTCTAGAGCTCCTATAGACCTAGATATAGGTTGTCACTTGGCAACACAAGAAAGCGTGTATTTGTGTGCTCAGATGCATGTTTTACTGCTCTTCCGGTGCTCTGCATGAAACACCATCATACACAGTGAAATCTTTTGGGCCTGTTATTTTAAAAACCAACTTGATCCTAATAATGCTTTCTGTCCAAAATAATACGTACAACTACAGAATAAAAATGAGGCTAGACAGATAAAACAATAGAATTATAGATATAAAAAAACAGACAGATAGATAGATAGATAGATAGATAGACAGAAAGACAGACAGACAGACAGATGGACAGACAGACAGACAGACAGACAGACAGACATACAGACAGAAGGACGGACAGACGGATAAATAACAAATCAAATGACACCTCATTTATGCAAATTGGACCTACTGTTCAAAAGATACAGCCCTTTGAGTCTGGACCAATCAGATCCAATATTCAAATGAGGGTGAAACATAAAGAGGGTGAAACTCGTATTAACACACTAACCTATATGCATAGACCCTCAAACCTTCATTCTAACCCTAAACCCTGACCCAACCTAGCCCCAACCAACCCCTGACCCTAACCCCAACCAAACCCTTAACCTAACACTAACTCATGTACATTATCTGGAATAACTGCACAGACATGATTCAATAAAGAAGACTGACAATTTGGATGGATGGATGGATGGATGGATGGATGGATAGATGGATAGATCAGGGTAATTAGTCAAGTTATTGTATAATGATGGTCTGTTCTGGAGACCAATGAAAAAATATATATTGCTTATAGGAGATAATTAGTGACCTTAAAATTAATTAAAAAAATATTTATTTAAAACTGCTTTTATTACTGCCAAAATAAAACAAATAAGACTTTATCCAGAAGAAAAAAATATTATCAGACATACTGTGAACATTCATTTACTCTGTTAAACATCATAGATAATAACACAGAGAAAACCGCAGTTTAGCGCCCCCTGTTATGTTTGAAACGGCTAACGTCATTGCACATTTTAGCCAGTTCGAACACAGACCATTATCACCCTAGGTACACTAGAGGGCGCCTCTTCATCTACATATCTACAGGTACGTAGCTTGAATGTTGACGTATGGATTGATCCTTCCGGTTACCGATTCAGTTGAGAAAATAATATCTAATGTTTGTACTTTCTGCAATATAAATGAAGAGATTTTATTTCATTTATTTTATTGGTTGCACCCAGGGTAAACATCTCTGGTATAACATTATCTTTATTTATTTAAACGTGATTTCAAGTTGTATATATATATATATATATATATATATATATATATATATATATATGTGTGTGTGTGTGTGTGTGTGTGTGTGTGTGTGTGTGTGTGTGTGTGTGTGTATGTATTTCTCGAGTCTGCTCTCGATTTTGTTGTACATTTTTTTGTGTTACACTGAAAATTTCTTTACTCAAAAATAAGTTACAAAAACAATTCCTATATTTATTATTTTCAAATAATCTTCTATTGAAAATCCCAATAAATTACAAAATATAATTATTGTAAAATCTCTATGGGGCAATCACAACATAACAATACTGAATGAAACCATTATGCTGACACTAACTATAACGATGCCATCAATTTATTTCTTATAGGTGGGAAATAAAAATAACTGGTATGTGTAAAGACACGATAGATGGATAGATAGATAGATAGATAGATAGATAGATAGATAGATAGATAGATAGATAGATAGATAGATAGATAGATAGATAGATAGATAGATAGATAGATAGATAGATAGATAGATAGATAGATAGATAGACGGACAGACAGACAGACAGATAGACAGACGGACAGACACACAAATAGATAAATCTGGGTGGTAAGTGTGTTTATTGACCTGTGACAGAAGCTCCTGTAAATGAGGTAAAGTTTGGCACAATCATAAGCCTCCTCTCTCTCCAGCAGTCATGGTATTACATTAAGCCTGGCCAAAGCCTGTGAGGATTTTGCGCCTTCACAGTCTCTGGTCTGCCGTTACCTGACTGCGCTCCAGCTCACCGGCGACATGGCCGTCAACAGATCCCGCTCGTATGTTGGTAAGTCACGACAAACCCTGTCCGCAGATAATTGGCTATACACAGTTTGACAGCGCTTTAAAAAACTCCTCCAGACATTAGTTACACTGGAAATAAAGGATTGGATTTGCTGCATTTGTTTAAGTGGTTGCAAACAATTTATATGTGCTGAATGTAGTAATGCTTAATTGTTTGTTCAAATTCAGCCCATATAAAATGTTTGCAACCACTTACCTTAAAAAGAGAATGAGTAAATCCAATAAATCATTTTTTTTCAGTGCATGATGTGCTCCGTCTGGAAAACAATGTGCAGTTGACAACAATGAAAACACTTGTATGGGCTATATTAGGTTGAAGAATATTTTTATAAATAGATAATAGTTTATCAATGATATTTAGTTAGATTTTTATGACATTCAGATAATTGTATACTATTTAGTTTTTCATTTAAGTATAGCAGTTGCTTTAATTAATAAAAATATGCGTGTTCTCTATCATTAAATCTTGGTTTTGCCTTTTTAGGTCTCTTTTTAAGACATGTATGGATATTTTTAGCTATTAAATGTGCTGTTGACAACAATGAAAACACTTGAATGGGGTTTACTAAGTTGAATATTATTTTATAAGTCAACATTTGTTTTTCAATGACATTTAGTTGTATTTTTAATATGTTTTCTTTACATTCAGAAAATTGTATACTACTTAATTTTGCATTAAAGTATAGCAATTGCTTTGATTAAATTAAATATGTGTGTTCTCTATCATTAAATCTTATTTTGCCTTTTAAGTCTCTTTTTAAGACTTGTACGGATATTTTTAGCTATTAAATGTGCTGTTGACAAAGGTGTAAACACTTGTATGGGCTATATTAAGTTGAAGAATGTTTTTTATAGATGGATAATAGTTTATCAATGATATTTAGTTACATTTTTATGACATTCAGATAATTGTATACTATTTCGTTTTTAATTAAAGCAATTGCTTTAATTAATTAAAATGTGTGTTCTCTATCATTAAATCTTGGTTTTGCCTTTTTAAGTCTCTTTTTAAGACTTGTACGAATATTTTTAGCTATTAAATGTGCTGTTGACAGAAGTGAAAACACTTGTATGGGCTATATTAAGTTGAAGATTGTTTAATAGGTCAACATTTGTTTAAGTTGCATTTTTATTACGTTTTCTTTGCATTCATGTACAGTTGAAACCAGAAGTTTACATTCACTGTATAAAATGCACATAACCATTTAAAAAAAAAAGTCAGATGTTAATGTGACTAAACCTTTTCTCTTTTAGGTAAGTTATGATTATCAAGTAGCAGAATAATGAGAGAGATTTTTTTGAGAAATTGTTATAACTTTTCTTGAAAGTCAAGTTTACATACAATAAGATTATTCTGCCTCTGAAAAAGCGTAGATAATGGTTTTGAAAGTTTCTGATTGGCTAATTGACAACATTTGAGTCAATTGGAGGCACAGCTGTAGAATAGTATTGAAGGAAAACCTCAAACACACTGCTTCCTTGTGTGACAACATGGGAAAATCAACAAGCCAGAATCAGCAAAAAAGCCAGATTACAATAAGCTAAATTACACTGGGAAAAAGACAAATTTTTGGAGACATGTCCTGTGCTCTGATGGTGCTAAGATTGAACTGTTACATTTGGAGGACAAAGGGGAAAGCTTACAAGACTAGGAAAACCCTCCCAACTGTGAAGTATGGGGGCGGCAGCATCATGTTGTGGGGCTGTTTTGCTGCAGGAGGGACTGGTCCACTTCACAGCATAGATGGCATCATTAAGAAGGAACATTATGTAGAAATACTGAAGCAACATCTCAAGACATCAGCCAGGAAATTAAACTTAGCCACAAATGGGTCTTCCAAACAGACCATGACCCTAAGCATACTGCCAAATTAGTTAAAATGTGCTTTAAGGACAATAGAGTGAATATTTTGGAGTGGCCATCACAAAGCCCTGATCTCAATCCTATAGAAAATTTGTGGGCAGAGTTGAAAAAGCTTGTGCGAGCAAGGCAGCCTACAAATCTGACTCGGTTAGGAGGAATGGGCCAAAATTCCTTCAAACTATTGTGAGAAGCTTGAGGAAGGACACCCAAAACATTTGATAAAAGTTATACAGTTTAAAAGCAAAGCTAAAAAAAAATACCAAGGAAATGTGTGTAAACTTTGACTGTCTAGAAATTAATATTTTTTTAATTCTCCCTTTTAAAAAGGGTTATGTTCCTTTTTTTTAGAGGGTATGTAAACTTCTAGTTTAAACTGTATTTGTATACTACTTAGTTTTGCATTAAATAATAGCAATTACTTTGATTAATTAAAAATCAGTTTGTTCTCTATCATTACAAGACTTTTATGGACATTTTTAGCTATTAAATGTGCTGTTGACAACAGTGAAAACACTTGTACAAGCTATACTTGAATACATAATATAAGTTGAAGAATGTTTTTATAGATGAAAAATAGTTTATCGATGACATTCAATTACATTTTCATTACGTTTCTTTATATTCAGATAATTGTACTCTATTTAGTTTTGCGTTAAAGAATAGCAATTGCTTTGATTATTTTTATATAAGTTCATTTGTTCACACTTTATGTTGATGGTGCGTTCGTTGATTTTAAGTTACCTACATGCATTTAAGTTATCTACATGCCAACTAATTCTCATTAAATTATACGTAGACTGTTAGGTTAGGGTTAGTGTAAGTTAACATGTACTTGCAAAGTTTCTTAAAGTCAGTTAAATGTGTAGCAGCAGTATCAACAAATATTAAGCAGACAGTCTAATATTCAACTCAACTATCAAAATAAAGTGTAACCGTTAATTCTCTTTCAATAAACGCTGGAATTGCCTTTTTAAGTCTCCTTAAAGAAATGTATTGATATTTTTAAACTAATAAATCTTTGCCATCAACAGGGATGGATGATCTGCATGTTCTGAATGGAGTCAGCACTGCTTTGAGCGAGTCCTCATCAGTTTGCAGTGATTTAAGGGATATTTCTGAGATTGAAGTCATGAACTCCATCAGTTGCACCTTTGATGACTCGGTTGACTTCATTGAGGAGTCTTTGCACCACGTGAGTAACCTTGATGACTCATGTGGTAAATAAATTCAGTCTTTAAGTGTTATAGGCTTGACTCCAAAAATTATTTTAGCTGTTTAAACTGCTTATTTAAAATGAGCTGAATCAACCCAATTCTTGAGTTTTTTTTTTGGGGGGGGGACTTCATTGTTTTATGTTCATTCCAACTAAATTTGCAAAAACAATGAAGTTAGCTTAATGGATTTGTGTTGGAACTACATGAAGGAATTGTGTGGAACCCAGCATTTTATACAGTATTTCTAACCACCCTTTGCATGTCGCTGATACACCAAGGCATCATGTGCAATGGCAAAATTTGAGGTATTACAATATAATTAATTAATGAAATGTATGCACATTTTGAAGCTAGAGAGAAATTATCTTGAATAAACTAATAAATTTACACCAGGATGGCAGAGGATAAAGTTGCAGAACCTACAAAACAATTGCTTTTCTTCAGGGAAGTGAAAAAATTTAAATGTCGTATTAACAGCGGGGGGACAAAAATATTTAATAAATACATTTAATAATTAATTTATTAAATGTGTCTGAGCTATGAAATATGATTGAACACTTTAAATGTTAAACCAAATAAAATATGATAGAAATGAAATTCTAGTGAAATTGTTTTAAATGTAAAGGGAAAATTCCAATGTAACGCTTCAATTGTTATCAAAATAATAGAATGGGATGTTCCCCTAACTTTGACACAACTAAGAAAAGCATTCTTATTATACAATTGTGTTTTAAATGGTGAGAAATCAATTGTGACAATCCTATAATGTTTGTAAGTTGAAAGAATGGAATATTTTTGTAACATTCACACAACCAAAACACATTTCTTAAAATTAGGTAAAACTGGGTTTTCAGAATGTTGAGGGGACATTCAAATGTGAAATTATCATAACGTTTTTCGAATATTTCTCTCACAACCAAAAAGAAACATTCTGGTTGAAAAACTATTGCTGCATTCCAGTGTACGTTCTATCTGTTCTAAACTGTATTCGAAAAATAACGTTTGTGTTCCAAATCGTAGTTTAAACGGGTATTCCAAATTAAAAGGGAATTCCAAAATGTTACCCGCGTGGTCTATTTTCGGTAGACAAATCAAAGTGCGGTTGCGCGAAGTCCACGATTAAACGGAGAGGCTAGTTAAAGATGTGTAACAGATTATTGCTATCATTAATCTAGTTGAAAACATGTTATCCGCGTTATATTTAATCTGCAACAATATTATTAACGTCTTAAAAACATGCTATTTGCCTGAAAGACTCGCAACTCGCTGTTTCATCTCCAATACACGAAATGTGGAGGATGTGACAAGATGATTGACAGGAAATATTATGATAAAGCTTGCCCACTCTTCTGTTACACACGCGAAAGTATGCCCTTTTCAATTTACAAAAATAGTACAACCCTTTGGGGCATATGAAATGATAGCTAATGTATTCATAAATATATGTAAACATTTGTAATATTAATGCTTGAAAATAATTTGTGAACAAATGACCATTTTTTGTGCAATATTTCGAACTACGTGTTGTTCATATGACATTTACGTGAAATCCTAACATGGACTTGTTTGCCATAATTTATATCACATTTCCATATGAATGTTGAGAAAATGTTGAGAGAAAATTAATATGCAACATCTCATAACTATGGAATGAATATTAAAACATATTAGTTTAATAAAATCAGATTATTACATATATTTCTGTTGTCTTTTGAGCCAGTCTTACATATTTTTTATGCCTTAAACCTTCTGATATGCTTCGACTATTGTTTAACAACAACAACAACAACAACGTATTTACTCCATCAATAACATTTTTTCTTCATACACTTCGCATTCGGCGGGCATTTAGCCGCACTAAACCGTATATATGAAGCTCATACCATATGTTTTTCGTCCAAATACAATTTAAACGGATGTGCGCGTAATTTTTTTTTCTCTACAGGTCTTTTCAACCTGTTGGCGGCTCCATTTTTACGCACGCGCGCGAGCCCCTTTGGCGCGTAATGATGCGCTCTGGCGCTTGGAGACGCGCAGGTATTCCTCCAGGGACAATTAGTCAGGGACAAACCAGAAGTTTCTGTGGAGATGCGTTCTGTTGTGCATGAAGCACATCTTCGCGCTTCCCAGTCGCCGGTGCCAAAATCAGACAGACGGATGGATTTCGTGCGTCGCGAGATCGATGGATAAACAGAGAGAAAGATGGATGGTGGCGACTCTGTAGGGTGACAACAGAAAACGGGCATGTCACCAGAAACGGGCGCAATATTCGGGGAAACACGCTTGCGGTTTCATTTTGTCTTTGTGTTTTAGAGTGACAACATGTTGCAGACGAGTGGCAACAAGATCCACGTGAGTATGATCTTCATCTCTCTACTAAAAGAATAGCAATACGCAAACAGCTCTAGAGGCAGTAACCCAGAAATAAATGGCATCAGCGGATAGTGTCTATTGCCAATCTAAATTGAAGAGTATATTGAGAGCAGCCAAATTAAGAAGCAATAGTCTGACCTACATCTATCCTCACCATACTCCCTCCCTCCCCCCTTTCTCCTGTGTTGAATTTGATATCCACACACACTGCTGATGAACACTGAGCCCGGGTACATTGTATTCTCCTCTCACCTGTTCAGGTGGCCAATAACATGATGGACATGGACCAGGACCCTCGCAAGCGGCTCTACTTTGCTGACGGCCGAAGGAAAGTGGACTATGTGCTGGTGTTCCACTACCGAAAGCGTTCCTCCATCAGGGGGTCTCCTAGTCAGCACAGACTGTCCATCATCTCCAATGGAAGTTATCATTTAGGAGTGGAGGAAAAAGACCCAGAAGGAGGGAAAGAGGAGCCTGCGGAGGTGGTGGTTGATGTTGGACCACCGGACCCTGCCGAAGGGGAGAAAATCATGATCCGGGAAGAGTTTGAGGGCAGTTTAAAGGACGCAGGGCTGGAAATTGAACGTGATAAAGAGGTGAGTGGAAGCTTAATTGATTTATATGTGGCTTTGCTGGTGTGTAACTTTTAGAACGCTAAAGAAATGATTCTATTTAGTGCGTGTGTCATTCTTAGAACGTTCTTAAACATTCTAAATATTCTTGGAACATTCTTGCAGCTTGAAAAAAAGGGTTAAATTACATGGGTTTGAGCTTAAAACAACAACAAATATCATAAACAGAAATTCAAGATGATTCCATTTGCAGGTATTTTACGTTTTTTAACACTTAAAGTCAATTTTTTCAGACTAAACAGCTTAAGTAATACATTTTAGAATCAAATTAATTTAAAAATATATCATTTTAGTGCATAAGAAAGATAAAAAGATAAAATTAGTGCATAAGAAATCTTTTTTTTTCTGTAAATGAATTAAGAACCACATCTGGTGTTGATTTAACAGAAAGCTGCCACTCTAAATCAACCGAGCTGTGCCTTGACACAAACAATAACTGTCATGATCTTCAGGAATCTGCACCAAAATAAATGACATTCAAAAAGGTCGTTCACATAGTAATTATGAGCCACTACTACGCAGCCTAGTACTGGATAGAGTTACCATTTCTCAGGGCATCCGACCAATTTGGGAATCATCCATGTATCATTGCTTTGTTATGTAAGCCATTACTCCTAAAGACGGCCCATTGTGGAGTAATCGGACTGTATTTGTTTGTATTATTAATGGTCTCAAATGAACACTTCTTCATCTGTTATTAGCGAGCTTATCCTTCTCTGGGGAATCAGATAAACCTTCTTAGTCTTTGTGTAAAAAAGCAATGTGTTTGTGCCTTTGTGAGTGTTTTATACTGCGGGTCTTCATTTGTAGGGTGATTAGTCGGCGAATGCTTGTGGTGTGAAGCCAAGTAAGATTATCAGGCTGGTAATAGTAGTGATTGTCTACTCTCTCTCGCAGAAGAGCTGCCTTTGACAGCACACTGAGAGCAAATTTCGGCCCTAAATTTAACAGTTTGCCATTTGTAATTGTTGCAAATGATAGATGCCCCCATTTTAGATCATCGAGAGTTGTTTTTTAAATGTTTTTGGCATCTGAAAAGCACCAAAACAAACTGTAATACTGCTTTAAATGTGGGACGTGTGATGTGTCTTATTAAATTTGTCAATTTTTTTATAAGCAAAATACATCTAGTCTATTATTCATTCATCGTGATCTACAGGAGACACCCAGTAAAGTGTCATTCAGTGTAAAAAATATCCAGTATGTCATGCATATTAATAACCAGACATTTTTTAAGTACTTGAATGATCCAAAAAAAATGTGTTAGCGGAAAAATTTAATCTTTATGCTCTGCTGATGTCTGTTGAAAGACATTCAGATTGTAAGGATTCAGTTTAATTCATTTAAAATTATTAAATGATTACAAATATTATTATATGTATTAATAAGAACAGGTAAGAATAAATGTGTCGGTTTCATTTTCCCATAAATATCCAAAAACAAATTAAGGAACATTATTTCACACATATTTTGACTTTTTATCTTTAAAAACACTTAGTTGAAGCAATAAAGCAGACCATTTAGTTGCATTAAATATGGTTTCCATGTACTTAAAATCTAATGTAATTTGATTCAGACACCAAAAATAGAACACATCATCTTTGACATAAATATTTCTATTTTTAATTATGCATAAGGCTTTACAACATTGCTGCATAAACCCTTTAACTGCCAATTGTAGCTTATGTGCAAAGGTTATCATTTAAGCAAACTCATTTAAGGTGTCAGTAACTCAAATTACCTGCTTAAATATGTTTTGTTTTACTTAGTGAAAGCTAGGTTTTACCATATTGGCAAAAAATATTGAGTTTAATTAATTCAAAATCATTTAAAAATTTTTTTCATTTAAATTTTAAATATAATTAATATGTTTTATTTTTATTAATATGAACATGCCAGAATAAACATATGGTTTAATTTTTAACATAAATATACAAAAATATATTATGGAACATTATTTCACACATATTTTGACTTTTTATCCCTTAAAAAACTTATTGAAGCAATAAAATAGACAATTTAGTTGCATTAAATGTGGTTTCCATATAAAATATAATTTAATTTGATTCAGATACTAAAAATAGAACACTTTGACATAAATATTTCTATTTTTAATCATGCATAAGGCTTTACAACATTGCTGCATAAACCCTTTAAATGGCAATTGTAACTTATGTGCATAGATTATCATTAAAGCAAACTCAAAACTATTTTAGAGAGGTGTCAGTAACTCAGATTACCTGCTCAAAAATGTTTTTTTTTTTATAGTGACAGCTAGTTAATTAAAAATCATTTAATTATATATATATATATATATATATATATATATATAAATATTTAACATGTTTTATATTTATTAATAAGAAGAGGCCAGAATAAATGTGTTGGTTTAATTTTTACATAAATATACAAAAATAAATTATGGAACATTATTTCACACATATTTTGACTTTTTATCCCTAAAAAACTTAATTGAAGCAATAAAATAGATAATTTAGTTGCATTAAATATGGTTTCCATGTATATAAAATCTAACCTAATTTGATTCAGACACCGAAAAAATATAACATATAATTTTTCGCATAAATATTTCTATTTTTAATCATGCATAAGGCTTTACAACATTGCTGCATAAACTCTTTAACTGGCAATTGTACCTTATGTGCATAGGTTATCATTAAAGCAAACTCAAAATTACCTTAGAGAGGTGTCAGTAACTCAAATTACCTGCTCAAAAATGTTTTGTTTTTCTTAGTGAAAGCTAGGTTTTTACCATTTGCCAAACAATATTGAGTTTAATTAATTCAAAATCATTTAATTATTTAAAATATATGTGATATGTTTTATTTTTATTAATATGAACAGGCCAGAATAAACATATTGGTTTCATTTTTATATAAATATGCAAAATAAATTAGGGAACATTAGTTTTATCGTTAAAAACCTTATTTGAAGCAATAAAATAGATGATTTTGTTTTATTAAATGTGGTCTCAATGTATATAAATTAAATGTAATGGGATTCAGACACCAAAAATATAGCACATATCATCTTTGACACATAAATATATCAACAACATTGCTGCATAAACCCTTTAACTGGCATCAAAACTTTTTTGGTTGACCTTATGTGCACAGGTTATCATTAAAGCAAACTCTAAACTGGTATATAGAGGTGTGAGTAACTCAAATTACCTGCTCAAAAATGTTTTGTATTTCTTATAGTGAAAGCTAAAGGGTTAAACATTGTGTTGTGCATCCTAATTTCCCCATGTGAAGCCAAGTACGATGGCAAGCATTGTCACGATGACTTTCATAATCGTCCTCATTATCATGATCACAGAATACACAGCATCCTCCTCCTGCTTAGTGTGATCATCTTCATTACAAAGCGTTTTGCCCTTAGCGGTTGTTTCAAGGTGTGTTTTGTGACCGCCTGAACACGGATTGTGGGTCAAGTCACACTTAAGAACAACGTATCACTTCTTATCTCTTCACATTACTGCTGTTTACTGTGGCTTTGGAGGACACACGGTCTCAAATAACTTCACGTGTTGTACAACAGGCTAGTTTTATGTCTGAGTTACAGTATGTGAAGGACTCACTTTAATGGAGGGAAGTATATGCAATGCTCAAGGGATATCAGGTTTCAAGGGCAGCGTTAGCCATGTTTGTTGCTCCTAAAAACCCTAAAGATGGAAAACACTGGCTTTGTGTGGATGCAAAAAGAAATGCAAGTCTAAAAACAACTAAACCGGATAGTACACTGTAAAAAATACTGTAAATTTTACAGTATTACTGGTGCACTGTACAAGTGCACTGTAAATTAACAATTACAACTGTGCTGTAGTTTTACAGAACAGTTTTAATGGTTAATTTACTGTGTGCTTGTAAATTTTGCCAGTAATACTGTAAAAACTGCCAGTAATACTGTAAACATTGCCAGTAATACTGTAGAATTTACAAGTGCACTGTAAATTAACAATTACAATTGTGCTGTCGTTTTATATCACAGTTGTAATTGGTAATTTACTGCGCGCTTGTAAATTCTGCCAGTAATACCATAAAATTGCCAGCAATACTGTAAAAAATGCCAGCAATATTGTAAAAATTACTAGTAATACTGTAAAATTTACTAGCGCACTGTAAATTAACAAATACAATTGTGCTGTAGTTTTATATCACAATTGAAATTGTTAATTTATTGTGCGGTTGTAAAATTTGCCAGTAAATTCCCCCAAAATTGCCAGTAATAGCATAAAAATTGCCGGTAATACTGTAAAAATTGTCAGTAATACTGTAAAATGTACAAGCGCGCTGTAAATTAACAATTACAATTGTGCTGTAGTTTTACATTACAGTTGTAATTGTTAAGGTTACAATGTGCTTGTAAATTTTGCAAAGAATACCATAAAATTTGCCAGTATTACTGTAAAAATTGCCAGTAATACTGTTAATTTTACAGGCAAACTTTAAATTAACAGTTAGAGTTGTGCTGTAGTTTTACAGGACAATAGTAATTGTTAATTTACTGTGTGCTTGTAAATTTTGCCAGTAATACTGTAAAATTTACAACCATGCTGTCAATTATCAATTACAATTGTGTTGTAGCTTTATATCACAATTGTAGTTGTCAATTTACTGTGCGCTTGTAAATTTTACCAGTAATGCCATCAAATTGCCAGTAATACTGTAAAATTTTCTAGTGCACTGTAAATTAACAATTACAATTGTGCTGTAGCTTTATATCACAACAGTAATTGTTAGTTTACTGTGCGCTTGCTTGTAAATTTTGCCAGTAAAATCCCAAAAATTGCCAGTTATAGCATAAAAATTGCCGGTAATACTGTAAAATTTTACAAGCGCACTGTAAATTAACGATTACAATTGTGCTGTAGTTTTATATCACAGTTGTAGCTGTTAATTTACAATGTGCTTGTAAATTTTGCCAGTACAATAATATTG